TCGCGGCGAAATCAAGGTGGGGCACTCTCGCGGTACTTTACGGTATGTGCGCCTCTCTGTTTTCGGTGAATGATTTTGAATATTTGCCCACGACTTCAGGATAGTGCACATTGTGTGGATGTACCTGCGTATGTAATCCTTTCATGATTTAAAAATTAGGAGCCGTGCTTCTCATCACCGTGGACAAGTAAATGTCGGCCAATTACGTAGCGTTTGGAGACTTGCACAAGTACAGTTGCGTGTCAATTATGCGGCAACCGCGAAATAAAATGAATATTCTGGACGACTGAAGCTACAAAGCCATCTTGTGTTAACAGATCAAAAAGACAGTACTTCGAAGTACCTGTATTTATCACTAGTATTACCCTGAGACAGTCGTGCTCATCTCTAGAAACTGGCTTGTATTTAACTCTACGTAATGGCAACGTTCATGATGCTGACTGTCTACATTTACTTGAAGTAGGACTATAAATACTAAATATAAGGTCTATAAGCTGTCAGTGCGGTGCTGTTGGATACCCGACATGCCATGTGACTGACCGCCAGATACTAGTAAACGACATGCGGTTGTACCGGTCACAGAGTAGCTGGGTTTTCACGAAAAAATGAAACTTATACGATCGTGAGAAAAGTTCAGAAACCACACTTACACATACACACACGCACACACGCACACACACACACACACACACACACATGCGCGCGCGCGCGCGCACACACACACACACACACACACACACACACATCTGTCCTGTCCTGTTGAGCCACTACCACAACTTGGCACAAGGATCGCATCGGCCCCAAAGGGGCAGTAGAGCGAAAGTGAGAGGTGTTGGCTTCGAGTTCACCTATCTCTACGATGAACGCAACCTCGATCGAAAGTCATGCCAAACGGATTTATCTACCACGCGCGCGCGTGCGCGTATACAAAACGGAGGAAGGATTACTTACTCTCCCTGTATGATGTATCTGTTGTATTCGTGAACAATGTCATTGATGTTTTTCCATGCATGTTTTTGAATATGCGAGCATAACTTCCAACATCAAGCACATTCTTGCTTCTCATCAGCATGACTTGTACAAGTTTATGTTGGGCAGTTATGTAGCGTTTGTTTTACCGGCTGCGTTTGTTGGTTCTTGCAGGTCATTGGCATGCTGTCTGTTTCACAGAAGCTCGTGTAACAGGTTCACCGTACAGCTATGAATGCAATGTAGCGTGTCGAAGCCACTTCGGTATGACGTGATGCCTAATTTCCTGGTTGTACCAAAATTGCGAGTATGCAAGTGATCGTCAAGCCTGTCCCCTGTGCAGTAGCCGTCTTGCCTTGCTACGCCTGGTTCTGACTCTGCGTTCTCGTATACTCCATGCAATGTTACAAGGAATACTGCTCCCTTCTCAATCAATTCATTGGCAACAAAACGCTCGGCTATGCCCTGTAACTTTGCTGTGCGGTTTGTGCTTTGTCAATGTTGTGTACCAGTTCATGATCTGTGCTTGCTGGTCTGTTTGTGTTCTCTCGCACAATTGAGGCGCTGTAGCACAGTCTCGATCATCCTGCCCAGGCTCTGATTTCACGTACCACAGTACGGTTTCTCTTGTTGCTCACTGGAATGTGCATGATACAAGCTCCTTGGTACTCCATCATCACCTGGTGCTGTTGCTGCCATTCTTGGACCTTGCTGATATCCTTCTCGCAATGCCCGAACGTTGTTCCAAGAAATGCACAACTCGCTCTTAGTTGTCACATTCGGTTTGGTCTCGTTCCAGTCTTTCGAATTGAGTGAGTGCGTAAACTTGTATGAAGTGGTGAAGCAAAAGCCGTGCGCCGGCAAACATTCAATGTCCGGGTGTAATGACGCACCAAGGCCCCGGGACTTGCATCCAATTCCTGAGTGATTTTTGTGTGCCTAGCCTCTAGGTATCATACCATATTTGTTTGGTTCAACCGTTTTGGATGCCCACTGCAATACCATTCACTGTATTATGTGTGTATGCTATCCAAGAAATCTCCCATATTTTTGGGTGGACAAACCTCGCCATAAGTCGGTAACCTGGCATTTTGCACCAACAGAACTCCTAGGATATCAGCCCCGTCTCAGTACCTGGGGACTGTTGTAAAGAAAAAGAAAAAATACCCTTGGCCCACAATGCCCCACTAAATAATCCGAAGGGTGTCGCGAAGACGACAATTTTCTTACCTTTCTTTCGTGGACGAAAAAAGACACTTCGCTTCGTCCGTTGCGCATGAAACGAAACATGAGGGTAGTGTTTATCAATTAGAATAGGTATCATGCACGAAGGAGTGGCGAAAAGGTACTATGCTCGAGCGCTGGTCGTCGTCTTGTTTGTCAATTTTGAGTCCCATTGAGAATTTTCTCATTCAGACCCCTCAAATTTCCCGCGGTTGCAAATAAAAGTGCAACTTCTAGACGACTTTTTTGAATTTGGCGCACGGACTGAGAATGACAGGGGGCAATCTACTATAATTATAGTAGAACGACCCCCCGGGCATTGTACTATAATAGTAGAGTGACCCCGGGGTCACTCTACTATATATATAGTACAATGCCCGGGGGGTCCATCTGCTGGGGGGTCATTCTACTATAGTACACCGGCCTACAATCTCACCAGTTCGATATCCAAGGATTATGTGAGTGTGCGTGTGCGTGGGGGGGGTTGGACTTCCGAAGGGGGAGTCTAACGAATCACGTACCGAGTAACGAAGATAGTCATTCCCTGACGGTGACCATCTTGGACCACACCATTGCATGAAGCGTATCCTGTTCTCAAAAGGAGTACCCAGAGCTGTAACAGTAACAGTCAGCAACCAGAGTGCAAACAATAATTGTTATACAGTGTAACAGGGTGAACATAACAGGGTGCAACGGTGTTACAGTACTGTACGGCTGGGCCGCGTGAGTTCACGTGATTTGGGGGAGGTTCCGGATCTAGCACTCTTCTCATGACAAAATTGGATTACCATGGTCCTGACCGGGTCCTGACCTGAGGCACTATCAGTCTATCACACTGTATGTCTTGCTACCAGCCCTGTCCTTGTCTGATCTTCCTTATAAGTAGCGTTCCAACTGGACGTCAGCAGTACAGCTAGGAATTGGCAAGTACAATGTACTATGTATGTACAATGTTAGTACATGTATTAGTTGTTACCAAACCCAACCCAACTTCCAATGTCATCATAGACCGCGTACCGTGGTTTCAAAGGCAAAATAGAGGCACACTGTACTCGAACATGACCAGTAGCAGTGGACGTTATAAGGACATGGTCCTGAGTGGAAGATATGGACAAGTAGTGGACGTTATAAGGACATGGTCCTGAGTGGAAGATATGGACAAGTAGTGGAAGATATGGACATGGTCCTGAGTGGAAGATATGGACAAGTAGTGGAAGATATGGACAAGTAGTGGAAGATATGGACATGGTCCTGAGTGGAAGATATGGACAAGTAGTGGAAGATATGGCCAAGTAGTAGAGCTGTGCAGATGTATGATGATGTATGAAGATGTGTGAAGATAACCATGTACATGACGATTGTATGAAGGTGCCAACTACAGGCTGTCAGCTGTACCCCAACTATTACTTAGTGCAAGTAGCTTAGCTTAGACCAGCCTCTTCATATGCATTATTGGGTCATCAGCTGTTAGTCTTACTGTTGGTGCGTTGCTTTTCCCACGAAGCGCGTAACCACGTAGAACTGCTCGAATCGGATACAAGTAACGACTTGTCCCTGCCACTGTTTGCGGACTAGGCTACTTTCAGATGAATCCTAATTAGTCCGCCTACGCATTGCGCTTTGCAAAAACACTACTCCTCTATTTGTCTACTGGGCAAACGCACTTGAAGACAACGGACGTATTCCATCACCACACACTTCTATAACTACACCTACCTCTTCATCATCGCAAGTGACGACTACTTATCGGATTATTATGTGCACATGGTAATCCCGAAACGACGTTACGTTCTCTAGATCATGGCCTGCACCATGCCATTCACTGACACTCCACACTCATTTCTGTGATTGTCACTGCACTGCACTGTCATTCATCGCTAGAGTTTCGCCGTCACGGATCATCTCGAGATTCGAGAGTGCTCTTCTAATGTCGTCTGCAGCTGTGGTGGGTTGTCGGACAACAAAACTACGCTCCTTCTAGTTCTACGAAGGACTTACGCAGTCCGGACGGTCAGAACTAGAACCAGGGGGTGCATACAGTCATAGTCACATGACCTAAAGCAACACAGAGTCAGTGATATGATCGCATGCACGACTGTAGATCTACCTAATACCAAGAGTATACTCTTGGCAGTCTTGCTAATACAATGTACTGGCACTTTGTAGCACTACAAGCACTGCCAAAGAGGGCATCTAGTATAATACAAAGTGTATTTGCCAGCTAGCTAAACCAGCACACATCCGTTTGGTACACACACCAGCCCAGGGTAGACTCTCTGCTCCATGTGACATAATGATGTCGCCAATTCTTCCTTTCGCCGCTTCCTGGTTTCGGTGACGCCACAGGGCCCTGTGGCACAGTCACAGTCAGTCACCATGGTCACTTGAAGGAGTTGAGTGACCCTGGCATAGCAGTGGCACTGGCAGTCGAGGACGGCGTGCGACCCCTCGCACTCGTCGCAGACTGAACTGAAGACTGAAGACTGAAGTCTGATAATCAGATTTGTCGCCGGACACGCGGTGGGGTAGGTCTACATAAAACTGCCATAAAAATCTTTACGTAACACTGGGCGTGTATCACGACATTCGCCACGCGCGCAGGTGATCATCATTGCGCTGAGACTGCACTGGCTGAGTGTGCCAGTGCAGTGCGCACTGGAACGACACGGTTTATGCGGGCACTGATCACAGCCGCGGGCTCTGAACACGGGACTCGGGTCCAGGCTGGATTGAAGGCGAAGGGTCTGGGGCCGAGGAGGTGCGACACTCGAGTTTGCACAGACTCGTCGCGTTGTGTCCACCAGCACCGGCACACGGCGGCAGTGCAGTAACGACTAACGTCCACAGGGACCACGAAAAAGAATATTTTTTAGTTCGAACTCCGTTCTTTTCCAATGCAAGTCAAAAACAGCATGCAGATAGGAAAGTAAGGGGTTGTCCGCGAGTCCGTGCTGGATTCGCTCCTCCAATCAGTCTCACAGACGGTTGTGAGGAAGAAGGACAAACCCTCGTTTTCAGCATTTCCTGCTTTTCATCTGTCGGAAGTATCTGGTGTAGTCGTGTGCTTAGCGTTGCCCGCTGAGGGTTTGTGGGTCGTCACGATACTAGTACTATAGTAGCCTACGAGTACGTGTATCTAAGCGTGCGAGCACTGAATGCGGAGCAGCACATGACAATGGCGTGGTTTGGCCGTAGGCAGAGTGCGTGTTACATGTGGGCAGTGACTGCGGCGGCGACGGCTGTTCTGATATCACTGAGCGTTACAGGTAAGGTGGAATACATGGCAATAGTAACTGTTACTAATTTTGAGATGTGCGACAGCGCAAAAGCGGTACATTGCACCGGACTTGCTGCAGTTACGCTTGGAAACATAAGATCTAGTTGGATTTGTCACACTGGCTTGTACTTGCAAGTACACTCTGGAATTCCGAGTGGTGTGGCTGAATAGTGGACGCCGAATAATGGGAAGAAGAAATTTCGGAATCCTACTTTACCCGCTAGGTCTACAGTACAGTTGGCACGTAACACAGCATGTACACTGTACTGTGTGTGTTTCATTACTTTGCCGAATTCTCAAAGGCAAAGCCCAGAAAGGCTTGTCATGTCTCCATGTCAGTGCAGAGAATATGGCGAGTCGGACTGAATAGAGGGCGAAAAAGAATACAAGAGCATCCCGGCACAGCTTCCTCAGATGTGTAGTGCTAGTGGCCTGGATGCTGCAATCTATCTTCTTCCTGCTTTGTGTGATGGCAAAAGCTAGCAGCTGCAGTGTGCATAATGGCCAATGAAGGCACAGTAAAGTAAATAGTCCTGAGGCACATGTGCCGGGAGACCATGGCCAAGTGTGAATGTTGTGGTGCACTCGACTAGCCATGCTTGCTCAGGTGGTCCATAGAAGGGTGTATGAATGTCCAGAGTGGCTGCTAGTGAGTGACGTGATGTCGTCCACCATTGTCCTTTCCCTGTAAAAACGCTCAACAAATACCAAGTTACAATAGTTTGAATATTGCATGTATGTCATGTTGCTACATGGTGTGTCATCGACCTGTTCACACTGTACCTCTGGGAAAACAATAATATTACACAATCATGGACATGTACATCTACCTGTGTTGATTGTGGTACAAGTACGAACTTGATCAGTTTTGTACACCACACCGACTTTGATAGCACTAAGTAAGGTCTAATTATACTCAGTAGTTCCCCGAGCTTTAGCTGAGAGAGAGAGAGAGAGAGAGAGAGAGAGAGAAAAACGAGGGTACATGAAGACATGTTCTCAGCTTGTTTCTTCAAACCAAGCCCCCCCTCCCCGCAGAACAACATGCTGTACTGTACAGGCAGAACATTTCGTCGGTCAATAATTTCGTCCAACTCCAAAGAAAGGGAGTTCGTCCGGTTGTAAATTTCGTCCATAGATCATAAGAGTGTATTGAAAAGCTGGACAAATCGACATTAGTCCGGCATTGAATTTAGTCCAAAAGCTCCTTGGACGAAAAAGACGAAATTAAATTCCAGACGAATATTTCGGTGTATACAGTATCTGACTAGGTTCCAGTATCTGACCTAGAATTAGCAATCATGGTCCATGTGGACACACAAACACACACACACGTACACACACACACACACACACACACACACACACACACACACACACACCTTGGACCTTGGACCTTGGACGCGCTGCCATATTCTGGCTATGCGGACACACACACACACATACCGTAAAATCCCGCCAGAGCGCCCCTACCTCCTCCTCGACGCTTCAGGTGGGGAGGGGCGGATGGGCGAGTCCTACTTGCCGCATTCAGTGCTACATGAAAAGTACTCACCCTACGAAAACTGTTCGTGCAGCTCGTACACCGACCAAAGGTCAAGAGCCAGGAGTCGAACAGACCCGACAAAACGCAGGGTTTGTGCGATCCCTGGTCAGGAGGGTGGGCACTGTTGCGTACATTTCCAACGGGGTCGAGCACGCGTCTGCGGTGCAGTACGGCATCACAGACTGCGACAGAGTTATACGAGGATACAATCAATCACGTCCCTGACAAGAAGTCAGGGAGGGGCGGATCATGTGGAAGAGATGGGGCGCACAGGCCGGATTTTACGGACTCACATACCGAAGCAGCTGCTCATGAAAGTCTTGGAGACTACAATTGTGGCCTCTGGAGATGTTTTTCTGGATGACTTAGACTAGATTGGTAGTTGAGGACTGATAGGGGTGAAGATGCGAAATGTCTGCATGTAGGAAACTGTAATAATAATTATAATACTACCAGCCATGGTGCAAAGGAGGCACCACAGACATTAAGATAGCTCGTCGCTCTAGCGCCAGAGTGCTCAAACTACAAAAAGTAGCGGGCATTGCGCGTTGCAGCAGCACTAGAGCAGCCTACTGAGAGTGCTCAACAAGGCGAAAGCCGAGGAGCGTGATACCCAATGCTGTAGACAGCAAGCTGTTTCGGCCATGAAGGCATTATAATACTATAATGTTAAAAAATTGGTTGTGAGCAACACTGGCTCACACTCAAATCACTGCTTTTCACCAGAAAAATATTCTATTTCAACGTTTCGGTCTTGAAATAACCATCATCAGGAATAATGTTATGGGGACAATTGTTAACTGGAAGTAGCCGGGTAAGAACTGGAAATGCGGACACAATCAAATGTGCCATCTACTTTGAAGTGTTGCACACTTTGCTGGGTAGCCTGGTGTTTCCTAAGAAAATCTGCAGTTGTGGAAACCCAGACAAGGCAACAATAGAGTTATGAGGAGGTACTGGGAGTGACCTGTCTATTCTGGGAAGCGCTAGTAAACAACTGGCCTTGAAGTCAAGGATATCAGGATAGGCACACTGGTAGTGCTGGCTGATGACTGTCGCCTATGTTATCTCATGATCATGGATGAGATAGGCTGTCCTATCGTTTCACGGTCTGTGACTACCCTGTCCTTCCACTACATATAGCACAGCTGACTTTCTCAAGTAACTGTTAGTTAGTTATCCCTTGATCAGGCTGATCTCTAGAGCTCTCACTAGATATGCACACTTCGCGAGCTACTAGCTTTGATTCCGCCACAGCTGATCCGGTTCAATCAGGAATTCCTACAACAGTATGTATACAGTCGTCCCTCTCTAATCCGGCACTTTATAATCCAGCACCCTCGATAAACCAGCACAATTTTCAGTAGCCAAAATGTCCTCTTCATGCACATTGCAGCAGTAAATCAGATTTGTTAATCCAGCACCCTCCCTAATCCAGCAGATTTTCGTGGCACAAATGGTGCCGGATTATAGAGGGACCACTGTACTCTGGAACTGATAAGAATGTACTTTCACACGCTTTCTACCATTCCAATCATGTACAGTGTTTTCCCAGAGTGGCGGGGCACTTATGAACAGCGACTGTGCACTTGTGTAGCCATCATTATGTGACTTTACACAGTAGTGGGCAGTGTGAGTTTGGATTCGGACATGTTAACAGCCTGGTAGGGTAGTAGTGTAGAGAGTATTAAATTATTATTATGAGAAGAAGGCAATGTCTGCTACACTGATGCGGGTTACTGAGTGGCTCAGATGGCTGCGCAAGCTAAGGGGCCGTCCATAATTATCGATCTTTTACACGAAGAGAAAAAAAGTTTCGTATATGGGTGGGTGGGTCAAGGGGAGTTTTGTTTTGAAAAATATTGATATGTGAGACATCAAGGCATTCTTGCTGTCAAGTCAATCTATTTTTCGTTCAGGGGGGTGGGTGGGTGGGTGGGGGAGGGTCCTAACTAAACTTTTTCGCTTCGTGAAAATTATTGATAATGCCGGATAGCCCCTAAGCTCCTGCAGATTTGATCTATGGCGATCATAGTGTACGCTACTTCAAGTAGGCGCCCAAGTCTAATGCTGAGTCTAGTCTTGGTTCTGGGGTCATGGTGGGAATTGTGGAAATGATCCATAACTTACCAGGCATGCAGATCCTGTTTTCAGAGCTGTCCTGTGTAGTGTGAGAATACCTGGAATTCAGATCCTGCTCCAGTAGGCTGTGATGCGAACTACAGACGATATTCAAGCATGTGGCGTGTTTCTTGGGATAAAACTAAGATATTTGCCTGGGCAGATGGAGTTTGGGGGCCCTGTTTGTCTAGGAGGTATACTTTATAGAACAGTTTAATCTCTAATCGCATTGCAAGTGGTGTGTTAATAATATCGTGCAGTGTCGTGCTGTTCACTCCACACTTGGCCGGCATTTCCTTGACCTGTTTTGGTGTAGAATGCGAATAATGTAATCAATGTGCTCAGCAAATCAGTTCAAGCACCAGCAATTAATTACCTCCCAAGATGTACATGTACAGCAGAGTCTGACCGGCAAAGCCATGCTGTGGTGGTGGCACTGCCACACAGCTACAGCTGTTCCAGCCACGCCGCGGGGTAGCTTGGCAGTGCAGTGGTAGTGTTCATGCTGTGATCTTCTTGAGGACCATGACCAAGGCATGAGTCAGCAACTATCTAGCCAGTGTAGCCAATAGTGTGGTGGTTTGAGTAATAAAAAACGTACTTTTGGATAGGCTGCAGTGGAGTTGGAGAGGTTTTTAAAAGAAGCTTTAGTATTATACCTAGTACCTATGAAAGTTCCTGGCCAGGTCACCACCTGAGGAAAGGCCCTCACCGCCCTGGGCTAAAATGCCAGATCAACAGGCAACACAGCTTGTATTTCATAGAGTAATCCAATGCCCTAGCACCACTCAAAATAGACTGGTCTGAGGTATGTGTGCTTGTAACTGTAGAAAAGAGGCTTCTTCAGACTGTGTATCCTGGTATCTGGATACAGTGGCCTGGATCAATGGGACAGTTATGGCACAACTATACCTATACTTTAAACATATTATTTCTATGATGCCCGGCGCCCAGTAGCTAGCTTGAAGTGCCTGGTATGGATTTGATTCAAAGCCTTTCGCAAGAAGTACCGGTATAACTCAGTACATGCATGTGTGTGTGCACAGGCGCGTGCCCCGTATGGGTTCCTGGGTGCCCGGAACCCCCCCCCCCTCCTTTTTCGCTCAAAATGCAGGATTTGCCTTCATTTTTTGAAAATTTTCCCGCTGGAGGCCCCCCGCCCCGAGGAGCCCCCCCCCCTTGAAGGCCACCGGCGCACGCGCCCGGTGCATATGTGTGTGTGTGCGTGTGCGTGTGTGTGGTGTGTGTGTGTGTGTGCACGCAGGCCGGAAGGTGTTCTGTAGTCAGAATTCACCTATGCATGCCCTGCAACCATATGCACAGTTCTGGGTATCTGTAGGCAGGACTTTCAGTTGATGTATGGAGGTAAGCGGGCCTGCGGGGAAGGGAGGGGGGGGGGGGGGGAGGTTGATTACTTTCACCTTGGGGGAACTGAGCAGGCGATATCTCACTTATGGTAAGTTTCGACGTTACATAGAGTATAATGTGCCACCAAATTTGCACGCACAATGGATACTCTGTGCACATTCAGTCTGACATAGCGCAGAGCCACTAAAAGCAGTGCTTATCGCCACACGGAAATTTGTTTAGACCATTCCTTCATTCACACCAAGCTTCTCTTATGTCACCTGGGAACTTCTGCCCAAGCACAAGGGAAACCGTATTTCCCCGATCATAAGTTGCACACCCATTTTAAGGTTAGGGCTCTATTGTTTCAATCTATTTACAAAAGTAGCAAGTCCGCACACTCGATTGTAAGTTGCACCCCCTTCCTTGCCCTGGAGGTTTAGCACAAAAAGGTGCGACTTATATTCGGGGAAATTTGGTACATGGATGCGGCTAATGGGGTTTCCGGCACTTGTACCAGTGGTTGTGAGACTTGTCCCCTCACCCCCACCGTTAGACGCTGCATCTGCCGCTGCGTTTACCGGGTATTTGCGGGTGTTAGCGGGTGTCAGTGGGTGTTACCGGGTGTAAGTGGGTGTTACCGGGTGATACCGGGTGTTAGCGGGTGTTACCAGGTGTTGGAGGGTGTTAGCGGGTGTTACCAGGTGTTGGAGGGTGTTAGCGGCCATCGTGAGTTCCCTCAGAACGGAGACGATGATTTCCTTTTTCTTTTTTTCCATTTTTCTGTTATGCTTCTTCATACATGTTGTGTGTATACTCCTCGACATTCGCCATGTGTATAAGTAGATTTAACAACAAATGGACGTGTTGCCACTTTCCATTGTGGTGTGTGATGTAGCATCAAGCCCTTATGCACCTCTGACTGATGACCTCTGTCTCTTATGTCTCTGCAGGAAATGCACAAGGCCTTACGTCACAACCTGGGCAATATGTGGAGGCAGAATATCGCCACACCATGGGCAGGGCAAGAAGCTCCGTTACGCTGAAATGCTGCTTGCGTGGCTTTCCAAAACTCAATGCAGGCAGTGTGAATGTCACGTGGACGCATAATGGACGGCGCATCAACTCAACCATTACTCGGCAGCTGATCAACATAGTTGACTCTTGCACTTCACCTGTTTTCGATCTCGAAGGTACAGCGGGCATCATGGCAACTTTGCGCTTTGTCGATTTACAACACAACGATGCTGGCAACTACACTTGTATGATGTCAACTGGAAATGAAACATTAGAGGCATCCAGTCACCTGGAGATTGCCGGTGAGTGGTTACTAGGGCCGGCTAGAGAGCCTCTCGCAAGTTAGCACGTCTTTTTGTGAGTACACGTAGCAGGCCCGCCGAAACCGGTCCGGTTGGTCAGGTCATCACCAGACCAACTTGTATTGGTATCGGTGTATGCTGCTGCGTATCTAGGGCACTTGCCATTCCACTGATACTATGCAACAATACGTGATATCACTCATTGGAATACTGTAGATTGAAAAGCAGTTACGCAGTTGCATAGTCATGTAGTTACATCATTGCATAGTCATGTAGTTACATCATTGCGTAGTGCCAGTGGGTTGTTTGCATCGCTTTTGCGACTCTGCTATCCTGGATAAGAACATCACCATCGAGAGCTCATGCCAGCCATCAGATGTATTGTGTATGTGTGTGTGTGTGTGTGTGTGTGTGTGTGTGTGTGTGTGTGTGTGTGTGTGTGTGTGTGTGTGTGTGTGTGTGTGTGTGTGTGTGTGTGTGTGTGTGTGTGTGTGTGTGTGTGTGTGTGTGTGTGTGTGTGTGTGTGTGTGTGTGTGTGTGTGTGTGTGTGTGTGTGTGTGTGTGTGTGTGTGTGTGTGTGTGTGTGTGTGTGTGTGTGTGTGTGTGTGTGTGTGTGTGTGTGTGTGTGTGTGTGTGTGTGTGTGTGTGTGTGTGTGTGTGTGTGTGTGTGTGTGTGTGTGTGTGTGTGTGTGTGTGTGTGTGTGTGTGTGTGTGTGTGTGTGTGTGTGTGTGTGTGTGTGTGTGTGTGTGTGTGTGTGTGTGTGTGTGTGTGTGTGTGTGTGTGTGTGTGTGTGTGTGTGTGTGTGTGTGTGTGTGTGTGTGTGTGTGTGTGTGTGTGTGTGTGTGTGTGTGTGTGTGTGTGTGTGTGTGTGTGTGTGTGTGTGTGTGTGTGTGTGTGTGTGTGTGTGTGTGTGTGTGTGTGTGTGTGTGTGTGTGTGTGTGTGTGTGTGTGTGTGTGTGTGTGTGTGTGTGTGTGTGTGTGTGTGTGTGTGTGTGTGTGTGTGTGTGTGTGTGTGTGTGTGTGTGTGTGTGTGTGTGTGTGTGTGTGTGTGTGTGTGTGTGTGTGTGTGTGTGTGTGTGTGTGTGTGTGTGTGTGTGTGTGTGTGTGTGTGTGTGTGTGTGTGTGTGTGTGTGTGTGTGTGTGTGTGTGTGTGTGTGTGTGTGTGTGTGTGTGTGTGTGTGTGTGTGTGTGTGTGTGTGTGTGTGTGTGTGTGTGTGTGTGTGTGTGTGTGTGTGTGTGTGTGTGTGTGTGTGTGTGTGTGTGTGTGTGTGTGTGTGTGTGTGTGTGTGTGTGTGTGTGTGTGTGTGTGTGTGTGTGTGTGTGTGTGTGTGTGTGTGTGTGTGTGTGTGTGTGTGTGTGTGTGTGTGTGTGTGTGTGTGTGTGTGTGTGTGTGTGTGTGTGTGTGTGTGTGTGTGTGTGTGTGTGTGTGTGTGTGTGTGTGTGTGTGTGTGTGTGTGTGTGTGTGTGTGTGTGTGTGTGTGTGTGTGTGTGTGTGTGTGTGTGTGTGTGTGTGTGTGTGTGTGTGTGTGTGTGTGTGTGTGTGTGTGTGTGTGTGTGTGTGTGTGTGTGTGTGTGTGTGTGTGTGTGTGTGTGTGTGTGTGTGTGTGTGTGTGTGTGTGTGTGTGTGTGTGTGTGTGTGTGTGTGTGTGTGTGTGTGTGTGTGTGTGTGTGTGTGTGTGTGTGTGTGTGTGTGCGGGTGTGTGCGTGTGTGTGTGTGTGTGTGTGTGTGTGTGTGTGTGTGCGGGTGTGTGTGTGTGCGGGTGTGTGTGTATGTGGAGAAATAACAATGCGCTATCATTGCTACGTAATGGGCAAGGTCAAGGTGTGGGTGTGTGGGTGCGCGCGCGCGTGTGTGTGTATGCGCATGTGTTAATCTAGTTGCTGTTGGATCTCTGGCTGTAAACATTTCTGGCAAAGCTAGTACAGCTGTTGTGGAGAGAGCAGGACACCCTAACCACTATGACGCGTATGTGCTTACCGACACGCCCGTTCTGGCAAGGCACTTGAGAATCCGATGTGAAGCTGTTAATTGGAATCCAGCACCCCAACGTCTCATTTGGACCCAAGCTGGTACCAGGACTCTGCCTGGAGACTGGAAGCTCCGGCGGCATCAGAAAACTGATGTTGTTTCGATGTATCTAAATCGTATGCTGGAATCTGCGGATCTCAGTGAATACGCTTGTACTGGGTCATCCATTGATGGCCGAGTGGTGACTCGTATGATCAGCCTACATACAGGAGGTATGTATGCATCCCAGCCATCAAAGATCTGCCTGTCTTACGCCTGGGATTTGTACCTTCCACCCTTTTCAGAATTTCCATGATTTGGTGCAGGGTGGTTGAAGCATAGACTGCATGCACGTTGTATAGATGTACGGAATCCCATAGATACAGGGCAGAACAACAGAGACCAAAAATCCTTCTCGTGACTCCGAGTTTCGTATTTCAAAACACACTCATCAGACAGGTATATGCGCGTTTGGGTGTTCATTGTGTGCTACGCATGCGCATTTGACCAATTTTAAGACCAGTAGTCAATGGCAGACAATCGCCTTTCCAGCTTCATCACTTTGGATAGAGCTAATGATTAGCTAGATCTTCGCCCGAGAAATTTTTTCGTGTTGAATGCACTCAGGGCACGTTTCGTAGTGGGAATAGCAACGAGTGCAACATGGTCCTGCAGATTCCACACCCGACCGCGACTACCGGGTTTCAAGTGCGGGATTCTACGGGATACGTGCATAAGGCTTATTGATCGCAGATTCTTGTACGTGCGCGTACCAATATGATGTACGTTATATCATTCCTGCACTTGTTGATACAGCATGTGCCAGCATCCATCAGTAGACTGCAGGTGGTATCTTCAGGCTCTGGCATAGAACATACATACCTACAAACCATCCGCATCTTAGTGGACTATAGCAATGTCTTGCAGGTTGCTTTTCAGACATCTCATGGGTTTCCGCACAATTCGGGTCAAATTAACCGCATGACATGATAGGAAATCAGTTTCCGTCACAACTACCAAAAAACGTGTACAGGTGACATTTGGCGACTGTAGATCAATTCTAAGTCAGCAGTGCAATGTTGATGCATGATGCACACTGCTTTGATGTTGTTAAAGCTATCCTTTTCCTTTTTGGGACTCAAGAGGGGAGCTGTTTGGAAAGACTTTGCATTTTCTGGGCATTTTCTGAATTATCTTCTTTGTAGAGAAACCAAGATTTGAAGAAATTCGTGAGAAGACTCTCCATGAACACATCCCTATAACCACCGGGTGGAATGATGTCGATGAGGTCATTGTGCGAGGTTCTCCGGCACCTTCAGTTGCCATTCAAGTGAGTATCAACGGTAAACCATACAATATCAATTGGGAGCCATGCACAAGTACTGGCAATGGAACAGGACGCAGAAAGAGCATCGAACTCAAAGACATTGGCATTACACTTCAAGCCTCTATGGAGCCGCACGAGCAAATGACCGGACCAAACGCCTGCAAAGTATCGGTTCTCTGCTACTTCTCAGACAGCCGGCTCAGCAATCCGATGGGAATAGACATAATCGCCACGGCTCTCAACCCTTTTGCCTCTGTCATCTATGCCACATCACGCATCTTACGTAAGTGACAAAAACTAAACTTTTTTTGTAGCTACTGACATCCTACTAGACGTGCATGATGTCTCCGGTAACCATGGTAACCATCAAGAAAACAAAAATATACATGTGTGCTCCGAATAGCCACTAGCACTGGTAGCACAATGTCATGTGTCAATAACTGATAGTACTTGGTGGGGACTTCCCCACGAGTGCCCTGAATAATCACGAAAGCCCGCACGTTTTTTCAAAGTTTACGGCAAAAGTCATTATGGCCGTGCAATTCGTACGGTAAAAAAAGACTACATAAAGGCCAAAGCGGCGGGGATAGCTTTTCGGCCAAGTTTCAACATACAGTCAACTTCGCTAATAACGACTGCGGATATAACGACAATTCGCGAATAACGACAAAATTTCCATGCCCAGAGCAAAGTCCATTCTACCTGTATGCATACAATGAGACTTCGGGTATAACGACACTTTGCGAATAACGACACTATCTGATGCCCGGCCGAATGTCGTTATACGCCGCAAAGTTGACTGTACACATGATCAGTGACAGTAGGGGTATACGCATAACAACATGCAGAGGAGGAGCAGCAGCAGCATCTCTTGTTTTCCAAGTATACACAGGTTTGTGTGTATTTTTGTTGTTAAGGCGAGACCAAAAAAATATAGAGATTCCCGGGCCCTCCCGCACCAAAATCGAGCCAAAGCCATTTTTTTATTTTTTAGCAGTTCATACATGTACAGTACTGATCATGTGAGTAGATCTGTGACGTGGAGTCACACAAACCCGGGCTTGTACGACTCCCCGATGTACAGATCAGGGCAATTGTTGGCCGAAATACAGAAAAATAATCGAACGGGTAAACCGCGTACCTGTTTTCTGTAAAAAAAATTGAATAAAACTTACCGGAAAATACTGTAAAAAAAAGTTCAGCATGGCATGCATACATACATTGGAAAAAATAATAAAATAAAAATTCGCCCGCCCGCACCAATTTCACATGGGTCCTGCCCGGGAATCTCGATTTTATTTTGGTCTCGCCTAAGCATACATGTATACTAAGGATGGAGATTTTGAATCTTACCCTTCAGGTTAAACCCCTCCCTGATGTAACCATGGTAACCCCAGTGGCTAAGATTTGGAGTATAGCATTGGACTATGGTTGAGTCTCGCCAGGTGGTGATCTTGTTGAAAGAAATCAACCAGGCATGCATTGATGTGGCAGTGTGGATGCTAGTTCAGAAGATGGTGCTAAGCACAGCGGCTGTGCCTGGCCTCCCACGAACTCTAGTTCAGAAGATGGTGCTAAGCACAGCTGTGCCTGGCCTCCCACGAACTCTAGTTCAGAAGATGGTGCTAAGCACAGCGGCTGTGCCTGGCCTCCCACGAACTCTAGTTCAGAAGATGGTGCTAAGCACAGCGGCTGTGCCTGGCCTCCCACGAACTCTAGTTCAGAAGATGGTGCTAAGCACAGCGGCTGTGCCTGGCCTCCCACGAACTCAGAGTCTAGTTCAGGCCCTATCCTATCACTTTACATCTTTGAAGTTTTCCAGCAGCCTGGCTGGTGGAAGATTTTTGTTTTGTTTTTTGTTTGGCCCGGTCATGCTATACTGGTTTGCGTACTTTGTGTGTGATACGTAGGAACACATGACTTACTCAGTCCGCAGTTGACACACTTTCGGGGCCAACATATTGGTCCAGCCATGGTCGGACCAACCAGACAGGTTCCAGTTGTGTGTGGATAGTTAGCATAGGTTATTGGTATCCCTCTGACTTCGAAATAGCTTTCCACAATTTGTTGGTGCTCAGATCTGAGCATCTGACTGGGTCTATACTGAATGGATCTGGGACCTGGATCAGGTTGGATTCGGATCCGGCCAAACGGCCACAGCCTATGCCTATGGCTTGAACTCCCTTAAAGTATACCATGATCTTGTGTGCAGGGATGGTTTGTGAAAACTAGAATACTCTGCTGCTTTCCCCCTTGCAGAGAACGCCATCTCCCGAACACCATATGTCGAGGCTGAAATCCCTGGCCCAGTAGCCATGGCAGGTAGCTATAAACTCCTCAGCTGCTGCTTACGAGATGCCGCACCACAACCGGATGCAAGCAAGGTCAACGTCACCTGGTTGCATAATGGGAAGCGCGTGAAGCAGAGCCTCTCTTCTAGAATCGATGTGTATGGCTTGTGCGACACGGTTGTCTTCCGCGTCAAAGGTGCCAAAGGCATTATGACCGTACTGACCCTGTTTGATGTGCGTGACCACGTACATGCTGGCAACTACACTTGTGCAATGGAGACTGATGCCGGGGTATTCCAGGACACTGCCATTCTGGATGTCACTAGTAAGTCAGTTGTTCCTGTATATCCAACTACTTGTCCCGCTTGTAGCCTACTTGGCCATCATTGGTCTTATTCAAACGGTGTACCGTACGATATTGATGTTCAGTTTTGTACCATTTGATTTTGCACAGCAGCTCCCCTTTGTATGTATCGCTGATACCACTCAACTTGGGTGGGGTATGCTGCTTTGCTGCATCGAGTTGCAGTTTATGAATATTATGATGTCGTCTAATGGTCTTACCCATATTCCATCACCCTGCAACCACCAGTATCCATTATTGCTGTGTGAGATTTAGGCTCTAAATTATCTGCAGTGTGTCCCCCCCCCCCCCTCCCTCCCCCTCCCCGCTTTATTTGAATGGATGTCGAAAGGTGCACATTGGTGCAGCTGATTCCAGACGCAGGCGTCATCAAAAGTGCATAGGCCAGAGTGTGCAACCTGGTGACCCCTCGTATGTATGCGTGGGTGTAGATGTGTGCGTGTGTGTATGTGTGTGCGTGTGTACGTGTGTGTGTGTGTGTGTGTGTGTGTGTGTGGGAAGGGGAGGAGTATGTGTGTTCATGTGTGTGTGTGTATGTGTGTGCGTGTGTACGTGTGTGTGTGGGGGGGGGGGGAAGGGGAGGAGTATGTGTGTTCATGTGTGTGTGTGGGGGGGGGGGGGGGGTGTTTGTATTTGTACCCTGGAATGGTTATGGGCTACACATGCACTGACTGTGGTGTGGTGAACCCATAAGTGGGATCATTTCTAAGTCCACCTAGAGTCTAGGGATTCCAGGCTGCCTGGCCGTTCATAACCAGTCGAGTCATGTTTTCAAGGTTCCCCAGTTTGAATCTCTCCCCTCTTCCATGGGGACTACGTGACCAGTTCCTGGCACTGGGGCAAGTACAGACAAATTGTGACAAGTGTGTGTGTGTTTGTGCATGCGTGTGTGTGCGTGTGTGCGCGTGTGTGTGTGTGTGTGTGTGTGTGTGTGTGTGTGTGTGTGTGTGTGTGTGTGTGATGTGTGTGCGGGGAAAAAAATGAAAAGACCAAAAATAGGGATTCACTGGCCATAAAATGTCACTCCAAATAGCTGTATGGTGTAGACCAGGCTGAATAGTGACGGTCAATTCTTCAGCCTTGCAAGCTGTTGAATGGTGTAATCCCAGCACAAGTTGCTATGGCTTCTGCCGTAGCATTGCTATCATCGCCTCCGGCGATGGGCGTCAAAGGTCAAAGGTCAGGTGTGTGTGTGTGTGTGTGTGTGTGTGTGTGTGTGTGTGTGCACGTGCATGCTCGTGGGTGCTGTTTATATGTGCAGGGGCTTGTTTTCCACCACGGTTTGACACAGATAATGGCTATCCACAGAAAGTGTACAATGTCAACTGGGGTGAGACTCTTGAAGTCACCTGCACCTTGCTATGCGGAGATTTTCAGAGGCTCACGCGACAATTAAAACAAATTGGTGGTAATCAACTGGAGATTGAAGATAATGATGAATATGGTGACAGGAAAATACTAAACGGAACATCGCATTATTCACGTACTTGGGTGATTGAAAATATTGACGGAGCCAATGATGGTCTTTGGGAGTGCCATGGGACTTCACTGGCCAGATCAGCACGGACTCAATTTCGTATCAACGTCAAAGGTTAGTTTACTATAAAACTGTATTGGAAAAGGGCATAGGGAAGACTTGCTTAAAATTAATGTTAGTGTTTGTATCCGTCGTAACACATCCACTTACACCAGGTCCAGCGGCCTGAGACCACTGACTGCACTGGGCTCCAACCTGCAAGCGGCCATTGCTTTGAAAGCTCTGAAGAATATACCCCCTCCCGCACCCATACCCACGCATATGCGCATGCGTGCGCACGCACACACACACACACAAACAAACATACACACACAAAGTGATGCACCCACATACATACTGTTCCTGCTGCTCCTCCTCCTGCTGCTGCTGTTGCTGTTTCTGTTCTTGTTCTTGTTCTTGCTTGTGTTCTTGTACTGCTGTTTCTGTTGTAGTATTCTATTTCCATTTGCTCAAACAAGAGGCAATATCACCTTCTCACCGGAGAGATTGTTCTGTGATTCCTACCAAAAATTAAATCTATGATATTGTATTCTAAAGATTTAGGGTAATGTACGGGTAGTATAATATTGTTATGATGGTCACAAGTGAGACTGTATGAGAGCTTTCTTCATGACAGCATTTCTCAGGGCAATTGCGCAGACAGAAAGTAAGAAACATTCGCCGCTGAGCTGCAGCTCACAAGAGTGAGCCTGGCAGACACCTAGGGGCAGTGTCTGGACTAAAGCTAGTCGGTGGTGGTTCAAATGCTACCATACAGTCTCGGTTGATAAATTCTTACTATTCAAGTTGAACTCTTTGCAAAATCGGCCGAACCTCAGTGCAGCTCATTTCAGAGAATGTCACCTTTGGAATGGGTGGAGCACCGGCCCGCAGACCCCGGGATGGAGGAACACAGGAAATGTGCTGCCTCCCGCCACGGGTTACTCAAAGGCATCATCTTCCGGAGAAGGCATGGTCAGGGTGAAAATATAGAAAACAAGGGATAGGCAGCAAGTGGAGGCAGTTGGAGACACATTCGAGTAGCTTTTGTTCATAATTATAATTGCTCAATGGACATTGACAGTCTCTCTCTCTCTCATGGGGGCTAAGGTGCAGTCGGGTTGTACAGTCCTAGGATTGCTCACACTCCGCGGGCTTTGTCAATCTTTCAGCATAATCAAGGCAAGCGACATACAGAGCTAGAGAGAAAGAACCCGTTGGAACCACTGCGGCAGCAAAGCACCCTAGCCTGTATCATGGCAAGATGCCACGTCTGCCGGGGCCTTGTTCCTGAGCAATGTGTGCCGCCATAGGCTCTAGTGACTTTCTACACAGGTGTTGGAAATGACTGCACGTGCTCTTGCTGGTCCGCATGCTGTTACTATTTTAAGTATTTCTTGTACAGCTAGTCGAAAGGGCACTATTCACGAGGGGTTCCATAATTGCTCCAGTATGATGCACGTGCAGTGATTCTACAAGTGCATCGCTCTTGCGGTTCTGTTTCCCTGCCTTCCAAAAAGCCATCCACGGAGACATGCAGACCGTGCAGATACATAGACCAAAGATGCTGTTGTGATACTACTAATCATAATATCACATTATAAATTTATATTGGCAGTATATGTGTATGTGTGTGTGCATGTGTGCGTGCGTGCGTGCGTGCGTGTGTGTGTGTGTGTGTGTGTGTGTGTGTTTATGTGTGTGCATATGCATGTGTGTGCGTGTGTGTTGCTTTAGTGGTTGTCGGATCTGTGAAGCTGAGCATTTCCGGCAAGTCGAATGCGTCTGTTATGGAGGAGAGAGCAGGACATCCCCACCACTATAATGTGTATGTGCTTGCCGACACGCCAGTTCTGGCAAAACAGCTGAAATTCCGCTGTCGTGCCACTGATTGGAGTCCAGCACCTCAAAGTCTCACATGGAGCCGTCTTGATGGAGCCAATCTTGTCAAAGATTGGAAGTTGAGACATGGTCCTCAAAACTCGTCTATTCTCATGAGCCTAAGACGTACACTAGATCACACCGTGCTTGGTGAATACTCTTGCAACATCTCGTCCGTTGATGGAGAAACGCAAACACGTATGATAAATCTGCAAGAAGGAGGTATGCCTCTCGTCCAGTTGCTGTCATTTCTGTAATTGCAGTACCAATGACAGTAGTTCTGTGTTCTGTGGCATTCTAACAGGCATACATGTTTTAATATACAAGTATGCTTGTAAGAAGGGTTCGAACTGAGCAGACAAGTTGGTGCTGCAGTTCAAACGCTGTCTTCCAGAAAGAGATGTGTGGCTGGCATGAATAATCGTGACCCATGTGGCTGCATGGGATTGCATCCTGGCAGCAGGCGCGTAGCCCGCATGGGGCACCCCCCCCCCCCCCAAACAAAATTTCGACCTAGGTTAAGCATGCACATAATGGCTATGAATGACACGCACCATCCATCCTACACATAACGTTATGTGGCGTCCCCCCCCCCCCCCCAAGAGGGGGGGGGGCAGCTATGCACCTGTGGCAGTATGGACAGCTGGACCTGATTCGGTAGTACCTTGATGATCGAGGCACTCTTTCTCACTGCCAGTGTAATTCTATTCATTAGACTTGATGATTGGAATCATTAGAATCATTAGAATTCTTACTACACTGTACTACTGCGGTATACTGCGGTATACTGCGGTATAGCAACGCTGATGGAGGTCTTTGTGTTCTTTGCATGATAAATGCACGGAGTGGGTTTTCTTGGGCTTGTGTCAATGCACATTGCAAAATCAGACCCGGTGCTGGTTTGCTGCAGTGCTGGTTTGCCGCAGTGCTGTGGACACACGTGCCTGTTAGTATATAGACTACTGCGCTTGGTGAAAAAAGCATGTTGAGGTCCCGTGGTGACACATGGCCCTATTTCGATACAAGTAGATTTTGTGTTTAGAGTCGAGGAGGCTAGCTGTACATGATTGTACCGTGTGCTGTTTGCAATGCAGAGAAGCCTAGCGCTGAAGACGCATCTGAAAGTAGCAGCACGGGTCTGATTGCCGTCAGCACTGGATGGAACAGCATTACCGAAGTCATTGTTCGTGGAGCCCCTGCTCCTTTACTGATGCTGCAGGTGTCAGTCAATGGCGAGGAGTACAAGCCCATTCACTGGACACCGTGTACAGCAGAGGCTAATGGCCGCAGATTCCAATACCTGGAGAACAGTGATAGCGACAGCACACAGCTGGAAGATTTGGGCATCAAACTTCAAGCCAGTACTAAGCTACATGGCGGCCAGGTCGAGGGCTTGATCGCCTGTGAAGTACAGATTCTTGGCTACTTTCCTAGTCGGCTAAATGACACCATAGATGTAGAAATAAACATCACCTCGAGCAACTTCTTTGGGTCTGATGTCTACTCCAAACCACTAACATTATGTGAGTTATGAAGAGGGTACTGTACCTTTATGGGTGGGTTGCATGACTTCATTCCTTACAGTCACGTAGAAATCAGTGACGGTTGAGATCAACCTCACTTGTCCGCACATGATTTAGTCAGGGGCTCAGAACAGTCTCTGGACAACCCCGGTTTTGTCTGAATAATCCAATCCATACATTTTGGGCATCATGAATGTGTACATGTATAACTATAATGTGACTTTAAACCATTCATGTTGCAGAACCGGGAAAGTACCCCAATCATTCTCTGGATACTCCATGTCTCATCTACTCTAGTTGTAGACATCGATAGTGACGATTTTTTGTATTTGAGTCTCTTGAGTTCGGTATGATGCTTGCGACTGCCCAGATCTGTGTCAAGGCTATTTTGATGACAACATGCTGCTGTGCTGCCTGACCGTTTTAAAACTAGGACGATGTGTCTTGCTTTACGTGCGCTTGAATTCCAGATGAAGCAGTGGGAGATCCTAGCATTGTAATCAGGCCACACTGCCAATCGGATCAGCCTGATGCGACCGAAATGAACACATGCTCCAGATACCTATCCTGCTCTCAGCCCCATCACGCCTACATGATACCATCCATACAGTGGTCACTGAATGGATCACCAGTTCAACCTGGTGCAGACATGCGGGATAGTCGGCATGGCAACTTGGCAACATCCAACCTCGCACTGGACCATGTCAATCTAGCGGATGCTGTTAGATTTTGCTGTGAACCAACCTGGTCGGACTTGGAGCTTAACAAGAGCAGGTGTATTGAGTTGAAAGGTATGCTGCACACTAGTACTCAGCGGCACAGTGCAGACTACCTGCACACTAACACAGTCTACTACGGTACAATCGGGCCGAAGTGAACAAGACTGGTGTAACGCTGGCCGCTGTGCAGTGAATGTTAGCTCTGCAGTGTAGCATGCACAAGAAACACTGGCCGCTGTGCAGTGAATGTGGGCTCTGTTGTAGTCCTGGGGTACTTCACTTGCACACGATTCATCCGGCTTAGCAGGCTGGGAAATTGACTACCATATACATATAGGCTATAGCGACCTGACACCTAGCCCCAACACTTCTTCAAGGCACAAACCAACAGCCTTCCAACTTGGAAGGCTCATGTTCGGAAAGGTCCAAGAGGGGAAGGAAAGCACAACGAAGAAGTGCACGAGCTACGCCCCACGGCAACAAAGAATGCCGAAAGTTACTGGATGATGACGAAACTAGTACTTCGAAGTAAGATTATTGGACATACTGGCCTTACTACAACTCGATGACGCAAAGCAACAGACCACCCAACTTGGGAGGCTCAAGTTTATGTAATAAACATAGAAAGGGAAAGCTAAGCGAAGACAAATTGTGACAAACCGAAACATCAACGTCCGTTTTCACCATAATTTAATTGGCTCACCATCCGAGTTCAATCAACTTTACACATATAGCCCCTGGTCTTATTTACACACTGCATGTACACACCTTGTTGAAATGCTGGTTTTTCTAGCACTTGGATATTTTGACTAAACTAGCTTGCACATGTACACGTAGACCAGTGAATTCTGAATGCACGCCGCAGTTCCGACAGCCCGACATGGGAGTTACCACTGAATCTGGTATTCATATCTGATTAGACGATTCATCCTTCTGCTGTCTCCGCTGATTTTCTTCTGCGTGTTTTTTTTTGCAGCTCCTATGGCCAACATTACGCAAAATGGCCAATTAGTTCCAGGAAAGATACTGCGCGTGTCGAAGATTGAACCACTGGAAGTCACTCTAGCCTGCACAGCTAGTGGCAGTCCTCAACCCAAAGTGATATGGACTGCTGAATCCAGTGCTGGTATGTTGCCAACAAGCGGCCTTTCTCGCCGTCATCTCGTTACCATCAACATCAGTCAACTTGCTCATAATGAAGCGATCAATGTGACTTGTATAGCCAGCAGTGACCTTGGACGTGTTATACGTGATGTCACCATTCTTATGCAAGGTAAGAGAATTGCTTTTCTTGGACATGGTGCTGCTTGGCTCCTCGGCTTCAGAGCATTATAGTTGTGAGTTGCATGATACTCGTGTACAGTAATTTCTTCCAGTGCAGCAGAAAGACCCCACCAACCCTCACTATAACGTTTTGTCATAATATATGGGCTTATTGTACAACACTAAGTACACGTACATGTATACCTGATTGGACCGGGAGCCCGGGATGTCACACTGGGTATTTCCCAAAGTATGCTTGGCCTACTACAAATTATTATAGGCTTCCATCACGTCATGATGTTGTGTACTGTGCTGTATGCCACCTGTGCCTATGTGCTCTTATGACAGACCCAGGCTCGCTTGGTGCTGGTGGTACCAAAAACTCCTCACAGACATACCTCCTAGCAATCATAGCTAGTACAGCCAGTGTCAGTTTCATCTTGTTGGCTGTTGTCTTCATTTTCTGCCGCAAGATACGCCAGCAAGACAAGGAAGTGAGAAAGGTTAGAAGCGACATAAACACATGCCGTATTACATTAAATGAATGCCTTGCCTGTTGACCTGATATTACGACAGGTAGCTCAGGTGGCAGGTAGAGGACACGCTGTTAAGGATTGTGTTCTTGTAGGCACGGAGCAGCAGAACTTCTGTGCAATACTGCTCAGTGTCATGCCGATCAGTGTCGCACTGCTCAGTGTCATACTGCCCAGTGTCATACTGCCCAGTGTCATACTGCCCAGTGTCATACTGCCCAGTGTCATACTGCTAAGTGTCACTGTGTAACTATTAGTCTGTTACACTGACGCTAGTGTGTTTCTTCTGTCTGCATTGTGTGTATTGTGTGTGCATTGTGCCACATGCCCACTTGACAGACTACATTGGAAACACTGATCAAAGGAACACTGCCGCCGCCAGTCGGTATGAGATACGAAAAGCCCGAAGACCTGATGATGCATATGAAGCTGTCGCCTCAAGCATCCACTGCCACCCTTGCTCATCCAGCTATGCTGACGCCCTCACACACAATGCTTAGTCTTCACTCAGTGCAGAGCTTGTGTAAAGCTGATCCAGAGTGGGACGTGCCCATTGAGCACATAACCTGCGGCGAGGAGATTGGCCGCGGTGCGTACGGTATCGTGTTCAGCGGCACCATGATGGACACCAGTAAAGACCCGGACAAGCCACAGCAGGTCAAGGTCGCTATCAAAGTACCTGCTAGTGAGTTGAAGAGCTGCCGTGGCGGAAGTATGCATTGAGTAGCATGGCGGGTATGGAGCATGCATGGCGGGTATCATGTGACTATGCATGGAGCATGCATGGCGGGTATCATGTGACTATGCATGGAGCATGCATGGCGGGTATCATGTGACTATGCATGGAGCATGCATGGCGGGTATCATGTGACTATGCATGGAGCATGCATGGCGGGTATGCTATGCCTGGAGTATGCATGGCAGGTATACTATGCATGAAGTATACATAAGGCTGGTCAGTTAGGCCGGTTTTATTCAGATTACAGAATGGAATACGAGTCGGGGTATCAGCAGGCCTCTTCAAACAGTAGATTTATATCAAGCAGTAATGGCTGGTGACTGTTCGAATGGCCGGTATGTAACCAGTCACATTATAGCTGAGCCTGAAGACAATAAAATGGCCACGTTGATCCATGGTCTGCCTCGGGCCAAAGATGTACATGAGTATACTGCAAAAGTCGCAATATACATATGTACCCGCTGATATTTCCCTTCCCAACAACCGCTGTTCTCTGCATTGTACAGGTGATGGTCTTGATGCCAATGCGGACATTCTGAAGGAGATTGAAATTCTGAAGCAGCTGGGAAAGCAGCCTCATCCGAATGTCATCAGCCTTCTTGGAATCTGCACAGCAAATAGTCGCGGCGCTGGTGCATCAGGTAGGTGTTGTGTCCAGTCACCATAGTCGGTGACACCACGTTCCTAGTGCCGGTGCATGTGTGCTGGTCAGAGATATAATCATTATCTGTTTGATTTTTTTGATAGTTCATGTGTCTGGGAATTCAATAGTACATGTCCTGTGAACAAACATACCGGTATATGTTGAGATGAGGTTGAAAGCTTCATACTTGAACAAGTACACACAAGTACGTATCAGAAAGCAACACATATGGCGACCGGCTTACCATCTTGATCAACTGCTGACTATTTCCGCACTGGTTTGTGTTTTGTTGTTGACCCTCTATCTAGATGGATACATTCTCCTAATGGAGCTTGCCGAACAAGGCAACCTACTCAAGTTGCTACGCCGTCGCCGTGGCTTGTCCAGGAATATCCGCACACAGCTGAGCCAGCTAAACCGAGCAAGCATGGCACTACCAGACACAATCCAGCGGCGAGCCAGCGAAGACAGCATGGTAGTACAGTCCACTCCGTGTGAGATGAGTCCCCAGGATGATAATATGAGTGCCCGCACCATCAATACGCAGTTCACCACCTCGCTGAGTGGTGATAGTACATGCACCAGCAGCAAGGAGAAATCACCGACTAGCCCGGTGGCCGCCATGGATATCCCGTCCATCATGATGGCGCGCATGCAGAGCCGCTCACAGCAAATCCAGCCAGAAGACATGCTGCGACCTCGTGATATTTTCAACTTTGCACGCCAGATTGCCAAGGGAATGGAGTTTCTAGAGTCCCAGCGGGTAGGTGACACAGCTTTCAGCCAGCTAGCTGCTCATTCTTCTGCTGGTACTGGTGCTATTAAAGCACAACATTCAGCTTAGCATACAGCTAATACTGAAATGCATACGGGTACAAGTCGACTGCATACATGGTAGGGTCAGACCAACTGAGAGCGTTTGCCATAGGATCGTGTCAGCAACTGCAGTGCTGGGTGAATTTTCAACTCGGCCAATTCTCAAGACTTGTTATGGAACGGCTTGCCCCTTGGTGTGCTACTAGATGCGTAGATTAACCCAATGGGCGATTCTTGTAGAATGTTTCCATCACAGGCCTCTATTCACACCCTGGCTATTGTATGCATGGGTGTTGTTATTTGATATGCAGTGCGTTCACCGAGACCTGGCGGCACGGAACGTTCTAGTCTGCGAGGACTTCAAGCTGAAGATCTCTGACTTTGGGCACTCACGACAAATGACGGAAGACATGGTCTACCATGGCCGCACGCAGAGGAAAATGCCGGTTAAATGGCATGCTATTGAGTCCCTGTTCGACAGCATCTATACGTCCCAAAGCGATGTGTAAGCAGCTCTCCATCATCTGTTATCAGTTACTTATCACCATTGACCACAAGTACAAAAGCGTAGAACTGAATGTTAGACTAGGTTGTGTGCTAGAATTTGATATTGCCGCATATACTGCAACAAGTTCTACATGTATAGAAGTCTGAGAAGTGCAAAGCGTGCAGCTACATGTTTCTGACTAACCTCTTCCATGTGCTTCTCTCCTTTGCCTCCATTTGATTTGTGTGTGTGTGTGTGTGTGTGTGTGTGTGCGTGCGCGCGTGTGTGACTTGTGTATGTAGATGGTCTTTTGGAGTTGTCCTGTGGGAAGTCGTAACACTTGGTGAGTAATATTTCTTCAACTCACTACCAGCAACGAAAGCAGTATTACATAGTTACTTGCACAGTAAATCAGTGCAATGAACAGGAGAGAGCATACCTTGTGGGTCTGGCGTGCTTGCAAATGCTCCTCCATGTTCGATGCGCAATAGGCAATGTCAGCCTTATCTAGTTCAAAGTACCTCATTCCAACTCCCATTACCTATCAGAAAAAAAGAAATATTTCACGAGCGACCTGTGGTCGAAATTGCCCTGCGGATCACCACACACACCGCGCCACGTCCCCTCTTGCAATACAAAGAGTTACACGATCATAGAAGTACTCAAGCATAATTATAGGAATGGATTATTGTTAAGAACTCCGAACAACAACTCTCCTCTTCACTTCAGGAGCCTGGAAAGCAATCACACAACGGAACCAGGTTCCCGCCAAAAAGTAGCTATGGCACACACACACACACACACACACACACACACACACACACACACACACACACACACACACACACACATACGCAGTGCGATACACGCAGCGTATCTATAGATATACTTATGACATGCAGTCCGGATGCTACGCAGCGCAGCGAGACATCATGAGCAGAATGCAGTCACCCAGTCCACTCCATGACACATGTACCATGCACATCAACTACACTAAGTCTTGTAGTTGTAGGCTCTGTGGAGTGATGGATCAGCTAGCACTAAGACAGTGTCATTACACGTGACTCATGACTAGGGATAGTGTTACACATGACTGGGGAGGATTATGCTATCACTATGAATTATTAGGAGACTGTCATAGGCACAGGTGTCAACATATATTCACAGATCCGTTCTGCTACAAATGAGTATTGGTAGAGTTCGGTTGGGATCCGTTCTGCTACAAATGAGTCAGGGATGAATTTATCCGGTATCGCATCGCAGTTTGCTACGCAAAATCGATCTACTGCTACTCAAAAATCACAGTGACACGCAGAAAACTGCGATACATACATGTACAGGCTATCCATGCTTTTTGTAGCTTACGCCACAATTGAGATTTTGCATAGGAAAAACTGCTATGCAAAAACATGGCAGTAAATTCATCCCTGTGAGTATTGGTAGAGTTCGGTTGGGATTCGTTCTGCTACAAATGAGTATTGGTAGAGTTCGGTTGGGATCCGTTCTGCTACAAATGAGTATTGGTAGAGTTCGGTTGGGATCCGTTCTGCTACAAATGAGTATTGGTAGAGTTCGGTTGGGATCCGTTCTGCTACAAATGAGTATTGGTAGAGTTCGGTTGCTACAAATGAGTATTGGTAGAGTTCGGTTGCTACAAATGAGTATTGGTAGAGTTTGGTTGGCTTGGACTCACAGTACCTGATTTGAGTCTGCTTCTCATCAATGTTGATCACGGTTTACTTGCACCAATGGGTTATTCTTAGTAGACATCCCAATGCTCTGCTTGTGTTTGTTCGCCTCTGTTCGGTTGTGTGGGTGTTACTCAGGATGTATGCCATACCCCGGCGTACCTTACACCAGCCTGTTCACATTACTCACGTCCGGTACGCGCATGCCAAAACCGACGGGTTGCTCGGATAAGCTGTAAGTGCGCTTCACATCATGCATAATCCAGTTCCAAGACGAAATGAGTGTATTCAACCTCACACAACAGCTGTGATGCTAGGTATCTTCTCTACTTGGAGGTTTCATATTACACCCTATCATTTTCACATGGCCCACTGGTCCTGATTTTAAAAGTCCGGACACGGCAGACATGGCTCCATATTGGAGCAGGCAGTCATATTTCCATACCGATCGCTCACTATGTACTCAATGCAAATCTTGATTGTGTTCTTGGCTGGGTTGTGGATTTGCTCTGGGTTGTCAAGCAGGAACACCGACTGTACCAATGCAATGAATGCGGTCTGCATGACATCTTCACAGGCGAACTGATGTAATTGTTGCATAAGTTCCAAATGTGCCTGCTCGAATATGGATATGGCCTCTTTGGTGATAGTTGTCGGAGTACACAGCAGGCAACTTAGGTACACTGAATGTACAGCACTTATGCACACGATTCAATTACATTGCAACACCAGGCAATTCTTTGATTGTGTCTAATGAGTGTAACATTGCTGGTGTGTGCGGTACTGTGCGGTACTGCTGCCTTGCTCTGACCGTGCCTACAGCTATCAGGTCATGTTGGATTGCTGGCAAACCGTACCAGAGGAAAGGCCAAGCTTCACCCAGCTTGTGGAGACCATGGACAATCTGCTAGAAGAGGCAGCGCAAGTAGCTGACGTAAGTTCTTCTCAACGGCCATACCTACGGCAACACTAGTATCGACTTAGCAGGACAGAGCCCATCACATTCCCAATAATATATCAGTCAAGGCATGCACATGCACCCAAGAAAGGACCAGCTACACAACTTTCATTGCTTCTGCATTCGCAGACTCTAGCAGGCCAATGCCATGGTCCCAAGGACTGTTTTGATAATTAGTTACGGTGGTCTGTTTGTCTTCATCAACCAGGGCACCACTTCACTTACGGGGAGGGGGATTAAGCCTGACAAGCACTGACGTATGTTCATATTCCCATTACCGTCACAGGATATCCAATACATTGACGTGCAGGATGTACTCAGGGTACAAGAGTCTGAAGACATCTCTCTGATTGACGAGGAAGAAGAGGAGGCCGATACTTCCACTGAGCGTAAGCTACGCGTGAACATGAGAGCAGAAAAGGTTGTTACTCCAACGGCTGACGAGCACGAACAAAGTGACAGTCAACAGGCACAACTCCAACCACCAGCAAGTCACCACCTGCCCATGATTCTCGAGGTGAACTCTGCGCGCAGTGAAGCACCAGCATTCATGTAGCCAGAACACTCGACCATGTTGTTCTCGATCCGGCTTGCGCGGATAATGACAGATCTATATCAATTCAGTTATTGCTTACTGATGTGCTGGGAGAGAAGGCGCCGTGAAGCTCTTCCACCTAGTGTTGTGTGGGTATTGTTGGTAAGGCACAGCTGCTGCAGTAGTTGTGACTTTGCTGGTACATGTGTAAGTACAGCTGTACTGCAAGCCGTTGGCTACTGCACATGCACCATGCCCGTTCTCCAGCATACAGCGTAACCTAGCAGTTAAAGTACTCTTGAGTAACTCCATCACAGCTAACCAGATATGTGCATCAGCTACATTAACTTATACTGCTAGAGACAGGAACAACTTGACAGTGTATACTATCACACACGCCATATCGGTAATATAGTCTGTTCTTCTAGTCAACAACACCTAGCTCTTTAAAAGCCAACCACCAAGGTTGTATGCCGGATAGTATTTTAAATTAATGTACATAAGCCGCCCAGCAATAAGCTTCTGCATTGTTATCGGTCCTTTGAAGTACATGTAAATTCAGAACATTGAAAACCTATCTCTGCACATCTGAAAAGCGAAATGCGTTCAAATTTCTTAATTTCTCACATAAGCAGAATTCTCTAATATCGTATTGTGCTATAAAACTTGATTTTTCGACCCTCCCTCGCTTCTCATCCGCAGCTCCATAATTGTAAGCTGCTATTTACGTTCAATTACAGCTATGTACGCCGCATTAGCTGCAGAAGAATTTGCAATTGCCGAAATCCAGAAGATTTCACCTCCAACAGCAAGCCAAAGAACATTGGTCTGCACTGTGCAAGACCGATACATATTAGGATATGTTTTTTTAGAAACGTGTCCTGAAGACAGTGGCATGGTGACACTCACGACGCGAAGTTGAGAACACAATCAGATACTAGTGGTTTAGAGGGATACTGCAGTCTGACTGAACCGAATACAATGTCGTATGCAAATTGCACACCAGATCCTACAACTAAAAAGGTAATTTAAAAAGGCTAAATCCTAAAAAGCGCTAAAAGCCAAAAACACCATGTCTAACCTACCACAGAGGTGCCTACGAACAACTAAGGGTGGGAAAGTCACCAAAAATCAATTTTCGCACTGGCACCTAAAAAATAAACAGATATTGCCAGCCCTAAAATGATGAAGTAAAAGGGGTAGTGGGTACTCACACATGGCTTGCATTGCAAGTGGGCCTGGAATTCAGAGCAGCTGATAGTGCTGCTGATCACTAGGCATGATGCCATGCGTGGGGGTTTGGTAGAAAAATTCACAACGTCAACTTGGAACACTACTATTGTAATGCAATGGTGTTTGACTAACTTGTTACTAACTTGTTGGTGTTTGCTCTAGAACTGCCTTTGTACCAGATCCACGGCGGGCCGGCTTCGGCTGGGTAGCACTAGGCTTCCAACCAATAAACTGGACAAAGTCAAAAGTCAGTGGTAGTGCAGTACCATGCTTTTCATCAGACTCACCGTAGTACTCCTTATAGATCTGCTCAGAGCGTGACAGTACACGGCGTGATAAGGGCAAAGAGCTTCGGTCCACCGTGGCATGACTCTCACCCATTCCGCGCAGGTCTCTCATTGCGGCCTGTAAACTTGGATAGCGCACCGTCACCTCGTCCGTATCAACTGTTGTTATCGAAAAACCAGCTGCGGAGAGTAGCGATGCGACGTCAGACGAGCCAGCAAACGGCGAGACGTGCGATGTGAAGCCACCCTTCACCTCCGTCTCAGCAACCTGCAGAGCCGAACGTAGCTGGTACAGTGACTCACCACCCAGCATACAGCCGATCATGACACCGTCCTCTTTCAGCACCTTCTTGATCTAATGCATCATCAAAGAAGCATACATAAACACAGCAAAAGTTACACACAAGTTACAGAGCACCGCGCTGCTGATTTGTTGCAAGTTGCAACCATTGGTTTCCTGTCCATAAGCAATCACCAGACAATGCTGTGGACTAGATCCGCAAATGTGAGCATTGAGCACTCCGTCGAATCCGAACACCTCTCTTTGAAACAGAGCAATTCCATAGAATTCTACACCGATACTCCACGTTGATTTAAAAATGCTGTATTCTTCACTACACTTCATTGCCATCAGTTCGGCCAGGCACACAGGGCAAAACAGCGAGCCGTCTGAAGATTGAATAGAAGCAGATACCACAGGCATGGCATTGTACAAGTACACTCAACTTCACAAGCTGATGCACGTGTACACAGAAACGCTCGATTCGTAGAATCCCCGATCATTCGCGCAAACCACAAGTAAGCTGTGTTCACTGCTAGACTGGGTGCTTACTTCACGCATACCGATACATTTATTTCTCTTATCCGGACCTCTAAGTTACGCGCACATTGATCTACTGGGCACCCTGTAAGGGAGCTTCGTGGAAATATTACCATTCTTTCGCCAATAATTACTCCAATAATTATTGTGGAAAGAGTGACGCCATACGCCAGACCTCTGGCACTTTCCCATCAAAACGTATGTGATTCAGAGTTACGGACATTTCCAAGTTACGGGCAGCTCCCGTCCTGGACCGCCCAGATAAGAGAGATGTGTGTGTATGCTGACACCAAGCAAGTCAAATGCGTTTCTTTGCGTCAGTCAATGGCAAGTCATGTGATCGATGACCAACGCAGCTGAACAGTGAACACATCTACTACGTTGTACCATAAGTTACCTGGTTCAATGTACTGGGAAGATCATTGACCCAGTGTAGACTCATACAGCTAACAACCAAGTCAAATGTGTTCTCCTTGAACGGTATAAACTCTTCATCGGCAACTAGCCTGTACACCTCTTCCACATCTTTTGGGGTGGCGCTTTGCAGCAGCATATGGTCAGAGTAGTCACACTGGATCCACGTCTTCACAATACCTTTGGGCAGGTATTTGGCAACATGCCCACGCCCACAGCCTAGATCCAAGGAGCAAGGAAAGTCCCTCGTCACGTCACTAAGCCTCTCAGCCAGGCCACGTGCTGCGTAGTCCTTCAGGTAATCATAAATATGCACATCCGCTGCTGCTGACGCCCGGTTCTTCTGTATGCGCTTAACTTTCCTGTCGAAGACGTTCACTGTGTTTGGTATTCCAGGAGAAACATGCCTGGTGGTAATTTGGCTGGTCTGTCCAGCAAATAAATCAGCACTGCGACGAAGCAAATTAGCACCAGGTGAACAGCAGCAAGATCTGAGCGGAGCAGCCATTACTCTATCATGACATCTACTAGTACCACCCAGTTCAACCTATGGCCTAGTACCTGGCCTGCGACTCCGTTTGCAGAAGACAACAAACAAATATTTCTACTCTCTTCAGGGCCGGCCGGGGAGCTTGTTTCAAAATCGCGTCTCTTCATTTTTGAATTTTTGTAGGGAGTCGTCCTTTTTTTGACGACCCCCTGAATTTTTGCTTCTGGAACAAAAAAATATTTGAAAAAATAATATCGCGGGAGTTGTGACGTCGCCATTTCCCCGCTTCACGCGCATGCGAGGCAGTGGAATTTTTTCCAACATTTTGCAACCAGAAACACTTTTTCGTGTTTGATCGTTTTCTTTGAACAAAGTTTGTTGGAGTTTTGTTCGATATGAAGTGAGCAATGGCAGCCGTAGACCCGTTGTCCCTATTGAGGGAGTTCACCATAAATAGAAAGGAGATCAAGGAGAGAGCAGGGCAAGTGATCTTTGATAACACCTCCTTTCCCAAGACTGCTAAAACTAACTATGCAATCTACCGGTAAGGAATTTTGAAATAGAATAATGAAAATGAAAAGAAAATGTCAATATTATTCTGATTTCTTGTGTTATCCATCTCTCTTGAAGTTCGTTACTAGTCGAGAACACACCAACCCTGCTATTCACTCTGTGTGATGAATTTCTCACCCCAGGGGGGAGGCATGAAAGTGATAGCGGTGGTGGTGTTAGTCAGAACCCCCACTGACCTGTTTATTTGATCCTACAGATAATAGTTGACAAATTTATCGAACTGAAAACCAGTTGCGGATTAGCATATCTACAAGCTGTTTCACGACATGTCCCCGATATTTTATTCACTTTTAAATGACTGTACGTGCTGTGCTCTAACTAATTTGGACGCTCATGCGATGATTGCAGCCTATTGGGTTGATTTGTTGAATTGTAGTTTCACTCAGAATGACCACTGGTGAAGGGTCTATCTACTATATGTACTGGTGTATGCTATGAAAGTGCAATTCCTTATGAAGCACGGGAAGCGTAGCTTGCATACAGCATCTCGATTTGTTGGGTCATGGTGGATGATGGTAACAGCACCACCCTACTCTGCATGACCACTGGCCGACTTTGCATGGCAAAAGTTTTGAATCTTGGAGATTCAGAAGGTGTTGCCGGCATGCACATTCTTGTGTGCTCGTGTGTAACCGTATGGTATCGCTGTCTGTCTCCAGTACTGGCAAGGAACCGAAAGACTTCTACAGTCTAGAGTCTCTGCTGTTCCTGTTGAAGAATGTCTCGCTATCTCACCCTCTCTATGTCCAGAAGGCCGTGGTAAGTGTTTCATGGGCAATTTACACCGAGTTTAAACTCGACATGCATTTGTCCGTGTGCAGGTGCAATGCAGCACATGATTGATGTATATGCATGATTTGAAATTCTTGCAAGCGTCCTACAATAGTGTATGAATGTATCCACAGACTGGGGTTGTACCATCGCCTTCATCCTTTATGTTGTTCCTAACCGACACGCTAACACTGCACCTGTAAAGTTCACGCCATTGGTGGACCCCATAGAAAGGGTATCCAGAGAGCTTCTGTACTCTTGGCAACATCTGCAGTACTTTTGCTGTCCAGGAACATCTTCCATTCTTTCTTCGCTGAGAAGTGTGTTTGATTGCATGTGTGTAAAGAAATATATTTTGATCAGAAACAAGTACTTCTCGGAACACTGCTGCGATCGCTTCGCCGAATGTGTGAGAGTGATCGAGGTCGGCCTAGGGGTGTTGTGTTTGAGCACTGCTGTCATTTGCGTTGTGCTCGACTCCGTTGCTCCCAGTATTCTTGCAGCCCAGATTGCTGAGTTACTGTGTTCTTGGGTTTGGACCTTGTCAGTGTGCACTACAGGTCCTCCCTCGTTAGTAGATAATCTCTGGGCCATCAAAATTGTTCTCTTGTAACGAGACTTATCTTGTAACAGGACTTGCATCTAAAGGTGAAATAGGCAGTAATTCGCATTTGCCTGGGCTACCCTCGATACAACATAAATGAGCGACGCTTCAACTCGTTATAAGATAATTGAAAATCTCCAACATAGCTCTTCCTTGGATGAAAAAGATCGTGCATATCTACGAATACGTAGATATAATACGTTGTGCCGTTCTGCTTTATCCTATGTGTTTTGGTCTTGGTCCTGCATGATCAATGTTATACTGAGGGTTTGGCACTCCAGGGACCTGGGAAAGGGTCGTTATAACGAATTTTATGTACTAGTGAATTATGTTGTAACCGGACCTGTAAACAGTTGCATAGACCACATTTCGCCAGGGGATTTCAGATTTCTATTTACTAACGGGGTTAATGTACTAACCGGACTCGTTATAACGAGGGAGGACCTGTATAATTGTTTTGGAATTATCTGCATGATTGTGCTTTTCTTTTGCCTCTGCTTGTTACTTGCAGTCTGAGAATATCCCCGTGGTTCGTCTGCCTGACAGAAGAGTAAGGCAACTGAGATCAATACATCTCACATAGGCTTGTATGAATAGTCTTTCCCTGTACTAGCAGGTTACAAGACATGATGACCAGGGTTGTGTTGAATCCACTGTATACACAATTTGAACGAATCTTGCTCCAGCTCTTACCCGCTATATCTCATTCTTTTCTGGCAACCACCAACCGCCATGCAGCAATGAATAGTCAAGGCTGGCGTTGAGCACTGTACGTAAATCAGAAATCCAGCTGTGCAATTATTGTGTCCATATCGGCTTACTTGGGAATGACATGGTGTTTGCATGTATGCATGTGCTCTTTGCAGACACTTCTTCGGTACCTAGGAGGACAGATAGGTAAGAACTAAGAAGCGATAGACGCCTGTTACCCTTGGGCATATTTTTTGCGCACGGTGTAACAGCGTCCTCTGGACGTGTATGTGCAGATGGTGTGTGCATGTGGTGAGCTGTTGTACATTGTCATAGACAACGTGCCTGCTTGACTCAGGCTGGAATGATTGTGAAGTGATTGGTACCTATTCTGTCTACTTCTGCTATTGTGTTGGGCTGTGGACTACTATGACCAGCCCAGCTACAAAATACCAGCTGTGAGGGTGCTGACGTAATAATTATCTTCTATTCCGATTGGTGTTGTTTTTTTTAGATACCTCCGCTAGTATCGATAAAGGAGCTCATTTAGAACTTGGTCTGCCAACTACTGACGGTAAGGATTCAACTCTGTATCTCTATATATGTGTCTCTCTGCCTGTATTTCTGGCTATCTCACTCTGGCTATCGATTTCCTTTTTCGCATGTTGGCTCTTAGCAGGGCTTGTGCCTGTTATGTCTGTGTACTTGTAGCTGTTCCTACGAAAAGGCCCGGAGATGATCTTGTTAGCCCAGCCAAGCGAGTGCGGTCTGAGGTAGGTAAACTTATTCCTAACCATCTCTCTTTCTATTTTTCTGTCTCACACACACTCTCTTTATCTACATGTAGCTATCTCTCCTTCTCCTCCTCCCTGTTTAGTCATTGTCAGTACTGTTGCAGCCCTTTGTTAAACCTTATTCAGCTCGACAACTTTCTGTCTGTGCTTGTAATTTGTCCAGGCTGAAGCATCAGCTGCTGAACCTGTCTCCGAGTCCAGGCCACAAGACAAGAAAACGTAAGCGCTGTTCTCTGCTGTCTCTGTGTTAGTGTATATGTGCCATGTGTGAGTGGGTGGGGTTTTCTGTTAGGATTTGGGCCCGTGTTAGTAACCGTATGTTGCATATGTTTCTTCTTTGTGTTCATGGATTTCTTAGTTTATGTGTGTGTGTGTTTGTGGAGAAGGGGGGGGGGGGCGTCAATTATGGCGCTGAAAATGGTACAGTTTGAAGTGTGAGTCAATACCCTCCTGCTTATTTTCTCACCTTTCTTTTCACGCCTGATGTGCCTTGCTCACACTTTGAATAATACCATTCCGACCACGCTGTGGGTGTCATGTAATTGGTGAGATTTGTGTGTCCTGCGTGAAAGCACCTTACCAGGTATTTTGACACGTCAAACTCTCTTATAATGGTTTGGTCTTCACCTTTTCGCCTCATTTTTAGTTGTAATTATGCTGTTGAGGAGGGAAGACTAGCTGTTTGGGCCGTGTCCCCTACTTTCCCTATTTAGGAGCTGTATTTAGTTTTATGAGCTCAGAAGATGTTTGTAAATTGTGCTTTTATCTCATTTGATTTGCTAATTGTGCGATTGTTGTCTTCTGAACTTGCATCAGGTCTCTCCGCGATGCTATGTCTTCAGAGAGGATTGAGGCGCTGCGGAGGAAGCGTGTGGCTAGGAAGCGTGGCGACCAGGCAAAGCCTGATGAAGATGGCGGTGTGTCAAAGGTAACCCAGGTCTCAGTACATGTTACTTAACCATATTGGCCATGGCTCTGCTAGTCCTTTACAGTCCTCTTGTATTGTTTATGGCAGACATCAAATGATGTTTTCTTTTGTTCTTGATGACTCCAGTGAGAGCTAAACAAACACTCTAATTTTTTACTGATGGTGTCTGCCGCACTTACGTATTTACTTGGGCATAACCTTGCATTGAGTTACGTCCCAGCTCCTACTTGTTGCTTGCTTCACCTGTGTGTGTACGTGTGTATGCATGTGCACGTGCACGTGTATTGTGTGATTGTAGATGCGCGCTCCTGGCCAACCAGATGTGGATGTCGCTCGAGATATTCTGCCTAAGGAGCGCCCTGGCCGAACACGAAACAGCTGTCTTCAGAGCTCTGGAAAGGTTCGTATATTGCTCTTGCCTTAGGTGTACATGTACATGAGCTTGTTTTGGACTTGCTATCCATGCAGCCGTATATTTTCTATTGAAGTCATCCTTGCAGAGACATGTATCCCTCTGCATCCAATGTGTTCTGTTGCATGTGTGTAATCCTGATTGTTGCCCTATATCTATTGTTTTCGTTTGTACTGCAGACTTTCACGAACGTCTTGACAATTGTGCAGTCCATTCGATCTCGGGAAGAGACGGACACACGCAAACAAGACACAAGCAATGGTGCAGCTGCAGCTTCCAGCCAGCAGGTGTGTAGCTAGTCTGTGTGTGTGTGTGTGCGTGTGTGTGTGTTTGTGTGTGTGTGTGTGTGTGTGTGTGTGCGCGGGCCTACATCGCCCTTATGCTCACTACTCCTGTATGGAGCGGAGATTCGGACGTCGAAGGCACGTCAAAGGCAGCGTCACAGTGCTTTCCATTACCAGTGCGTATGCAGCATCGTTGGCATATCAAGTTGGCGATGTGTGTGTGTGTGTGTGTGTACGCGTGCTGCTAAGCTGTAGTGTTTCACTGATTTCTGATCCTGTTATGATGACATACCATCCCTTCTGATCTCTCTTCTCGCATTTCTCCTGACTAGAAAAAGCCACAGCAAGTTGGATACAATCGTTACCAGCAGGAATCGTTCAAAGATAAGCATGGTGAGAGCATTGCTGCATTATTTGATGTGGTTGCCATTGGTATGTCTACTTTCCTAATCGCACCGCCTAAGCAGAGGTTACTCAAGGTTGTACTGTGTGTGTGTGTGGACAATATGTACTAAGTAGTGATGGCACGTGCGTTATGTCCTCGTTTTTGTGTGTAGATACAGAAGGTTTCAAGATCGACACCTTGGGCTCTTTCCATGGTATGAATCTCAAATCTGTAGCGGTGAGTTGATATCAAACTATGATCATCTGTAATGTGCTGTGTGTGTTTGACCAACGTTCTATTTCTCTGCTGTGTGTTTTGATTCTAGTACTCATTCAATGATTATTGCATGTTCATCTTTGCCTAACTCACTGATTATTATTTTGGTTGGACATGTTGTCTTCCAGGAGGGTCAGCAGTCACGTCAGTCTCACTCACACTCGTCGCGTTCGTCTTCGGCACCTTCCGCATCACCCGCCCCACACCAGCGCAGTGCACAGCCTGCACCCGGCCCCGACAATGGTTAGTTTGTGTGTGTGTACGTGTGTGTGTGTGTGTGTGTGTACGTGCACTTACATGCTTGGGAGTCTGACAATGGGTTGGGCATGTATTTCCCAGAAAGCCTGGTGCCCAGCGTTCAGGTGGACTTGTACAGTGTACTGTATTCTCACAATTTGGTGTTTAATCACCGGTCTTCCAATTCCATACCCATACCCCAGCACTATGATTGTGCTACTATGTGTGCAAGAACCGTTTGTTGTTTGCCTTTGTGATGTTTTGCTACTTTTCTGCATCTTTCACAGCGGTTCAACGTTCACTTCATCCACCGAAGCGAGAATCCAGAACACCTATCATTATTATTCCTGGAACACCAACTTCTCTCATCACTATCTACAATGCCAAGGATCTACTGCAGGATTTCAAGTTAGTTTTGCTTGTGTCCCTGACCAACCCACCTTGTGGATTATGTGAATTTACTCTTGGGTACTTGTTATTCATGCAGCTCTAGATAAGTGGCGTTGCCTGACCTGTTCCGAAACCTGATAAGATCTGCGCATGCACACACACACACACACACACACACACACACACACACACACGTGTGCAGTTACCTTATCCCTGATCCATATTTTCTTTTCTTGCTCTGTTGTGTATAGTTGGTTCTCTGCTGGTTTGCGTAGATAGTCAGGACTATGTTGGTTTTTAAATAGGCGTGTCAACGGGTAGTAGGGCAGCAGTTTGCTCCTGAGAACCCAATCGGGTAGTAGGGCAGCAGTTTGCTCCTGAGAACCCGATCGGGTAGTTGGAGTAAACTATACTGTGCCGTGTACATGTGATATGTTCTTTACTCAGGTTTGTGCCCAGCGATGAGAGAAAGAAAGCAGGAGCACGGCGAGACAATGAAGTGTTGATCCAGAGAACGCGTGCGGCCAACCCTGGCTCAGGATCCAGCTCCATATCCGTCCCATATCGCGTTACTGATAACCCACAGAAACTGTCGGCGAATGAGTGGTGAGTTACTTGTGTAACTTGTTCAGACCTTCGTGTAAGAAAAATCCAGGAGAGTGAACAATCACTCTCGCTATCCTCTCAAGGAGAGTGGTGGGAGAGCAGTCCCCCCCCCCCCCCCCCCAAAAGTCGCTCGCCTTATCTATCCAAGGCGAGCACAATACGGGTTTTTTCAACATCTTGCCATACCCCAATCGGATTCAATACCCAATAGCTGCCAAATTCGTTCTGGAAAATCGCCGTACGCACTACAAATGAAAGCTGTTCGGACCACAACTTTAGTTTCCCTTCATCAGGGACAATGACACACGCAATGGGAAATTGAGACAATTCGCTAAGAAGTAAGATCCATGGTATTTTGTAGTATTCATCGTAGAGCGCTCCTTTAGTTTGAGGCTTTGTTCTGTAGCTGACGGCTAAAGACCTGTGCCTGGCGTCACACGTACACAGGTCTATGCATGCCCGGACTGTCACGCAACAGGGAAATCCTTCAAGATACTATGATTGCCACCCAATTGCGGAAGTGAAAATTTGCAACGGTACGTAAAATACCTTGCGAGTGCCGTAACTCCACTATTGGACCTCGGATCGACTTCCGATTTGTTGGAGCCGACAGCTGAGAACTTTCTAATGCGAATATCGATTACTCGATTCCGTTCAGGGAAAGCCGAGTTACGAAATAATTGAGTGTTTTCAGAACTTCATAGTGATGCGGATGCGCTCGAAATTCTCCAGGCGCGCGACGAAAAGTGCGCCCTAAAAGAAAATAAGGAGAGCGAAGGCGCGCGAGAGCGATCGCTCTCCTTTTACCAGATGGTCTGTTGTTTGTAGTTTACCCTGGCTGACCAGACTGCCGTATTGGTATGTAATTGTGTCCTGGTGTCATCAACAGGGAATTGTACAATTTATACTTGTCCGGCTTCGCTTTGACCTTTTCCATGCCTGTGTATCTGAACTGGATGATGTGCATTCGCTATTTGTGCTCCTGTTGTTTAGGAACCGCGTTGTGGCAGTGTTTGTTCAAGGCCCGGCTTGGCAGTTCAAGGGCTGGCCACTGCTGGGTGAGGATAACTCACCTGTGGAGATCTTTTCGAAAAGTGAGTACTTGTGTGGATATGCTGCATATCTGTATCTTGCTCTCGGTAGTCTCTCTCTCTCTCTCTCTCCCTCTGACACACATACACTCCAAGTACACCTACTTCGGATTCGACCAAATGGTCACGTTCACTCTGAGTGCACTTTCTCGGAATTCGCCCAATCGGTCATGCCCTAAGTACCCCAACAATTTTGGATGGGATATCAACTCAATATTCTGTTTTTAGTAATCTACTTTTAATTTTTGACTTTTCCATTGCTAATTGCATGTGCGATGTGTTCTTCCTTCTTGCTACAGTCAAAGCATTTCACATGAAGTATAATCTGGCCAAATTAGATGCTAATGTACAGAAATGGGATGTATCCATCTTGGAGGTAAGGAATGCTGCACTGCTGTGTATTTTTGACTATTTAAATTTCATGTCACCGGAGGATGCACCCAGTGTGCTGATAGTGCGCAACACTGGGGAGGCAGAGTGTAGTACACAGAACAAGGGCAATCAAGGCTAGTTAGTCGCTACCCTGAGTTTCATGCATTACGCAATCATCAGGCAACTGTTCTGTGTAAATTCATGTCATAATGATAGTATTGGCAATGGTCTGTTCCATTCATGTATTGTACATTCATATCCAGTCATTGTCATCTAGCACGACGTATCTGCTGGTCCCTGTGTATTTCACTACTGAATGACCGTGTTATCTGTTGTGAATTATCTGTAGCTTCATGCAACACGTCGCCATCTTGATAAGCCAACTATGATGCGCTTCTGGGAAGGTCTGGATAAGTAAGTGGTCCGTGCCATGCTTCTATTATCTGCTTTGACTACTGGGGATGGCTGGTCTGATGAGCTGTGAGGCATTACAATTGTAGTTGTAACAAGCGAATCCGGCCCTTGCCATAGGGGACTGCGCCCCATTTGCAACTTTGGTAATGTAAGATGTCTCTTGTTGCGCAAAGCCGTGCATAGGTCCGCTGAAGAAATTCTAAAGGTCATAGCCTCTGTACATGCAACAAACGTTCTTGTTGTATGGGAACCTTCTCCCTAGCCTTAGATGCTCCCCACGTGTTGCGCTTTTGTAGAGCCTGGGCTTGCTTGTGTGAAATTTTCAATAATTGTTATTCAAAATTGCAAATTAGTGGGTGACAGGTGGCAGTGGCTCAAACTGACAACCTAAACAACGCACTGGGTCTCGCAATAAAAATGCAGTGCGCACTAGTGTACGAACGCTACTGTATATGGCACCATAAGTTAAAGGGGAAGTATACCCTAAAATCAAATTTTCACCAGTTGTAGTCTTCTGGGTGCTGAGTCGAATGGTCTTGGTCCGAGGAAGCTGCGATGCTCCCTTCCTACTTGAATCCCAATCGAACTCGCGCACTTCCACCGAAACTGGGTGACTGCGCCCTACTAGATGGGGATTTGTATGCAAAATGTCACTAAAAGCGCCATTCCGTTCTTATAAAAGCACGGATGACCGCGATTGGCCCATATGTTGTAGTCTTTTGGACGCTGAGTCGACTGGTTTTGGTCCGAAAAGGCTGCGATGCAGCGTTTCTCCTTTATTCCCAATCGAACATGGTTGAACAAGCGGTCACGTGCTCCTGGGTGCCCAAATCACCTGGTCACCGCCCCAGCAGGCGACAACTTTCACACCAAGGTTCAACTCGAGTTCAACTCGAGTGACAGGAGTGCACCCAAAAAAGGTCAAACAGGCTAGTAAGTTGTACCCTGCAGGCACGGTGACCAGGTGACTGGTGTACGCAGGAGCACGTGACCGCTTGTTCAACCATGTTCGATTGGGAATAAAGGAGGAACGCTGCATCGCAGCCTTTTCGGACCAAAACCAGTCGACTCAGCGTCCAAAAGACTACAACATATGGGCCAATCGCGGTCATCCGTGCTTTTATAAGAACGAAATGGCGCTTTTAGTGACATTTTGCATACAAATCCCCATCTCGTAGGGCGCAGTCACCCAGTTTCGGTGGAAGTGCGCGAGTTCGATTGGGATTCAAGTAGGAAGGGAGCGTCTCAGCTTCCTCGGACCAAGACCATTCGACTCAGCACCCCGAAGACTACAACTGGTGAAAATTTGATTTTAGGGTATACTTCCCCTTTAACATCTTAGAGGAGATCAGTTGATGTATCCCAATAAAACGGTTTATCTCTCTCTCTCTCTCTCTCTCTCTCTCTCTCTCTCTCTCTCTCTCTCTCTCTCTCTCTCTCTCTCTCTCTCTCTCTCTCTCTCTCTCGCACAGGTTCACGAAGAAGAACATGGGCCACCTTCGTCTGTGATGAGTAGTCGCCGCTGTGTGGGAAACTGCCCTCTCTCCCACTTGCCCATCCCGAAATTATGTGTATATTATTTGTTCAGCTACTGTACATAATGAGCCGCTGGTATAATAACTGATTTGTGCATTTTTCCTTGTGCGTTCGGTCAACTAGTGTACATCTGGTATGCTATACACTGTGTTTTCCTATTCATACTAGTATCGATAACATGCAAACGAAACACAAACACATTATGAAACAGCTGCATACTTGACCAAGTTTCTTCATAAAAATTTCCTTTGCTTAGAGGAAGTGCTTTCACCGATCTTTGAATCGTCTCTTCTGTTGTACTGTCGACATGTGCTGTCTGCATTGGTCATGAAACCACTTTTTGTTGCATATTATTTTATCACATTAATGATCACACCATTCTTCAGTGTTGCAATTATTTTTGGACATGGAAATTCAATACCAGTACGTCAACGCGACGCGTGTACAATAGTGTGTACCTGTGAGTGTGAGGGAGCCACCAATAGCCACCTTAGCGCAATAGAAACACAATCCACGCAGCGCTATTGTCATAGCAGCAGTCGATGGGGTGATAGTTTATCACAATTTGTGGCGATAATTTTGCAGTGTTCCCTATATTTTTTTTTATCAATGATTGTAGATCCTGAAGGATCAGAAAACAGTCGATAGGGTGACAGTTTATCACAATTGTGTGGCGATAAATAACGCACCTGCATGGTCCATTGTCACCAGGGAGTAGTACAATACCATATATTGGTATTGTACTACTCCCTGATTGTCACCATGCATGCAGGTGTGGTATTTTATCACCACAAAGTCATTGTGATAAACTGCCACCACATTATGGAATGAGCAACATGGCCAACTGATCACATCGACACTTGTCAAGGAAGGGAGCAACTTCACCACGTGAAAGTTGGCGTAAAACTTCTAATTCCGACGCGAGCTAGCTCCCGGTCACTCGTGTTGTTTTTCGACTAGCATCTAGCCAAAACTCGGCACCCACACAGTCAGCCCTCCTAATTTTTTTGGTAAAAGGGCCGATCGCACAAACGTGTGCGTGTGTGAGAGGGGATGGGGTTGACGAGGAGAAATATATCCTTTTCGTAACGCTGCTTTACACACCACCTTTCATGACAGCATGTGAACAGGACATCAACACCTTACTGCTTGCTCGGCTGACGGCTGCAAAAAAATTCACTCCCTGTGCTGCAGCTCATGCATTTCACTGCAAGCTGAAGAATTCCATGCGACTTCAGAGAACATCTGCACCCCAGCACCCCACAATGATGGAATAAACACATGAATACGACTTGTACAAATTAAAAATTGTAGAGTAACCAAATAAAATTCGCACACACCGGATGAGAAGCGCAACGTTGACTGCTATATACATGAGAATATGCTAGGTTAGTAGAAATGATTTCATGAAAGAAAAGAGGCTAGGAATCTATTCACTGAGTTTTGACTTCAGACTGCTGGCACCCCACCACAGCAACAGAGCAGAGATGAAAGCAAGGAATTCGGTTTGGATGAAGAGACTTGTTCGTGCCAATCCCTGTCAGCAAAAGCATACAAATGAACATGAGAATTATTGTAAAGACAAGCTTTCGCTACAGATGCCTTACTGAACAGTATAACATGGCGGGCAAAATGGATATAACAAGCCATTTCATCGTAACAATATCAATATCTCCGAAGTATCAAGCCAAACAGTATAAATCTGCACGGGAAAAGTTATCAGCAGCTCTAACTGCTAACACTTCCACCTCACTGAGCAACAATCTCTACAACAAACTGTCCCCAGAGTAATGTACGCAACAAAGCTGTCATATTAGTGGTTGGTATGTCCACACAAGGGCTGCAGAAATTGTACATGTGCCCTATTCTGGAGCAGGGTCACTCATAGAGACAACGACCAAAATGTTCAAACCTACTGATCTGCTTTCATTTCACAACCAGAGTAGAATATAAAACGTATTACATATTGAAGTTCTTCTAATTGTCCGCAAACTCCAACGCAGCCATTAACACATTTAGGAAAAAATTACTACTCAGATGATGGGCCAGGCCTGAAATTTGGGGTAATGTAAATTTGAATCGCAGTGAAGAGACCGTTTTTGGAGTTGAGAAGTGAAATTTCCTAAATACATATTGAAGTATACAAACAAGCTATGGACATCAGCATAAAATTTAATACTATCAAAGTACTCTCACAAGAACGAGAATGTTTGCGTTTACCGCCATATTGCCAGGTGTGTCTTTACCACCATATTAATCAACCATAAGGACAGCTGCAGTGGTGTCTTCAATTTCATGTTTGAAGTACTCGTGAAAATTCTCAAGATACTGACAAAGAGCCTGAAGTGTGTTTTTCTCCTTGGTATTAAAGTACTCTCACCCTACATGTAAGAACTTACAGGGTGCTCAATGGTGATGGACTTCAGGGGCTTGACATCTGATGTAGCACCACTTCTTTGTGCCTAAAGGAAAGCAGTGGCAGCAACAGCATCAGAAACTAATTCTATAGAACGAAGATACCTCCACAGAAACACAGAAATACCAAGGTACAGCACGCATCCTAGGGAGGGCAAAGGCAGTAGCGCTTTGGTTGAGCGGCTATGCTCGCTTGTGAGCCAGGAGCTTTTCCGGGGATTTAGATGCTATCAAAAGTACAACTCCATACGAGTCTTCGGACACAAATTCGTCATTTACTTCCTTGAGTCGGGGAAGACAAGATCCGCGACTGAAGTGTTGTGCTGCATCAGTATCACCGGTATAATGTTGTACGGATCTAAGTCAAGGATGTAAATGATGGATGCTCTGTTCAGAACCGAGATGCGGAGCTGCACGCCCTGGTTTACAGCATGTACTCTTCATGTTATGCAGAGACCATGCTGCACTGTGTAAGGAGTTCTTTCAAAAGTCGGGGAGTTCAGATATTAGAGCCCCAGTTACAGAGTACGCTAGAAGTCCGTACGGAAGCAGGTTCAGGATTCGCACAGTAACTTAATAACCAATCTGCAGCTCACAAAATTCTACTACAGGTAGAATCCTGATAATTCGAATATGGCTTAATTCGAATATACCGCTTAATTAGAAGTTTTTCCAGGACCGATTTCTATCAATACGATTCCCACATAAAATTTTCTGATAATTCGAACCCCAAACGGGATATGTCCGGTTAATTAGAAGTCCGACAGATTCCACTTACATAGAAAATGTGTGGGATTTGTGCTGATAATTCGAAGTTAGCAGAGTGTAATTCGAAGTTCACTGTACATTGTACTGGTCAGTTCAGTGTTCATGACCAGGCTGCGCCGGTCAGTTCAGTATCCGTGAAATCTGTGTCTAAGGTCCATTACGCAACTCTGCGTGACCATGAGAGCATTTGGACATACATATTGTGTTGTCGGTTCATGTTTGGATAATAGATGATATGCCAAATAACGTGCAACTAGACTTGAGAGGGCATTGCAGAGTAGTTGCATACAAAGTTCAAAGTTGTACGGTTACCTGTGACTTGCATTCCTGCAGATCTCAGGGTCTATCGTGTACACATTGTAGTACAATTTGTATTCAACTTGTGTGCGATGCCCTCTCAAGTCTAGTTGCGCGTTATTTGGCATATCATCTATTAGAATGTCCTGATAATTAGAAGTTTTTTCCTGGCATTTTGAGGTTCGAATTATCAGGATTCCACCTGTACAAGCCAAATTTCATAGTTTTTCCAGTGGAACAGGAGCTATGCAGGAACTTCAAACCTCAAGTTTGATCCAGTAGAGGGACATGCCAAGAACTTGGATTGAAATCAACACGGCTGGAATTCTAAGTAGAAATAGATATCCAAATGGCAGCTTGAGCTCCAGTTTGCCGGGGAAAGATACCAGTAGACAATGCAAAGTACATGATAACTACATCGACACACCCACATAGTACCAAAAAGTACATAACCACCAAGAGTGCGCAACTACCTGCACAACCTCTATAGTGCTGCGACGGCAGAAATTCACATCACGTGACATGGTTCAACAGATTGTGCTGGCAAACAGTGCAAAGTGATCACAAAGAGAGTTGAACCCAAAGCAGGGTTGCGCACAACCCGGTATCTATCATGTGCAATGTGCAAATAATGTGTACTGGTTTTTCATGTGATGTGAAGTTCTGCGTTCTCAGACCCCATAGCTAGAGTTGCACACTCTTGGGGGTTATGTACTCTTGATAGTACCAACAGAGCTGAAATGCCAATGAAGGACACTCACCCTTCTGAGTGCGGCAAATCCTTCTTCAGACAAGATGTTGACAGTGTAGGGACCGTTCTTGACAGCCTTGTGCTCACCGCTCCAGCTCACCTGACAATGCAAGAACAGGATATGGAGAAACACTTCCAGACTTCCATACACTAGCAATCTTGCCACAATCTCTTCAAGCACTAACTGCATACAGAAGCAAAGCAGTCTATTCTATTAATAATTTGTACATGGTTAGCACAAACCAGGTGACATGACCATAGTGATGCATCCAACTCCAAAGTTACACGCGTGAAAGCTGAATGGTGGCAAGCACCAAACAAATCAATGCTTGTCATGTTGTAAATAGCAGAGTGAGAGCACAACAGCCAGCACTAGACTGTAGACAGTACGAACTTTCACATCCACGCGAAAGACAGTGGAGATGCACAGCCATCACAGCATACACATGCCAATAATACGGTGTGAACCATGCCAAGAACTAGTGTTTACGCCTGCTTTGTACTGCTCCACATTCTACAGCGAAAGGTGGGTCGAGAGGTTTGGAAAGTGGTGAAGCAAACACATCACCAGCATGATACAGCTGTGACCGGCGACTAGTTCCACAACTCTAAAAAAACACTATCGCCCCAACTAAAATGACTACAGGTTTCATACCCCAGAACAAGTAAGCAGCAACTGGACATCTTAAGTGTTCAGCATAGCGGGGGAAACGGTGTGGCGGTGTATTTGCAGTGGTACACTGAGTGATACTGATAGTCCGCGCATGGTGTAACAGCAAGAGTCAATCAATAATTAGGTGACAGCTGTAACCATGACAATGATGGTGTCCACAGCATACGCAGCAACCAAACAATTAGTGCATGTATTTACAAAACAAGACCAATGCTTCCTTACTTCATACGAATTGCTTTCAGTGGATGCCACGACAGGAAGAACATCATCACCGACAGCGGCAAAGAATTTAGCCTGAGGAAAGAACAGGACAGAATTTTTTGAACATTCAGAATTGAAAATTTCAAAAATTCATTGTCCGAAGTGCCACGTCGGCACACCAACACATCTCACAAAATGGAAATTATCTGACCTACCTCAGCATCAGAAGAGCATTTGGCTTTGAATTCAGCGATGAGAACAGTTTTACTGGACATCATCTTGTCCGTGGTGGTGTAGGTAGATACATCACTAAATTGGCAAGTGGCTGCCGCTGCATTGAGCAACAAACACACGAGCGAACATAATTGACGTGTCACTGAGAATCTCACAATATCTTGATGTCAAACTTCGGGACTGCAAAACTCCTACACCACATCCTGATGGTAAATTATACTATGTTCACACTTTCTCAAATTATCTGATCTGGCTACTGTCCTCACCATGTCCACTTAGAGACAAAACAGCCACAAGAAGAACAGCGACCTCCATCGTCATCTCCATCTTCGAATTACAATGTAAAAATGAGAGTTTCGCAGTGCGCATGCGCGAAATGACTCAGGAAGAAGATGGCGCAGCAGCTGTCCGCTGAAGAATTCTCTCGTCTGCAGGTAGCGAATGAAGAATTGGGGAATGGCTTTTTGGACAAGCTTTTTCAGTGATTTGCCTTGCTGTGGGATTGTCACTATAGAGTCAATTGATTGAACTGCGGACAGAGAATTATCAGCTTCGGGAGAAAGGCTCGAAACTTGAGACAGGTGAGACAAATATCACCCCCTAAATTGATATCAGAGTGTAGTGCGTAGCGTGGGGTGAAGCAATGCGTACCAATTTGAGTTTTTTGAACAATTCACAACATACCACTCATGGCACCACTCAGGAAGTTTCCAAGTCGCTTTTTTATGAAATAGTGAATGTTTCGTCACATTGATGTAATGGCTATGAATTTGTTTTCCAATTTTCGTTTGACGTGAGATGTATCACATTACCCTATTATGGGTGTGGCGGATACCTTATTTGCACTTTCGTGTACGCACGCATGTGAAGGTATCAAGCCATTGAAGGTGTTTTGTAGGTTGGAAAACACCAGCTACCGCCGGAAATAGATACACATGATCAGTCAAATGTGCCAATTCATCTACATCTACATGTACATGCGCAGGACTTTCATTGACATTGTAGTACTTGTATCCCCATGATGACTCATCATATTAAAATTATGAGAACATTACCGTAAAGTCCGCTGCAAACGCCCACTTCGCTGCAAACGCCCACCCCAGCGGATCCATACTATTTTCGTCTTTTTCAGGTCAATATAGTTTTCAAACGACCCACGTGCCCTTTGCTAGGTTACGACCAATCAGCAGCCTCGGAGAGCGGGCTTTGATATTCCATCAAAGCCCGCTGTCATTGACAACCTGTACGGGAAAACCATCAAAGCCCGCTGCCATTGGCAACTGTACGACAAAACCATCAAAGCCCTGATCATGCCCAATCTCAGTCTTTTCAAGGTGATCTGGCTATAAGAACAAGAAACCGATAGGGGTGGTGGTCGGGGATGCGGTGGCTCTCAACTTGTGGAGTTGGAAATCTAGCTCCAGCGCCGCAGAACTCTCAGCAGTATGCAGCGTGAGCAAGGCGTGTATGGTGGAAGTGAAAATACTTCCGTGACTCTTCAGCCACGTCTGGCTCTTGACACGTAGTCCTGAGAAATTTCTCACGAAACAGGTTTTTCGTCCACTGACATTACTTTGAGTTTCCCTTTGCTGTAATCTCTGTGTGAAACTTACGAACGGGACGAAAACGACATGCACTTTAGACTTCAGGCTGCTCTGAAATCCCAAAGGAAAGGCCGACATTGTCCACACTCGAGATCACCCAAAGAATGAAGCGAGTTTGATTCAAAATAAAAAAAAATGTTGGGGATCGTCTGAAGCATATTCAAGCGAGGTACAGTCGGGCTTGATGACTGATCAAAGCCCTCGGGCCCAGCCCTTGGGCCTACGGCCCTCGGGCTGGACCCTTGGGCTTTGATCAGCCATCAAGCCCTTTGTACCTCGCTTGATTATCTACGTAGAAAACTGGCATGAAGGTCGAATGCGTACGAGAACGACCAAAATGCTTACAAACTGCCCATGTCTTACCAAGAGGCTCTGCAAAAGCGATTGTCATTATCTTGCTGCAAAGAAATTCGGTGGAGACTTCCTTTCATACGATAAATGAGTCGCCTTTGTTATTAGTTCGTTCTCCATGAAGTAATGCCGTAGAATCCATCTGGTTTTCAAATCATGAAATATCTGCAGTGCCACGATGTCGCGCTTTCAGAATGGAACGGTGATTGTTCTGACGAAGCGTCATTCAGCGTCGCAGTATTGCAGTTGCAAGTCGAACAGGGGGGATGTCACAGAAGCTGCACCTACAGAGTCGCTGCTAACTTGTTGAAAACTCTGAAGTGCTCGAGAAAAACCCTTGCCATTGCGTTTTGCGTGATTTGGAAATGATGGCTTGAAACACCGTCAGAAGTGTACTAAGGGTCCTGCAATAGCCTGTTCTTCGCTACCTTGTTATTCCGAAGTAACTCCCGTTTGGATTTGCGAAGTGAAACAACCAACATCATACAATCAATAGGAGCTAGCTCGTAACTAGTGCCCAAAAACATTTTGAAACCCGGAAACTGGACATAGTGTACCGTAGCAAAGCACTCCTCGCGCTACGGTGTGAGATGCACTTTCGTACAGCAGGGGTGAAAGTGCATGGGGTCAGTGCGTATAGGCCAGCAGATCTTGCAAAAATAGGGTGGGCGTTTGCAGCGGACTTTACGGTATTAATATTATGACGGAGAACCCAAAGGCATGCAATACGGCTTATGCCGGTTAGTACAAGTTGTACAGATCCACGAAATCCCGTAGACCCGGTTGGGTGTTGAATGTGCAGGACCCTATTGTGGGCCCTGCAGGAATTTCATACAATATCCTTTTTCTGACAAAGATCTAGCTAGTCATTAGTTCTAACCAAAGTGAAGAAGCTGGAAAAGCGATTGCTTGCCAATAAATTATAAGGCTAAGAGGTCAAATGCGCATGCATAGCACACGATGAACACCCAACCGGGTCTACGGGATTCTACGGGATTTCCTGGATCTGTACAACTAGTACTAACCGGCATAAGGTCTATGGTACCTAAACATGATAGTGAAATAAAAATAATTCAACATTGACCCATGAGCACACGTGCGCGCTGACATGCTGGCATTATCAGTCGTGTGCACCTGCACTTGACCACATATGTGCACCCGCGAGCACGCTCTCACCACTACCATCACCGATTAGTTGCCCACAGTGAACCACGCCGCTCTCAGAAACGGGAGACAACTGGAAAGAAAGATGCAGGAAAATATCAGAGCTCTCGTGAGAACAGGTTGAGATCCCGACTCAACCATCCGGCATTATCGAACATTTTCACAGAACGAAAGAGTTTTGTTATGACTTAATCATGAACAAAAAATGTATTGTCTTGACAGCTAAAATTGATTGGTGTTTCAGTTATCAATATTTTTCAATATGAAACTACTCCACCCACAAACAAAACTTTTTTCGTTTAGTGTAAAAGAGTAAAAGCTCGATAATTACGGACGGCCCCTAATTTTGTAATGCTGCTGCAATGTAGATGAACTTTTTTTGTGATCGTGTTTCTTGTGGCAGAGGTCACCGGCTTACGGAGTAAAGTAACCACCCAAGATCGCGAGATCCAGCTAAAGCGAGTATGTTGTGTGGTTGGTGTGGACAAGTGTTAGTCTTCGTTTATCTGCACGTGAACTTGCCATGCTTTCCTTGGTACAGGCCATACTTTTATCTCTTTTAGTCTTAGAGATAGAGCGTACCCTTCAGTACACACAAACACATTACTTCATTATTTTTTTAAATCATCATGGTAGTATGTCAGCATCATTTATGCTAGTTTAGAATGCTCCTTACTTGATGCCACTCTGCATCTTGATTCATCCAGTATTGCAGCCAGTGTAATGGATTTTTCTGTGACTGCTATTCACAGGTTACCAGTCTTCTGCCGATCAGCAAGAGTAGTAAGAAACAGAAGGTGAGCTGGTTTGTGCTGGCCTTGTCACTACAGTACAGTCGGGTTCCAAAGAATGGGGGGGGGGGGCAGCCACGTAGCCTAGGCCGTTCTTATTTTCATGTACTATGGTCCATGCACAGTTTAGTCGCCGTGGTATGCTGTGCTTGTTGAACTTCCAGCCTGGCCGTTCGCTTTATCTTGTCCAATTCGAACCATGGAGTGCATTGGTATTTCCTACAGTCGGTCAGGTTCCTGACAGGATGGAGTTATGGCTTTTGAGTTCCTTTCGCTTCATTGCACCTAACTTTTGCATTTGTGATTTCTTTTGACCTTCAATTGATTCATTGGCCACATTGATAGGTTTTCTTACATAATGTTGTTTCGTTTGTGGTTTACTTGCTATTTGCAGCAAGACTTTGAGGCAACTTTGGAAGAAAATGATGCTTTGTACAAGAAAGTCGAGGTAAGTTCTGGGTTTTTTTGGTATCCTTTCGGTGTTCCCTCTTGTGACTCTCCCATCTATTACCTTTGTGTGAGTACAAATGCAAGCACGTTGTGTGAATGTGTGTGTCTCTGTGTGTGTGTCTGTGTGTGTGTGTCTCTGTGTGTATGTCTGTGTGTGTGTGTGTGTCTGTGTGTGTGTGTCTCTGTGTGCCTGTGTGTCTGTGTCCATCGTAGCGGTTGGAAGATGAGCACCGCAAACAACAATCCACGTTGATGCAAGAGCTGGCCAAGGTACCGCTTATAGTATGCATGTAGACAGTCCGCGTAATACATTAGTCAGTGTTTTCACTCTAGTACTGTAGCCTGTAGTCTGTTATTAGGTCAGTAAAAGTAGAGGTAAAGGTAACCGTGGATATGACCCGTATTTCGTTCTTGCAATAAGGCAGGAGGAGGTGTTAGAGACCTGTTTCAACTTTCAATGAGGTCGACAATGTCTACTCTCACCTGTTGCCTTTTGCGCCCCTAACTGAAAGTCACTAAAACTGGAATCGAACCCAAACCCTCATGTTTGGAAGACTACTTTCATCACTTTGCCAACTACGCACCCCAGAATGTATGCTATTGCATGCGGTTAGGGGAGGAACCAGTTAGGGGACAGTGGAATACAGTAAAACCTGTAATAGCGACCACTCGACCATGGCGACCACATTTCCTTGTCACGGACTCATTCACATTCAAAACAGCTCGGATAAGGCGACCACTCGCTCAACGCGACCGATGACCACCCACCCGCGACCGCGTTGCACAGTGCTAGTACATGTAAATGTATGCATTGCATGGTGCACCATGCATGGTAGATCTACACATCAGTGCAGGAAGTGTAGATGTGCATGGTGCATGCACGGCACTTGACAGGTCTGAGGACCCCAGGCGCATGAGTTGTGCTAGAGTAGCATAGGTGTGTTCACTGTGATACACTGATCAAAATGATGTATCACATATGGATATGGTCACACGACCCACTGCACCTGGATAAGAAGACCACCTGGCCACGGCGACCACTTTTTCTCGTCCCTTGAGGGGTTGCCTTAGACAGGTTTCACTCTATGTCCACATATCATGTACACTTGCTACACAAACACAGCCGCATGACATCCATGTGCAACAGGTCTACATACAATTGTAAGTGTTCGTATGTACCTTTAATACTTGTTGATGTTTGTTGTGTGACTAACACTAGGTTCATGATGAACTTGAACAAACACGCAGAGAACGTGACAGGTTGCGTGGCGACGGCACCGAGCCTGGTGCGGCTGCAGCAACCGTCGGTAGCGTCTCAGCAGCGCATAGCACTGTGGATGTTGACGACGGAGAGCTCAGGCATTTGCAGGCCCAGAATGCCGTCCTGCAGAAGACGCTGACGTGTGAGTGTCTTTGTTTGGATGTGTATTTGACGATTTGTGCATCCGGGTGGCAAATTTGATCAGCTGCCAATTGTTTTTACTTCGGAATCCCGGTCAGTACCTGAAGTGCCATACTACAGCTGTCGAAATTCTGGTAACACAGTCATATCATTTCTGTACTATTTACTCACCCGGTATTATTGTTGGGTCTGTGTGTCATATTAAACTTTTGCAGCGCTGCTGGTCACAAAGCAGCTGACCTGGCGATGCAAAGGCCACATTAATCTACATGTATCTAGTCCTAGCTCTTAGTTGTTCACTCTAATACATGACTGTACATGTTCCAGCCATCCGGTACATTGGACCTTTTCTGCATGCCTGCATACAGATATATCATGGGAGTGAGAGATGCAGGCTCTATCCTATCCGTATTCGTATTAGAGAAGGTGACCTGGTGACGTTAGCACCCGTGTCATGTATTGCTGGTGTGCATCTTCCACCATGTGTTCTACAGCTACGCGAGAGTCCATGCAACAGCAGATACAAGCTCTTGAAGCAAGACTTCAGTAGGTTCTTTGTTTTGTTATCTCCTCATCTAAAGCACAGTTAATGTCTTCCAGTTTGAACAACTCCTGCATGCTGTTGATATTCGAGCTGGCATGTGTGTGTGTGTGTGTGTGTGTGTGTGTGTGTGTGTGTGTGTGTGTGTGTGTGTGTGTGTGTGTGTGCGTGCGCGCGCACGTGCTGTCTGTGTGCCGTTCACATGCTTGAAGCAATGAGCAGTTACACTGGCATGTTTTTTTGTTTTTGTTTTTTTTTTTTATTATTATTTTTTTTTTACAAAGACCACTTAATGCCAAACATGAGATGCAGCTAGGGGAAGCACGCACAACCTGAATCGTGGCAGTGGTGGTGAGGTTTAGGGAGCTCCGCCGACCTAGGGTCTCGACTTCATAGCCACCTAGACGCACCAAGAGTGGGTGGGGAGGGAGAGCGAGAGAGAGAGAGAGAGAGAGAGAGAGAGAGAGAGAGAGAGAGAGAGAGAGAGAGAGAGAGAGAGAGAGAGAGAGAGAGAGAGAGAGAGAGAGAGAGAGAGAGAGAGAGAGTGTGTATGTGTCACTCGTCCTTTTTGGCTTTCCCATATGGCAGTACGGGTTTTTATATTATATTACGTTATCATCCACACAAGCTTCAGCAGGCCTGGTGGTGGCTTTGCAGCAATAAATGGGTGAACACTCGTGCATGTATGAGCAGAGAACATACCAAACTCAGCGACAGGGTGGTACGTAGGTCAGACATTGCTAGTATTCAATTTTTGTTCCGAATTGTGTCTGCTAGAACTCTCTTGGACTGTTCAAAATCACCATCTGGGGTGTTTTTGGCCTACAGTCCATTCATAAAAAGATGGGCCCTGGCTCTGGCGAGCTCCCATGTTTGGCGATTTTTCGTGATATTATCGTACACGGGGCAGTGCTGCGAAATTTGAAATTTGAAAAAGGATCCAAAAAGGGTGCCTGAACTTGGGCTCGAACCGCACGATACACTGTTGCAGGCGGGGTCAAACGGCCTGGATTTTGATGGTTTTTCCCCAATCAGTGCTTTTGGGGCAAAACCTGGCCGAAGTCCTATTCTTGTTATGGCTTGCTTTTTGGACAAATAGACTTCGGAAACGTAATTGGAAGAGGATGCCATAGGGGATTGCAGAAAAATTCTAAAAAAACTCAAGGTGTTACCCATATATGGCCAAAAGCTAGAAGTCCATCTTTTTTATGAATGGACTCTAGCTGGTTTCAGTGGTGGATCCAGGATCTCAAGGAAACATTCGACGCTTGCCTCGCGGTTGTTAATACCAGCAGTCGTTGGACTCTCTACGGCAGTGCTAGCACGTAATGGAACCTGCCTGTATTTCTGTGATTTGCAGGGGAGACAGTGCTGATGGTGCAGATGCATGCGCTCTGGCTTCTGCCTCGGAAGCTGACCAGCAGCAGGGCATACTATCGGCAGAAGTGCAGATGAAGCTGGACACGGCCCTGGAGGAAAAGAGATTAATTGAAGAGCGCTTGAAGCAACAGATGGTATGTTTAGTAGCGTTTATCCTTGCGTGTTCATTATAAAGCCATCGGGTACAGCTGGTAGTGCATGTATTTGGGCTAAGGTGTTGCTTGCAATGCAGTGCTTGGTGCATGCTGCTACTGCTGCTATGTATGGCTATTAGTATTACCTACTACGGGTGGAATGCTGACAAGACGTACCCCCATGATGGGCAACAGGAAAGTGTACTTAGTATCCCAGATACTTCTTATCCAAACATACTTCGGCATGTGGTAACACGGCCGTGATCCAAATGATGTCCGTACTGGCCTACTGGGAAAGTGTACGTCACACAAAGTATGTACTGGGTGAGGTGTTGTACTGTAATAATATTGTCTTGTAGAAGCTATACTAGTCCACACATCTGATATGTGCTGTGCTCTCATGGTTGCGTACACCATCCCAGGCACGGCACGAAGAGGCGTTATCCAAGGCTCAAGAAGAAGCTTCCAAGGTCAGTGTCTGTCAGTATTGGTGCTCACAAACAGTGTGCTTGCTGCGTGTGAGCTGCTCCACACACATTGAGCTACTGATGTTATGAGTAAAGCGATACGGAACACACAGAAGAATATTTGTTCTCTTCCCTATGGTTACAAGTACCCACGTTCCTTTGATCTGTATGTGTACGTATAGCTTTTATAAGTTGTTGGACCAGTAAATGGGAACTCAGAATCTGAGAGTCCAGCATGTGCATATATGGGTGCTGGACTGTGTATGCACTGCCTGTTGCGAGAGATGGAACCGCGCAGCCCTAGCATAAACAGCTTATTGTACACGCATGCGCATGTTTGTGCCTGTGTTGGTTTCCCTTGTCACTTGCAGTGGTCGGAAAAGGCACGCAAGAAGCAGGACAGGTGAGGGCTCCCGGCTCCGTCACTTTGTCCCCGAATGAATTCCCTTACCTGGAGCTTGAATGCATCAGTCACCACTATGCACACACTGGCAGTTGTGTACATTGTAAATTGTGAGCAGTCTGAAGCTCTTTACACAACAGAACTTGGGAGCTTCAGTTGTCAAACATTTAGTACTCGGTGACATATTGACCTGCTTACGGCTCGAGTTACTGTATTTTTGTGAAAGCTTGAGCATGTCTTTGGGCACACCTGAACCACAAATGCACTGAATACCTCAGCACACTGATTTAGGCAGTGGGCACTGACACATGCATGAACCCAGGCTTTGCTGGACCATACTGTTCTCCGTGTTCTAACTACTTGGCCTTGCATAACATAAATAATCAAATTTGTTATGGGCATGCATTCTAGCTGTGACACCCCGGTTCTCGCTTTTACTAAAAACCGTGGTCTCTTTGTATGGTGTTTACAGCCTTCGTCAACTGCAAGAGGAAAAAGACACACTGATTCGAGACAATGAGTAAGAACATGGTTGTATCACCACTACTGTTCATGGTGTTGTTGCTGCTGTTAATGATCATGATGTTATAGAATGACTTCTGGGCACACACTTTTGCTAATTGCAAAGTTCTGGAAGTATTATGGTGCTATAAAAAGTAAAGTTTGCACGTCCGCGTTACCACCGGCTATACAATTGCGTTGAGAAACACAACCAGCTTATGGTGCTATATGTGTACGTGATATTATTGTTTATGTCCATGTTGTGTTGTCATTGCCTGTGCCACGTATACTGGTCTTTATTTACCGGCATTGATGTACTCCTTATGTGTACAGCGCGGCGGTGGCATCTATGCGAACATCTCATGATGAAGAGCTCCAGGTACATGACTTTACATGCCTGTGCACAGAGAATTATGTGTCCATCTTATGAAGGTTGCCCGTGCATGGAATTTCATTTGATTCAGATTACACCAACTTTCCCAGCACGATCGCGATCATTGTGCATGCACATGCATTGCTGGACCACCCCTATATTTTTAACCCTTTACCGTCCGCACTCAATGTATACAGAGAGTTGCACTGTCTAAAAATATACCTTGAATTGGACGTAACATTGGGTTCCCTAGGACAATTGCCATATCTTGGGCATCCTGGAAAGCCCCTGATGAGAGGAACACTATGCACCCAAACTCAATCCCATAGGATGCGCTTGACTAGCGCTGCAAGTCAGCGAAGGCGTTTCAGCGTAGGGCTTGCGCTCTCGATCGATCTCCATCCGCCATTTCACCCTCCTTGCTCGTATGGAGCTCAACATTTTTGTAGTGACTTTTTTGCGGGAATCCTAGTTTGAATTTGAAAGGGTGCATCCCTGCCAACAGCTGACGTAATCAGGGGAAATCCCGGCCTCTGAGTCACGCATCGCACCCTGAGCGCCAATTGACCGTGACGAAAGTTACGAGCGTCGTATCTCCCAAACCGCTTATCGCATCGGGATTTGTTCGAGGCGACAGCTCAGAGTTTTCTCTTCAACCCACACATTTCGTTTTCTCCAAAAGACCAAGAATTTACCAAGTTCCAGTACTTAGACAATGTTGAATCAATCGAACACCAGTGTTGGATAGATGTATGGTCGGACGGCAATGGGTTAACACACTGCACCATATTGTTGCAGCCATGTAGGCTATTCGTGCATGTGGCTCATGTTCAACGCTCCTTCTGTGCATGTGTGTTCTTGTGCTTGATTCAACACAGCGTGTTATGCAGCAATCTGCCCGAATGCAGCAAGAGCTGGGAAACGCCAACGAAGTAAGTAATCTAGCTGCATCCTAGTGATGCTCGAAGGCCTCCTGAAAACCTCCTTGAATTATTGTACATGTAATGTCGTATGAATGGTGCCTTGGCATATGGATGTACACATTGAGGAATGGAGGTGGCATGCACTGTAGTGCGGATGTACTATTATAAAAAAAAGTACTTGTAGATGAAAGTAGAGCAATGAACTTTGAGTGTGGAAAAGAATAAGAAGGTAGGAGCTGCAATCCTGTCCAATGGTGCTGCCAACGTTGCGACTATGTCCACTCAGCCCTGTCGTTACCAGAAAGTAGAAACACTGTAGACTGTGCGGTGCTCTTGCACTTTACATTGGACCTCATCTTCCATGTTTTGATTGTCAGAATTCTTCTTTGCAATGCGTGCGCTTGTGCCTGTACATGTGTTGTACTTTTTATGTTGCCTAGGAGCTACATAGTTTGCGTGATACGGAGACTTCCCTGCGCTCACAAGCAGCATCCAGTGCAAGCAGCGCCTCCAAAACAGAGGTGGAACTTCGGCAGACCGTCGACACCCTTCGGTATGGATAAACTAAGCATAGCAGCGGAGAGAATCACTTTCTTGCATACCCTTCCCAGAAAGCAATTGTGTTATGACTATGTGCGCTAATGGCTTTTCAAATCTTTCAGACCCTCATCAAAAGCTCATGCATGTATTTGAAGTGCTTTTTCCCATTCCTATGTGGAGCTCACTTGTATTTTCAAAAATCAAACATGAGCATGAATTTGCCAAGAGATTATTTCTAGTGGACGCCTTCTATGTTCCTTTGAGCATATTCATAGTTAGTGAATATCTCATGTGAGGCCGCTTGCTTCAAGTATACACTGGTTATTGCGTAGTACTTGTGTGTCAGGTATGGACCCAGCTGTGGTGGTGTTGTCGTTTGCGGTACCATTGTGCTCTATAGGCAAGATGTTGCACGTCTAGAAGACGAACTCAATACTAGCATCAGCAGTAAGCAGCAAATTGTCATGGGACAGGTTGAAGTAAGTTGTTATCATTGCTTTACAAGCACTGCCTGACATTCTTGTGCTCTATGCTGTCATACATTGTAATTGGTGATAGTCATTGATTTGGTACATGTATCTCCTAATCTGCAAGGTTACAGTACAGTGACCTAGTGTGGTGCAAGATAGAGTAGGCATGTGCTATACTTTCTGTGTGTGTGTGTGTGTTTGTTTGTGTGTTTGTGTGTGTGTGTGTGTGTGTGTGTGTGTGCGCGCGCGCGTGCGTGTGTGTGTCTGGTGTATGTGTCCAGTGTTTTGACATGCCAGGCAGTATATTTGTTGTGTGATTGATGCTATAATGTTGCTCACAGTATAGCAGCCACTGGGTGCTTTGGCCAAGTAGCACATGCCCGATCCGTGCATGATAGTGCACATTACCAACACCTGCTCTCTATCCCGTGTGCATGCAGGAACTTGAGACCACCGTCAAGGAATTGCAAGGAAAGATCTATCAGACTGAGAAAGAGCGCAATTCAGCGATAGAGGAGCGAGACGAGTCCAACAAGGTATACTGCCCTCTGCAATACGATTGCCATATCGGCATCTTGCTCTCAGTAATTCTGTGGAAAGCTGGTCGGGGGAAAAGACTGTTATCCTTTAATCCATAATATAGTGTGTTTGAGCTGCAGCCATGTGATTTGTGGGCGTTGTCATGGTTCAGGTGGCAGAGAAGCGGAAACTGCTTGCTGATTCGCTGGCTATCGAGAAGCAAAGCCATGCATCTGAAGTGCACCGCAAGCTAACAGAACAAAGCTCAGCCTATGAAGTAAGCTGAGAAGACAATCATTCTTATAGTGATTTACGGTATCAATTTCTTTTTTCACAATGCTTGTTTTAAATTGTACTTGAACATTCTGCACTTCCGTCATAAGCCTTCAACACCAAAAAAGTGCTGCATTGACAGGTGCTTTCATGTCCATGTTTGACTGTGTGCTTTCCTTGTCAGGCTCGTCTCGAAGGTGCCAATCAGCAGATATCAGACCTGAAAGTAAGATGTCTTGCTCGCTTTGCACTATTGCTCTGAGTGCATCCCTCCAGAGTGCGTATGATTCTGGGCTCCAGCTAGGCCCGATCTTGCCATAGGTAGCATTTTAACCTTTTGAGTCCGGGCCCATTGAAAACCTCTGCCACGCAGTAAAAAATTAAATTCACTCTATGTCAGCAAACTTGATTTCCAACGATTCTTTCATGTCTCCTGAGCACAAAACTGTTTTTGTTTTGGAAATACAACAAAGATTACAAAAGTTATGACCGTTTTCAGAAAGGTAGGTTTACGCGAAATTGGTATTTTGAAATGTATGCACGCGCATGTAACTCCAGTTCAAACCTTACGGAGCGACTCGCATTTTTTTTTACTGTACACGTACATCTTAGGAGTCCTCTGTGCAGCGGTAAAGCTCGACGCCACGGAAGAAACGCGGAATCGATGTAGTTCCGTACTGACTCGTGACGTTCTAGAACGTCATGCGTGTCACAGTGGTCATGACGTGTCAGAACGTCACGCGTGCTCAAAAGGTTAAGATAACCTAGTTGGTATGTAAAACAACGCTCTTGTATCTCCCCAAGTTCTAGTTCTGAACATCAAACTTGCGTGCGTGCAAGCAAGCAAAAAAAAGAAAAGAAGCTAAGACTGCGTGCAGGCAGGAAAGAAGCGTACGATACTGTCATGTACATACAAACCAAGTGAGTGTAACTCAAAATTCTCATCTGACCGTAGACCTCGTTAGTAGAGTCATTACTGGTCATCTGATACTCATGCTGAACCTGGCGTAGCCATGCTAGGGTCAGAAGTGACACGGAGTTGAGAAGTTGACATAGTTCCACCGTCATCCAGCTACACTTCTTGCCATCTCCAGTGGCAGTGGTTCATATATGCCTGCGTACGTGCGGAACTCGAGCGGCTTAAAAGGGCACAAATGGCCATGCACCAGTCTGCTCGACATGAGGTCAGACTAATCCACAACCATATGTACGCTCACCAGCGCCACTTACTAAAAAATAAGGTATGTCAAGCATCTGGAGGCTAGTGCGTGGTTGAACACATGACTGCATCCACACCATGCACTAATACCAATTTTTTTTTGTATTTATGGATTCTCCACAGGATTTCTGTGCTACATGACTATGCCGGTACTATTCTCACTGGGTCTTAGCGTACTCGTTGTCTTGTGTGTGTGTGAAAGAGCAGTTTCACACTTATACCGGTACTTTACTTTCCGGTCAAAATTAACCCTTGTTCTTGGCGCGTTTATCTTTTTTGTTTTTCCTAGGCTGATGTGTTGCGACTTTCACAGTTTGAAGATGAACTGAAATCATTTGGCAGTGTACGAGCCAAGCTTGCAGCGGAGGAGGTAGGTTGATACAAGCAATTTCTGCCTGCTGTGACTGATTGTTGGATCATGATTCAGCGAATACCGCTCCCCTTCATGACAATTATATGACTGTGTAGTTGTACAGTGACACTGCTATTGCTAGCTGCGTTCAGTCAAAACTGTGCAAACACCATCGACTCAACACACACATAGTTTGCCCACCCACTCTCTCAGCAATAGTTGGTTGCAGTTGTTTGAAACGAGCATATGGATCAACAGTCTTTTGCTCTTGTTTTATTTTGTATTCTGAAATGTTCTGTGCTCTTTGAAAGTGAGGACCAACTTCGTAGCAATGTTGAATCGCCTCTCTTTGAAAGTGGTGTGTTTTTGTTTGTGATTGTATCTGATTATCAACACTCAGGAAAATCGAGCCCGCCTGGAGAAGGAGTTAGAGGCCCAAAAGGAGACTCTATCTGCGGAAGTTTCACGTTTGGAAAGCGAGCTAGCGCAAGTGAATGAATCGTTAGCAACGAAAGATGGAGAGATTGAAGAGCTTCAGCAGGTGAATGCAATGTTGATCATCCGACATAAGGAACTTAGACACTGTGTACCGTATATGGCGTTTTGGCATGGTTCCTTTGAGAATTTGATGCTGCAGTGTCTCACGTATCCTGCTATGCTTTTTGTTGTGCATTGATGATGGGATGCTCCCAGAAGGAAGATGCAAAGTCCTCGAAAAGGAAATGCAATGCCAGTGTGTTCCATGGTCCTGCAAGCCCAGCTACTCTCTCAGTAGAATGACCTTCGCTAATCCGTACAAATGTGCGCCATCCTTTGTTGAGCCTGTATTCCATGGGTGTACTCTAACAGTTTCTGTTTATTGCGTGTGTGTGTGGGGGGGGGGGTGGCGTGTGTGGCATGTGTGGTGTGTGTTGGGTGCGTGTGTGCGCGTGTGCATGTGTACGCGAGCAGGCTGCTTCAGATGCCGAGGGCAAGATCAGGATATCGGAGAGAAAATCCAACGCTCTCATGAAAGATATTCGCCGGCAGTTGGAGCTAGAACGTAAGCGATCAGAGCGACTGCAGACTGCGTTAAGCACTGATTCAGGAACCCCTGTAGGTCTGGCTGCAGCATCATCAACTACATCAACGCCTAGTGGCGCAACACCTGAAATGGCCAAGAGAAACAGACGTAAGTTGATGTCAAGTAACATGAGCATGTTGAGAAACTGCTGTGGTGTGGTGGAGTTCACTAATAAGGACCCGGGTCCTTCAAACTATGTGTCCTGGTTGGTTGCTCCCGAATAGCAATATGCGAGTGCCTCGCCATCATGATTGTTGTTTAATTATTATCTACTCTGCCCAGGCTTTGAAAATCTCTTCGATGGCTTAGCTAGCGAAGGCAGCAGTGGCGGACTTTTCCGGTGAGTTCCTTTTTTGCATGTCTTGTTTCATACTACTGTACCTGGGTATGAACAGTTACTATAAATGTGTAATGGTTTTATTGGGTTTTTTATGCTCGCCAATGTGCATGACGGACGTGGTGAACGCACTGTCGGGAATGAGTGAATTTGAATATGTGTACTGGTGTCTGTTTATAAACAATATTCGAGCCTCTGTACATCTCCTCCATCCAATGGTGTTTTTGTTTGTTGTTGTACAGACATCGCTCGAACAGCAATGAAACGCTGTCTAATGTAAGTTGAAGTCAGTTATAAGTGCATCCTTCATCTCTCTTGGTTTGGTCATGTTGTGGAGATGCCATATAAACTTATCTGTTCTCTGTGACAGTATGTAGAACACCATGTTACTCAATCCATACTGTTGATACGCTATAGGGATGGTACTACAGCGCCTGGTTTCTTGTGAACATCACCGCCAAACCGAGGATTGATGTGATTTATTAAGCTCATAAATTCTTGTGCCTGGCATGAAATGAAACGGAAGGGAAGATATTTCTCAGTTGGAGAGAATAAAAAATATGACTCATTGCGATGGGGTAGCTCTTGACATGTAACTATGTGTTTCTCCTTTCATAAACTGAATACTGTATAACACCTTTATTTCGGTGTAATTTAAATTTCGGTAATTTCGGTACTGGTCATGGATCACCTAATTTAACATTACACCTAAATTTTCCGAAAATACCAAAATGCATGATTGTATGTAAAATCATGAAAAACACTGTCAAATTTAAAAAATCAACTTGTATACTTGTATTGTACAATGTCATGTACATAATTATACATATCGATATGTGGAGCCTAGCCTAGCCTAGCCGGAGATATTAGTGCAAGAGCCGTTTTTTTTGTTTTTGTTTTTTTGTGTTTTTTTGTTTTTTGGTGTCATGCATACCGAATTTATCCTTACACCGAAAGGTCAGGGGTTGGCCTTTACCGAAATTTTACAACACCGAAAATAAGGTGATATACAGTACTGGTTGCAACTTGTTTGTTCGTGTGGGGAAGAGGTCGTAACCGAATTATGAGCGATCTGTATGACGTAGTTTATGCCGATCATCTCGAATGAAGTCTCTTCTTGATCTGTTTGTCGTGTTGTAGTCTGGCGAATCTGCATCAGCGGCTGGCTCTGAAGATGTGGGATCTCTTTTGAGTCGCATCACTCAGCTCCAAAAGGACAAGTGGAATCTAGAGGAGCGTGTAAGTGCATTTAAAATTGATGCTTGTACGTGTATCATGCTACCGATGTTGACGTCATTTTTCATTAGCATTCTTGTCAGTTTATGTTTTTAAGTCGTTTTTCAAAGATTTCCATTCATCATATCAGGCATACACTGTATACCCACTGTGCACTGTTTTAGTCACTTTACCCAGTGTGCTCAAGTGGTGTTCCGTATGATTTGGGTTGAGGCCCACGATTTACTTCGGCTAGTGTTCTTTCATCCAATATTGGGCTAGTCGGTCGATTTGTCGAATCCTGATGTTAATTGTGGATGCCAAGGGAGCAGGATGATAGGAGGGTGGAGTGCATCACAATACTGATACCGTCATACCGATGTTTGCTCTTCTCTTCTTTACTAGGTATGCCACTTGGAGCAGAATGCTGCGTCTCTGGTTGAGGACGTGCTGCAAAAGTCAGCTATCATCAAGTCGCACATGATGGAACCTAAGGCAGGTACGGAACCGGTCACCACATGTGTCTGGAAACAAGGCACCATTCATAGTTTTGTACATGTATCTGGTGGCATATCTAGTCACCATCTTGGTCATGATCATCGTTTCATTATTATGTGGTGTGTCCGCTGGTTTCAGTGATAATCAACCCATGTTGCGCAACAATGATCATTGCCCTATGCTTTCCTCTACTGTGCTGTGTTTGCGCATGTGTGTGCGTGTGTGTGTGCGTGCGCGCGTGCGTGTGTCTGTGTGTTCGTCATCAGATGATGCTTCAGGAAGCATTCCAGTCACACGGACGCCTTCTGCTGCGACACCGACGAAAATTGCTCCGAATCTCCTCAGAAAGCTAACGTCGCCCTTGATCCGATCTAGTCATCCTGATTCTGCAAATACATCTGGCACCGGTGGGTCGTCTACGGAAACATTACGCTTGCAACGCTTGGTTGAGGAGACTCTCATCAAGAATCTAAGCTTGCAGCAGGTTAGTGCCCGTACGAGTATGGCATTGGGATATGTGTGTTATCCACTATCCAGTCTCAACTGTTCGTGCTCCTTGTCAAGCCTCTACAGTACATGTCCAGTGAAATGATGGAATACCACCAATAGCTGCTGGTTGGCTAGTTTGCTGGTGAAGTATTCTCGTACAAGGTTGCTGTGAAAGAGGGGAAACTGTGCTGTGCCAACAGACCGTATTTCTACTACACTCTGGTTGTTAGAAGAGGACCAAATATATTTGACTTCTGATGTAGAAAGTTGACATGAGAGTGAGTTCTCAACATCAATATAACCATTGAGCCACAGTTGTGTAGTGTGCAGGTACGTGCTACAAGATCGGGAAAAAGAGATTGACTAGACGAAGTATCACACTATCACACTGATAGATGTGACAGTGCGGCGGGTACTTTTAAAAACATAAGTCACAATGTTTTTGAAGTCTAACATACGGATAAGAAGAACTCCCGTTATTGCGAACAAATATCATCGGTCCCTTGGTGTTCGTCCTAAAGAGGTTTGACTGTATATCGTTTCTCTGTTATTTGTTCTTTTGTGTGTTTTCAGAATGTTGATATGCTCTCCTCGGAATTGACTCGTCTTCAACAAGAGAAAGAAGTTTTGGAGGAGAAGCTAGTGCAAGCATAGTTAGCAAGTCCTTCCCTTATCGTTCTGTGTTTGTGCTGTTATACCTGTATGCTCAGTTGTGTTGCGTCTGAATATATCTAGGTAGCGATTGATGTTGTCGTTGTCATTGTTGTTTGTAGCTCTTAGCTCCCAACATAGTGACCAGTTGTGTCCTATCATGGATTCGTTGTTGATTTATTTCTCTCCGTCACCTGTGTACATGTCTATTGCTTATGTGTTTGTGTGTGTGTGTGTGTGTGTGTGTGCTCGTTCCAGCGAGCAGTTTTTCAGCTGCTGTATTGTACTGTTGTCTGGCATGTGTGTTGTCCTCTCTGTCGGCTTCGCTTGCCTATTCTTTGCCGTCTTCTTTTTAACCACGGATGTTTTTTGTTTTGTTTTTAATTATTACGTTCTTGATTGGCGTACTGAGTTGCTTTTCAAACCTAGAACTGTTTATTTCTACCGTAGAGCTGACTTTTATACCGTTTTCTAACGTTATTGGTTTTAAATCTTCCCTGGCTGTCCCCCCATTGCGGCAAATTAATTTCAACTTCAGCGCAAGATGTTTTTATTTCACTAACCGAAAAGAAGAAATGAAAGAGAAAGTCACCAGATGCGTCCGGTACTTGATATTTCCAGCTTGTCTTATGGAACTTGCTTTCATGTATCTACCTTTTCCTGCCTCCTACCCTGAGTTTTCAGTAGAAATGTGCTGTTTTCTTTTCGTTGTGCAGGCTACAGAGCTGGCCTGTGGTCATGTAGCAAGAGTTTGTGTGTAGTAAAGCTTGGCAAGCGTGAATGCGCTGATGCTTTGCAGCCTGCAGGATCATTCTGTCCAGTGAGCCATTGCTTGTTACGTCTACAGTACAGTACTATGCAACTCGTTCAGATCACTCTACTTATAGTGCTGTATGACTTTGCTGGCTTGCTTTGTTCAGTGTATGGGTTCTCTAGCTGCTAGCATTGTGCTGTTTTCATGTGCAGGTTCATGAGTATCTAGACTGAATATTCTGGTCTTCCTCTAGACTGAATATTCTCCCATTCTGCCATGTCTACGAGCTCCTATTGCTGGATGTTACACTGTAACACAATAATACTTACTGGCTCGGGTCATACTGGTATGACTAGGTCTGCTTTTCGGGATGAATTAATTATTGACGGGTACTAGTATACGTACTACCCTGTAGGCTGTAGTACCCATGTGCGAAACATGTTCATGTACATGTACTTCAAAAATACTGCAGTACGAGTGATTTGCATGGCTGGCTAGCTAGCCGGCTCTACAAATAAAATAATTTATGTAGATATGGGACAGTGTACGTGTGTGTGTGCACGCGCGCGTGTGAGTAACTACGTCATTGTAGTTTGTGTACTGATTAGACCTACTCTCTAATACTACTGAACTTCACCTTTATTTGAAAACAAACCGGGAGTCGGAATGAAGAAACTGAAAAGCGCAAGCAAGGAAAGCAATGCTGACAAATCCATTCAAGTAAATAGGAAAAATCAAATCAAATAAATAGGAAAATCAAATCAGAAAATAAAAGAAAAGAATCAAGCCAACTAGGGAACTACTACCAAGAGTAATACTCTTGCTAGCAATACTATACTGACTGTACTCTTGCCAAGTCTTTACTTGGCGTCTTTGATTATTCATTGTATCAAGAGTACATACCTTTATGTACTCTTGATTGATACATGGCATGCAGCTCGCACACTGCTTGTGACGTAATCCTGGTCACATTATAATTCTTTATTTCCAAAAAAGTCATCCACGTGGCCACGTGCGCGCGCGTATCGCGTACACAGTACAGCAGTATCAGGTGCATGATGTGGCTCAAATACAGTATGAAATCCAAATCCATTTTTCGACTCGGAACTCCAATTGTTGGAGAGATCGTGGTGCAGATGATACAGTTCTTGCCAGGAATGTGAGGGACGTGTAGGTGAGCTGCGAATTCTAGTAGAAGTAGTGAGAAAACACGGAGCTCAAAGTAGTGAGTGATATATCTATAGTAGAATACCTGTACGAGAAATACCGTGCCGCGTGTTTTGAAATAATTGTCAACAACACACCTTTAATTATTTGAATTCAATTGAGACTACAAGTTAGGAACCATTTACTTGGGTCTTTCACCCTCTTAATTGATATATTGAACAAGAACCATGGCTGCAGCGGAACCAGAAGTGGCTACCGCAGCCACGAAGCAGAAGGGAGTTGTGCTGAAATGGACCAGTTTGCCACCCATGCCAACCCCACGTGTGTACTCATTTGCCATCTGGAGTCGTGGACGCTTGTATGTGTTCGGTGGATGTGACGGGCGTGGTAAGGCACTGACCAGTGCCGAGTGTTTTGTTCCGGAGAAAAACCAGTGGATAATTCTGCCCAAACTGCCCAACAAGCGGGCTGGCGGACGAGTAGTTGAGCTGGAGGATGGACGTATTGCTATTATTGGTGGTATTGATGGTGCAAACTCAGCATTGTCTGCCGTAGATTGCTTTAACCCGTCAACGAGTAAATGGACATCGCTAAAAGCTCTTCCAGAGCCATTGTCGGCACCATCAGTTATGATGATCGACAACAAGATCTATTGCTTTGGTGGAACGGTGGACAGTACACTGCCACCGACAACGAATGTGATACGCTATCTGCCCGATGAGAACAGTTGGGAATCATTGCCGTCTATGCCCACCGCACGTTATGGCGGTGAGCTGGTGAAACGTGGTGACAAAGTGTATATCTTTGGCGGGCGCAACATCAAAGTGCCCGTCTTGGAAGTGGACCTATTCGACTTGTCCACAAATACCTGGGAAGCAGCGCTACCTGCAATTCCCACAGCGCGTGTCTTCTGGTCCGTTGTAAACCATGAAGATGAAGTGTTTGTTCTCGGCGGCTTCACGGAAGAGGCCGGATTCCGTACCCAGGTGGAATCCTTCAGTCTGTCCACACGAGAGTGGAAGGTCGAGCGGCCGCTGAAGTTGAAGCGTGGTGACTTTGCAGCGGCAGTCATTTCCGGTTGTATTGTCGTTGCTGGTGGTATGGGCGGTGAGACTAATCAGGGTCTGCCCAATGCCGAACGCATGCGTCTCAGTGCGTCGACACGCAAGTGGACGGCGCTAGATCCACTTTCCGACCAGCGATTGGCACCAACCGCCATTGTCCACGAGAACAAAATGTATGTCATCGGTGGCTTTGGTATGGGTGGTCCGAAACCGACGGTGTTTGTTTTGTCAGAATAGCACTGCACACCGCCTTACTGGTAACACACCTTGCCGATATCTGATTACAGGTGATACGCCTTGCCGATATCTCCTTACGAGCAACAAGACACACGTTTGCTACCTTGCTTTTAGGCTTTATAGGCAGAGATCTCTTCTCCCCCTCCCTGATTTAGGAGACTCTGTCCACAGCAGTAGCAGCAGTAACAGGTGTATGATGCACTAATGATACCACTAGGTGTAGATATGCTGTGTAGGAGAGTTCTCCGGGGGTAACTCTCACTGCAGCCTGCCTATGCCGCTTGTATCATTTGTCCAGATAGAATTTGGATACCCCAATCCCCGTACTGGGCATTTTTAGATTTTCCTTGTGCTGTGGAGAGGGTTGACAACTTTGCCTGTGAATGTAGTTCCTTCTGTTGAAAATACTTTTTTTAATGTTTTATAATCTTCAGAGTAGGTTTTATCCCCCTTTTAGGCATCCAGTAATACAGGATGTTGCTAGGAGCTGTACCTGTCTTGGATTTGTACTTTGCACAGTATGAGAATAATTTCTTGTTGCTCTGTATTTGACTATAGCAATTTGCGGGTAATTGCTGTCATTTGAGTAACTCTGCCATTTGGAGAGCAATTACATTCCTAATGCTGTATTGTTTGTACGCGTACTTGTACTCAAGTTGTTTAATTCTCTCTTTTCCAGTACTTTCTTGATACGCGTTGTATTTATGTACAGTTCTGGAGCAGTAATCTCATCGCTGTACGCCATGTGTACATGTATTGTACAGGCGTGCGTGCCTGTGGTGCTGACACGTGCACAAGACATTGTTGTGCATGTGTGTGCATGCATGCGTGTGTGTGTGTGTGTGTGTGTGTGTGGTACATGGTGTGTGTGTGTGTGAGAGCTGCGTTGCCAGACTGCAAAGCCTATAAACTTGTATACGCTCGCATTGTGCTAGGTCCTTGCACCAGTGTGGTGTTGTGTGTGTTCCTATGCCATGCTGGATAGAAGTGTCTGCACACTATACTGTAAATATACAAAATTTCGGCACTTCACGATTTTTGACATTTCGGCGGCGATTTATTTTCGGCGTGGGGTAGACATGGTAAAGTGCAACAGATGCTGTGAAAAATTTCATCGGCGTTTTAATTTAGGCGTTTTGGGTCGGTGCCGAATATAGCCGAAATTAAATAGCTGCCGAAAATTTGTATATTACAGTATCTTGCTACTTGAGTGTTTCTCTACACCCCGTCCCCGGCTAGCTTGACCTTTTCCATATGACCAACTGCCAGCACCTCTCATTTCCGTTGAATTCACAGCAGTGGGTCTAAGTAGAAGGTATCAGTCGTCACACGCCAGTTCTTGGCGTGATGTATGATAATAGTAGATAGAATACCCACTTTCTATAATAGGGGTAGCCTGAGCTACCGGAGGGGCCTAATTATAAGCTTTAAAGCGAGGGAGTAAATCTACAGTAAAACATTGCAAAATACCTGTATTTTTAGTACTTCCTGGACAGATGACAGTCGTAGTCACCAGGCCATGGCGCCAGGCCTCATGCCATGGTATACACGGTGCAATACAAGTCACATCGCGCGACTCGACTGGTTACCCATAGCACCCGAAGCGATGGTCGCTTGCAGCTTGCAAGCTTGGTACCTGGTCAGATCAGGCAGAGCGAGACATTGGCATTGCGCATTGGCAGTCATCTACTTCGAAGTAGTATGTATGCCGTGACGTGATGTGAGGTTAGTTCAGGCTTATAAGTTATGTGGCTTTAATATGAAGTGTTAGTTATGTTCACTTGTACTTACTTACTTCCTCGATACTGCCGTTGAGAATCTCTACGGCTGTAGACCTTTGACTTGCTGCTGCGTGTCCGACTCATCCGCAATGAGCATCGTTGGATCAGTGAAACTGCCAGTCAGACGTGTCTTCAACAAGTTTCGACGATGGTCTGCAGTACAACAGGGGACAACGACGAAGCAGAGAAAGAATCTTTTCCTGCAAGAGAAACGAAGTTCGCCGAATTTACGCGTGTCCCATAAGCTCGAGAGAGACAGAGAAAAGACGAGACGTCGTTTCGAGAACGTCGCTCCTGGCTGTACCGTACGCCCAGTCCACGTCGAGTGTGAAGGTCAATCAATCAGTTCCGTGGTTTGCATTTCTTCCTCTCGCAAGATAGGTTCCCGTCACTTGGCATTTCCCTCGCACCACACCTTGTTGCTCTGCCATCGAACTGGTGACTTGTTCCGCAAGTGACATCCAAGCTGTCATGGAGCCCCATCACGCTGCTGTGGAAGCCGGACGCTTCCTGGCCTTGGTTGGCGACAACGCAGAGCGGCAGCCCGATTTACCCTTGTGGTATCGTTTGCTGGCAGAACAGGTCGACCGCGCGATGAACGTCGTTTGGGGGCGAGTGCCACGCCGTGGAGCCGCCTTCATCCTTCCATACATCCACCCATTCCTTCGTCTGGCTGCTGGCATTCTTCACCCACCCCATCCATAGCCTGCCATGCTCTCTCATTCATTCCGACTGGCCCGATTCACCGGGCATCACCGGGCACAGACCTGCTATTCTACGTAACATAAGACTGTCATTGCATGATTACGACTTTGGACAACACCTCATCACTACTCTGGTGACTCCAGGACGGATGGAGATGACGATCAGTTGAATGAAGAGTATTGGGTGGCTGGCTATGCGCCTTCTTGTCGCCAGACATGCCTACAGCGCTTCAATGTTTCAACTTCAGTAGAGCAAGTGAAGAACTAACACTTACTTTTACTTTCAAACAAGCCGCAGCAGCATCCCAAGTCATCTGTCATCATCCATTCATGAGCCATGTGGGTAGTGCTGGACTGCTGCAGCAGGTAGATCTGCCACTCAACCAGTACCATTGCACAACAACAACAACGAAAGAAAAAAGAAAAAAAAAGGAACTCATATACGCAGAGCTGGACATGGACCCGCTGTATAGCGCACATGTCATCTTGACGTCCTTGTGACCTTCCCAAGTTCCGGCATGAACTGCCACCCACATATGCAAATAGTCAGCTCGAAGCAAGAAGTTGCCATGGGCGGTCAGAGGCGGCAAACTGACGGTGCTGAACAGTGCACGCGTTCCTAGTATCCGTGTAAAACCAGACCAAGCCAGCCAAGGTAATGCCACACAGACATGTGTACAGAACTGCTTACTTGCTACATGTAATGCAACATCTTTATGCACTCGCCATTGATACTCAGGCGCATCACTCAGACAGACCTAGCTTCCACGCATTGGCATGGCTTGCGAGTATCCTCAGGGCTCTTAATCAGTGGCGGACTAACACAATCATGGTCCACTGATAGGCTGGTGATAGTGAAATCAGACTGATAGCCGCTACACCCACGACAGTGCCGCCATGTTGGACTATGCTGGCCCACAGGAAGAGGAGGAAATGCTAGGACATCATACTTCACGGCTCATTTCGCAAGTAAGTTGGCAAGAAGATGGCGTTTGGCATTGGCAGCATTCCTAATCCTGATGCAAGTCACCACCACCACTATCATGCTGCATGGTGTAGAGTGTAAGGCGCACATGCAAGTTACCATAACGTGTCCAACATAATTTCCCATAATTATCGTCATTCATGCACCTCAGCACTTTGCGATCGCAGTCTTTGTCCACTTCGCTACTACCCCCCCCCCCCTCCCGACTTGTCAAATAGGTAAATATTTCATCTTGCTGCATGTATCAATTGTGGCATTACTCTGCTTTGTGCTTGTTTTACTACTTAGTAGTGTTGACCATGCCTGATGTTCACTGTGTATGTATTTAGTTTAGCTGTGACACCTGAACCGCTTTGCTTTCATATCTACTACTGTGCTTTATTCCCGCACTGCTGCACTACAGTGCGGTACAGTGCTGCAGTGTCGTGTTGCAATGTTGACAGCACAAGCTCTGCCTCCGAGTACGGTACATCCATTTCCAGTATTGTAAACCGATTCCATGCATCTTTATCTCAAGTTATCTGTGGATCTGTCTAATATTCTTCTGGAGATGCCAGCAGATGTACAAACACTAACCGCTTTTTTTTTTTTTTTTTTAAACAAAACTGCATTATTTTCTACCGTATTCTGTGCAAAGCACGGGAAAGTTTTGGGAAGAAAGCAGGACTGTGTGCAAAGCGTAACTCCCAACATGCACATATTGATAACCTCATACACAAGTCAACAACGGAACAAGGCTATCTTTTTGCTGTTACTGCACTCGAGAGTTTCATGGTTATTCACCAATCTTCCTTTCGTTATTTGAAAATTGGTGGATAACAACGGAGTAACAGCAAAGAGATAACCGTGTGTCGTGTGCTTACTTGTTTCATTTGACTCTGCCCTCGCGGTATCAAGCACTTTTGCAAGAGTTTAGCAACATAGCTTGTGTTTATAAACGTTAAATAATTAATTAATTAATAATAATATTGTATGCATGTGCAGCGCTAGCAGAGTGCCAAAAAGAAAAGAATGTCTTAACGGCATTTTACTATAACACAAATATCCGGATAGGCGAGGGACCCGGAAAATCGAACACACATACTGTATGTATGAATGACATTATGCTGTAAATCGGTAACCGTGGCAACGTTTTTTTCCGGATGGCGACGGATCCGGATAAAAGAGGACCGGATAAGCGAGGCCTGAGTGGGCTGCTGTTGTAAAAGAATCGCTGTCAAGCATTTACCCCGAGAGAGAACAAACAGATAACTGTAGTGGAACCAGTAACAGTATTGTTCTTCCATCATGAAAAGCAAGAGCACATAACCACAAGGTAGAGAATTCAAAGGATGTCAATCTACTCTCGAAAATACCGGGGAAAAGAAAGAAAGAAAAAAGGTACAACCAACAACAGGTTTCACCAGAACAGCAGGTTTGGTTGGGACTGCACCTGTTCTGGAGCGGCCAGAACATGTTCTGCTTTCTCCAGCCTCGGGCAGCCAGAGCATTTCTACTTTTTCACAGTGAAACCTGGTGGGAACATTAATTTTGGTTCCAAATTATCACGCGCATATGCTTTTGGGCTGCATGAAGAGCATACAACAAGAGTGTGCAACGCCGGCATACCCTGGCGTCCCGGCAGAATTTAAAGTTGAGGTCACTTTTATGATGAAAATTACTCCTTGAACGAGTGATTTACGACATTTGTACGGGGTATCAACACATCACACAGTTTTGCTTGCACTAGTTTGTACAGGATCGAATGGGGCTTTGCCCACCACACGTTCAGGATACATCTGATAATTACGTGTACAGTGCGCATTACATAATTCAAATTACAAATCTGCCAGGACAGCACCCATAATGCCGAGACCTCTGATGATCGGTTGAGCATGGCAGGCCCCATCTCACCCCATGTGCCTGCCGGTGAGTTGTGTATCTTGTAATTAAAAAATAAAAAAGTTGAGTTGCACACTCTTGGGCTGTGTTTACATGAAGTGTTTCAACCTGCCAGAACACAGATTGACCGGAACGTTTAGTAGTAGAACTTAACATGACCCATTGCGCTTGACCCGGGTTGAAATCGACAGAATGTACTTCGAAGTACTACCCAGGGAATCCCACACCCTATGTGTTGGGCTCCCTGGTACCTTTGCCACCCTTCGAGCAGGTCCAGGCGGGGAGGAGCGGATGGGCGAGTCCTACTTGCCGCATTCGGTACTACATGAAAAAGCACTCACCCTACGAACCCCAGTGTTTGTGTGATCCCTGGTCAAGAGGGTGTGAACCGGGTCGAGCACACGTCTGCAGTGCGGTACGCCATGCATCACACTTCACAGAGTTATACCGTGTGCCCGAGGTATATTTGATTATTATAGGCCATTCACACGACGTGCAAACTCACTTGTATCGTACCGTTTCCAAGGATATTTACTCGAATACGATAAATTATTACTTGGACACACGCGTGCAACTGATTTTTTTTATCTTGGCCGAGGCCCTTTTGCTCGCGATTATCTTTGCACGCCAGGAAAAGTGTCGGTTGTTGAAAGTGCGTTCTGCAAATACAGTGGTTGAACAAAGGAAAATTGAAAATTTAACATTTCCCGGCATTCTCAGGTCACTATGGATAAATTGACGGTTAAAAAGTTTGCCCGGCATCGTGTGAACTGGATCACGGGTTGCCAGTGTTATCTTGGTCACACACGTGCATGTCTTTACAAGTCGTGTGAATGGCCTATAAAGCCAGGGACTTCATAATGACATTTGAAGTACGTTTTGTAAAAGGGAAGGAATATTGTACTATACTAACAAACTTATAGACCTTATTCGATAACGTGATTTTTGGACTCGCCTCCAGGGATTTGTCATAAGCTAGGGCACGCGTACGAGAAACGAGTGGCAAGAAAGGCCCAGTTCGTACAAAAGAGTAGTAAAATACCGGTATTTATCTACTCCTATGTTCGCACACAGAGTCCACTGTGCACTGAGCGCAGATCTCTTGCCACTCCCTGGTTCCCGGGACCCCGGTTCACGTGATTGTGACGTTTATCGAATAAGGTCTATAGCCCAGCAGGAAGGGTGAACAAATGGATTTACAGTAGTCGCACGTCCAAGAACGTTGTTTCCAGGGGCTAGGGGTTAGCCTGGGACGTTCTTATTTTTCAAATTATAGCTGGCTGCGTTCTTAGAACAATCCGTTTTGGATCATATGTATCTGACAAGCCGCCAGAAAACCAACACCGCCGTTCTTAACTTTAGGCTGTTGCGTTTTTAGTATTTCAGGCTGGACGTTCTTCAGCGCGCGACTCTACAGTAGATTGAAATTCCTGTGTGGACTCAGACTTTTATGGCATGGCATAGTGGGCGAGTATCTCGCTAGGAAAGCAGCAGTGTTTCGAATATAGGGCCATGGCGTTGACATACAGTACGAGGATTCTCACTTCCCTGACAAGGAGGGATGGGCAGTCGGGCGGGATTATACGGTATGAACAAGTAGCACAGGAGTTGCAAGAACACGATCATGATATCTCATTATCTACGGCACACGGCTACTGTTACCATGTACATGTAGCTCCAACTAAACACACCCCAAAACCCGTCATACTCATATGCATGGTGAAATGCTTGTCCACGTGTAGAGTTGCGCGCCGTTGAGCCCAAGAACATCCGGACTGAAACACTAAAAACACCAGAACCTAAAGTGAAAAACGGCGGTGTTGGTTTTCCGGCAGCCTTTGGGATACATATGGTCCAGTACGAATCGTTTCTAAGAACATGCTATAAGGAAACAGCCAGATGGCTGGAAATTAGGAACGACCCAGGCTAACCCCTTGGCAACAACGCTCTTGTACCCAAAACTCCACTGTACTAATCTATACGTATAACAAAGATTGTTGTTATTCGCCAAACACGTCCAAACGGCTTCTGTTGGATCCAGCCAATCCTGCCCTTGGGGCAGGGTTACTCAGATCCTATGGGTGTAGATCCAAGCAAACGATGAGGGGCCTATTTCATGTGCACAACAATCATTCTCTCAAGTACAGGAATTCGTGTAGTTACATGCACACGCAAACGCACACACACTTTCCCAAACATGGGAACACGCTTGCACAGCACAACCAAACCAACAGGATACAATTTAGGTCAGCCGTATAGCCAGTCTTTTCTTGAATCAAAACATATCCTCTACTTGCTCTCGGGTTTCTGCTGCACACGCTTGTTGTGCTTCTTGGCGAAACGAAGGTTGCGGATAAATTTTGGGTCCATCTGGAAAACAACAAGCGCAAAATTCAAGTTTAGACAACACACCACGCACCATACCTTCCAAAGCAAGATCGGGGTACGAAAACATTTGGGAATATCGTGGTGAAGCACAAATCAAAATAAAAGCAACTTTGGATCTTGGATAAAAAGAGGGCAGGACAAAATGTGACAAGTCATGACCAACTGACCACCAAGGTAACCAGATCATAATAAAATCAGCGACATTCTGTCCTTCCTTTTTATTATAATGATTACATTGGCTCAAATTCGGACAGGACCAGCAATAAAAAGATGCATATGCACTGCAGGCAACATAGTGCCGATCAATTTAAATGTAAAAATTTCAAGATGAAAAGTAGACAATGAAGTGTTATATTATTCCAGATCTACTGCGCCACTCAATGAAATCCGATCGTGCGAGCGCTGTGCAGCCCTAAACCTGCTAACACGGGAACACTGACGCAAGGCTCAAACTTGACTAGCTCGATCGGATTTCATTGAGCAGCACTGTATATCAAATACGTGTGATGTAGGGGATGTTAACACATGCCAAGACATAAGAACCTCAGGGCAAAATGATAAAGTCTGGCCAATGTTGCACACCGTGGTCGACTACCAAGTGCAGCATCGGCCAGATTTTTTTGACAGCGATAGTATGTGTAGAGTTAGGCTACGTTCGTTTTTAGCTACCTGGTAGAGTAGAGTAGAGTCACTCTACCAATAGAGGTAGATGGTAGAGGCAAGTGTACGAACGCTGTTCTACCAGATCTAGTAGTTTACACGATGTGTACGTGAAATGTTTCTTTTTTTTATGGAGTTGTGTACAAATCCTTGATCTTGCTGGAAATCCCGTAGCTCTACCAACTTCTACCGGATTCTACCAACTTTTTCCCGGTAGAGCCGGTAGAGGAAAGTAGAATCCACCCTTTTGAGTAGAATTTTTTTCAAAAAACGAACACCTCTACCGTAAGAAGTAGTTTCTACCCAAACCTGTAGATCAAAAACGAACGCCCCCCAAGTTAAGATGCTGCACCGAACGACAGATGTTAGGGAAATTAATGTGAAACAGAACACGAGTGAATTTTCATACGTGTAAGTTTCAGGGAATTGAAAAAAGTTGAGTGAATTTCCACAATTACGAGACGATCACCACATTGGTTTGATGATATACATACGACAATATGCGAGACACTCGGAAAACGATTACAAAACAGGGGATTGTCGGATAGAGGACGTCTTTGTTGCTAGGGCAACAAAATGAAGTCACTTATTCGAGACAATTATTTCGTTCGTAAGGGGCTGAGATACTAGTACTCAAGAGTCAACTGACCTCAAGAACATATTTACATCCAGGGTTACAACCAAAAAGAAAGTTTGCTACTGGCAGTGAGTATCTTATCATCAATTCAGCCCAGAACGCAAGCGCTGATCGTGTGAAATGCTTTCTCGTGTATTTTTTATTCTATAATGTGGAAATTCAGTTGCATACATGTCAGAAAATTGAAGACATGAAAACAAACTTACTCCACTAAGAGCCTGGTATCTCTGGCTTCTGGGCTTCTTGATACCGTTTCTGTGCCATTTGTAAGCTGTTGGACAAAGATCGAATACAGGAATATTTTCACGACGACTAAAACCATCAAAAATAGCAAAGTCAGAAATGGCTTACACTGGTTGTGGGCAGTGTGATTCTTTGACTTGGCCATGGCTGCTGCAACACAAAGAAATTATCCACCGTCAACACTTCTTCAGGGTGAAAGACTAGGCTGACTACAAGAAATCGTTCGTCGATGCAGAAAACAAACTCACCGACTTTCTGAGAAGGCAGAGAGAGAGAAAGGACGCTAGTGCGCATGCGCATTACATAGCTGTGACATGCCGTGATTGTTTTTCAGTGAAAAGATTACCAATAATTGCAATCTGGAGTGTTTTCTTCCCATTCTTTGCCCTTGGTAGATCGGTCTTTAGACTTTGGCTTGTTTGTAGTGTATCCTGGCGCTCTCCTTAGCTTTGATTGCAAATTTTTCATCAAATCGGAGTCTATCCTCATTCTACGACACCATTGGTCGTCATCTCTGAGCCAGAGTTACTGACTGTAATCCGGCGTTGACCGTTGCTGGTCATTGCTGTCTGACCCGATCCTGGACTCGTTCTCGACACTGCCACAATTCCCAAACTCAACAGTACACGCAACGAATGCTGGGATATAATTACTACACAGTATGTTGCATTGTCTTTCGTGATATAAATGGGTTTAGGTATGAAGCGTGCCATTTGCAGTTATTTTTGAGGAGAGGAAAAGTATTTTTAGAAGAGGTTCTACAGACAGAGATATTCTAGATTACAGTCATGTACCAGACCGATGTGTTATGTACAATTATAATAAGTATTGCTTATAAGCACTACATAGACTGGTAGAGTGGATGCTGTAAGGACGATAGACCGTCATGGCATGCAGACAGGGACGGTAGAGATAAAAAACTGGTGGTGATGCTAGTGATCGTAGTACCAATATGAATCTATGTGTTTGATGGATACATGCAGCAGGGAACGCAACGGCAAAACGAAAAAGACAGCTTAGGGTCATGCCGGAGGACTCTTCTTTCTTTGGCCGAAACTGTTTAAAAAAACACCATTATCAGGAAAATATCAACAGGTATATTATTAAAGTGAACGGCAATTGCAGAACATATCAGCGACCAGCACACAGCCTGGAGAGTAATGCAGTACAATGCAATGCTTATGTTGGACAGCCAGTGGTGCAGCTTCCGCAGGGTATTAAGATGAGCGACATACACACTTAGTACAAGGAACGACCCTAATTTCTAAGATATTTTATAAAGAACTATTGCACCAGTAACCTGCATGCAATGGATGAGACGTAAAACGATGGAAGGAGAAAGGACAGTCCAGCGTTTTCGAAACAGATCTTCTGGCTAGTGGCCATATACGCTTCTCGGACACAGCTTCAACTTCTTGCCAAGTCTCTGCTTGGCAGTGGCAGAACCTTTCTTGACTTTACTGCTTACGGGCTTGCCCTGAACTTGCTTGGGCGGCTCCTCTGTCACTGGATCGGGACTAGGTGTTTTACAGGGCCGCTTAGCACTGGGAGTCTATATAGTACATACCATACCGAAGCACATCCACATACACAAACAAGAAGTGCACCCACCCACATACACATACATGCACACGACGTGCACGCACACACATACACACACAAGCCCAATGAAATTCTTTAAAAAAATGTTCACAATCAGATGTACCACGAGTGTGCAACTCTGATCTCCGACCCAGATGTACCACGAGCGTGCAGCTCTGATCTCCGACCCATGGGTAACCGGGTGCGGTGTGCTGCCTTCAGTGTGTAGTAAAATGACACTCCAGCTAAGGCCAAGTAAAAAAATTGATTGTTTATCGTCCGTGCCCGCCCCAAATTTTCACCCTCCCCGCCGAATTATTTTATTTTTTAATACTGGTAAATGTACTGTATGTACTGCGGTCTACAGCCTCTAATCGGCATGGCCGTAGATTTTCGAAGGTCAAGTCCACAGACTGAACCATAACTTAGTTGCTATGGGCTTGAAAAGTGAAACTGATTATAAGCTGCCTGATTTTCTTCGTTTTTTCTACGTAACGTTGGTTGTTCCACTTTCCATTATCCTCTGGGGTTGCGAACACCTGCCCTACAGCCATAAGTGCATAATAAAAAATAAAATTAAAAACCTCCCGTCCGCCCCGATTTCTCGGGAAAATGTGACGATAAACAATCAATATATTTTACATGGCCTAACAGAAAATGATTTTTCCCCTTTGGTTTAGGGGCAACGATTTACTCATAATAACTTACAGTCGGTTCAAAAGCAGTGTTTATACACAACGCATCACACACACGCACCCATCCGCAGTCTCCAAGAAAACCGTACTTGGAAGCGGGAAGCCGTAGCACATCAACAATGACAACAGCCGAGCTGGTTCCCCGATTTGTGGCTACATAATGTGGGCATCGTGCCACACTACAGACGTATGTGCACAGTTACACATACTTGGGGTTATGGACTCTTGGACGTATGTACCGTACTGGCAATATATGTTGCCGCAGTGAGGCCATGAAGCGTTACATTGGCACATGTTTGCCGCACGCAGGGCGTTACATGCAAAGTCACACAGGAGCCGTTACACAGGTTTCTACATTGCCGCAGTCCTTTTTTTTGCTATTGCCGCATCATTTTTTTGCTTTTGCCGCATCATTTTTTCTTTTCATCCACATTGAAGGCACAGAAATTCAGTTGCTATCCAACTGTTACAAACCCGACGGCAAAGGGCGACAACGATATCAATAGAAGACTGTATATTTAAACTATCAGAGTGATCTGTTCACAAAAAGATCATCAAAAGGAAAGTGACATAGGGGAAGAGCGCTTCTTCCAAAAACTACTGTCACTCACACAGTTAATGAGTGTACAACATATTACTCTTCTTCGCAAAACGACCTCGGGAAAGAAGAAACCATTGAGATCGCCAACCACTGAATGATGCGCCTTCGAGTGTCAGGACTTCCTGCATGCTGCGTCCAGTTTTGAACTTTTCACCACGCGGTACACGTGCTTTCACAGTTTTCAGCCTTTTTTTTGCAGTGCAAACTGCAATGAAAAGATCGCCGCACCCCGCCGGACGAGCGTTACGAACTTGACGAAAATTTGTCGCACTAGCCTGGTCGCGCGTTACGCCGCACCCCCCTGCGTTACGCGTTACGCGGCAACATATATTGCCAGTACGGTATTGCTTTCCCGTTGTTAGGTGTTGCATTGCAAGTCCACTACAACCGCATATGGTGATATATTTACCAGCTGCATAGAAGATAATGAACCGTGTGCGGTAATACTCACAAATGTACTAGACTCGGTTGTGCCCACCAAACACGGGAAAAGTTGGCCGGCAAAAAGGTTTCAGCCATCTTTGATGCACACCTTGCCAAGCACACACACACACATACACACACACACACACATCTTCTGCACCATTCAGGACACTGATACAACAGTATGCTGTGTCCAAGGACTTACAGGGACTTTGCTGGATGGCTTCTTGCTGCTCTTGGTATGCGTGGCATTGAGAGGTGCTGCAGCAATATACAGACACACAGTGATATGATAATGAATTAATGATGCGCTGTAGCGATGGTAGACTTGTGTGCCTACATGCTCCCAGTCACAGTGCAACCATACGCATTGGTGAAATGGCCACACCGAGTTGTTTTGTTTGCTTACACGTCACCTACACCCAGCCCAGTACTTCTTCAGTACAAGAACTCCAGGCATGCACACAGTAAGGTGAATCGCATGCACGCATAGAAAGACTAGGCGTGGACGATTGTGAAGATGTTTTCTTAGTGGCTCTACGGGTCCATGGGAGGACTAGTAAACTCAGGCTCAACAAACTCCATCAGACCCGTGCTCACAGGGATGGCCAGTGGTTTGGTGGATTTCACAATTTCCGTGAGCACGCGGAGTGACCGTGCACAGTGCTTGAAGTCCAACACAAATTGTCGTGACATGCACTGGCCTGTGCCCCGCGCTGAATCAAAGATTTCCACAGCCTGATCCGGGTGGATGAGTGGCAGTAAAACACACTCTCCCTGTCAAAACTTGAAGTCATCTCGAGCCGATAACAAGTAAATACTAGTTTGATACATAAATTTCCAACGAGAATTTACTAAGTAGAATAATTGATTCTAGTAAACTGCATGAGAAGCATGCTCTTCTCAGTTGCAATTCACGGTATCGTCAACCAGTTAACTGCCAAGTAGTCAGTATAGTGGTTTCACACATAAGCGTTTTAGAGACGCACTGTCATGATGCACTTTTAGGGGAGAAGGCAGAGGTAGTGTGGACATACCGCCTGGGTGCCAGCTGCAGTCAACGCCACGTGTACGATCTCCTTGCGTGCGGTCCCGTTTCCGCTTGTGGTTGTTAGCCTGAAAGCCATTCTCCACCCAATCCTCGTCCTCGAGCTCATCCTCTCCTGCCGGCTGAACAGGGAGTGATGGATCTGCAAGCACCCACATGCACCACACACAAGCGCATGTGCACGCCCATGCACACACACACACACACACGCGCGCACAGAGACGGGCACAAAAAAGAGGCTATAACTAGTTAGGAACATACAAGTCTCGGGTGGTCGCAGTCTGGCAAAACAGATGTATACTTTTCATAGTCCCATAATCACTACACTAAAGAAGAAAGAAGGAAGGTCAATGTGTACTGAGCACTCACCAGTTAAGCCAGGGCTAGCCATTTCAAACCTGGTGAAACAAAACAAAGAAACAAAAACAAGCCAATCAATTGACACAATTCAATACGGCTCTAGGACCCAAAGAGCTAGTGGAGAGTGGGTGAGATCTCACCATGCATATCTGGCATTATCTGCTACAATCGTGATGTTCTGTTCTACATTATGGGAAATCTGTTCAGCTCTACGTTCACGTAGAGTAGTCACGTGGAATGTGTACTGGGAATTCCCCCTCCAAATTTGGCAGTTTTCTGCCTGCATTTGGATGATACCCAGGAGATCCGCACTCATTTTCTTTGCGTGTGCCACACTGCAGAGAACCTCATCTACGAGTAGAAATCTGGACCCAAAATACGTGAAGCCGTAGACTCCCTAAGTGATTTCTATATGGTTCAAGTATAGCAGAACCTCACTAATATAAATTACTAGAATAACTGAATACTCAGTACATGGTAGGAAAGAGACTGATGCTGATGATGTTCTGTCGCTACCTCTCCAGAGACAAGACTCGTCAGTCAGATATCCGAGATCTAAAATAATCAATTTCTGGCAGGATTTCTCTTTTTCTCAGGAAGACAACAGTTCGAGATAGTGGTAGTGACTTTGGCGATGATTTCATAGGAAACGTAGTTGCACACACACACCATGTGCACACACACACCATGTACACACACACACACACACACACACACACACACACACACACACACACACACACACACACACGGTAACGCTGGCTTTGCTGCATAACTTACGTTCCAGAAAACGTTGTAGTGCCATGGCTGGACTCCGCCGTATCTGAATCACTGTCAGAATCCGAACTGCCGCTTTCATCTTCAGTGGAGGTTGCTGTACTACTGCTGTTGCTGCTTTCCTCCTCGGCACTCATACTGCTCTCGTCAGACTTCACACCCGACACAGGAAAGTTCTCCCAACCAGCACGCGACTTGGAGCGCGAGCTTGATTTGCTGTTTGAGTGCTTGTTGCTTGCTACACCGTACAAAAAGAAGAAGAAGAGAGAAGGCGGCATACCAGGACATGTTCATGCATGGCCATACTTCAGCACAGCCATGCATGTGCAGAGGATACTCGTACATTGGACATAGACATTGGTATTCCAAGTGAAGATCTCTATAAGCCCCAAAGTCAGAGTGTGCAGCTCCACACATTCATGCTGGAAATTACTCCCACCGCGAATTTCCAGGTTTAGGGCATGGGCATAAGAGGCAGCCCATCACACGTAGGTTCACCAACAAGTCACCATATCACTACGGTGCTAATGGGAAACACATGCACACTTGTCACCTTCCGAACAACAAGCAACACCCAGTGAGCAAAAGACACGGTAAAATGGCCATGTTCACTTAACAGTGCGACACAGCAAAGGCAAGGCAACAGCAAACTTCATCGAGGGATCTTGCTTGGCGAGTAACTAGTACGCACTGACTCGCTCTGGTCAACCAACTTCTAAGTTTCCAGTGAGCCAAGCATACCAACATACATACATGCACAGTAGAACTCTGATAAGACGTACACCTTTGGACAGCAGGATAGTGTACTTAGTATCCAAGGTACTTAGTATCCAATGTACTTAGTATCCAATGTACTTAGTATCCAATGTACTTAGTATCCAAGGTACTTCGGTATCCCGACATATATCACTAGGGATCCATACATCCATGCTGCGGACATTGTTCGTACCAAGCAAGAGTACTGTAATTTCACAAATTTTCGGCGTACTTTATTTTCGGTACTTTAGGTGCGTCTGTTTCATACCTAAAATTTCAATACACCGAACAAACACCAACACACATAATCCAATAGGGAACTGCTTCTCTGTACTGAACATTTCTGTTTACCTAACCTAGCCTGTTGCCCTCATACCGAAAATATTGAGCACCGGAAATTTCTGAAATTAGAGTATGTCTTATCAGAGTGAGTACTAAGTGAGTTCCACTGTACATGTACGATATCACACTGCTGAAGAAATTTGCAGAAATGGATCTATCTGATAACCATGGAGGGCAGCATGCATGTGGGTGGAGCACAAAAACACAGTTGCATACATAGTTTGCAGCAGAGAGTAGTAAAACACCGGTATTTTACTACTCCCTGGTTTGCATGGTTCAACACAATAATTTGATAGAAAAAGGGGAGCACATTTGACTGGCGCCCCAGTAGCCCCAACGAAAGAAAAGGCTGTATGATCAAGCCGTACACTGTACAGCCATATAAACAACAGTCACTTGATAGTACCTGGCATAGGGATGGGGCCCAAACTGACTTTGAGACTAATCGGCGAGATGGACTTGACAGCGATGGCTATTGGCTGGTTCCGTGTTGTTGATGCACTGCAGGAGGACCACGGTACAACGCATTACGTAGACACTGTAACTATAGAGTTCACACAACCACACTCCCTGAAAGTAAGCAGTGAATGCACTTCTGTTGTATCCACAGAACAGTGGTACGTGACATATGATAGCATTCAAAGTGCAGGCAACAAATTGTTACAGCGAGGGCCCGGTCAGACTGCGGCAAGTTTCCGGCGCCTGAAAGAAATCGTTTAGGATTAAAATTGGGATCACACTACACATGGCGAGAGTGAAAATTCAAAGTTCAACTAGAGCCGTCAAGTGCTTGCAGGACTATAGCATAGCTCACCTGCTTTGTATGTTCGAATTGGAAAGCTCCGCTTTGGTCTTCTTCTTCCTCTCCTCCACCATTGTAAGTGCTTTCGAGTTGATCTTCAGCTTGAGTGGATTAGTCGCTGATTGTACAACTAGGGGCGGCGGTGGGGGTTCATCCGCTTTGCATGACTGCACAAAGCAGTGAAAAATCACAGTACAATGTCAAGAAAGAAGAAAGAAAACCACAAAACATCACCTTTCGTAGCGATATTGATTTTGAATATAATATTGAATTTACGCAAAGAATCACACGCAAAACCTTTTTATAGTGCGTTTCAAAAGTATAGACCTCTAGACTTTTTCGAATAATTTAAATTTGGTTTGAGCTTTTTGAGAAATTTCTTCGGAATATTGCTCAGGCAGCTCACGCAATTTTTCTCGTATAAATTTCTAAGCGATTGGATAACAGACGCCCAATTTCGAAAAATTTATGAACAAAGTGATCACAGATTTTATGTGGTATAGATGCTGACCTAACGGTTTTTTGAAAACCAGAGGTCTGGACTTTTGAAACGCACTATAACTATCCAAGGAAAAGCATACTGGGAAGCTGGAAACTGTATCAGATCAATAATCCCGCAGCTGACCCCCGGTTTGTTGCTCATAATGTGAGCAGCGCACTGTGCGAGAGCCCACGTGAAGAGCTGCATGCTTCTGGGGAGGGGAGGGGGTGACTCTTGGTAGTTCTTACTAGAAGTATTCAATGTGGACAGCGGGGGTGGTGTGCATACGCGCGCGTGTGTGTGTGTGTGTGTGTGTGTGTGTGTGTGTGTGTGTGTGTGTGTGTGTGTGTGTGTGTGTGTGTGTGTGTGTGTGTGTGTATCAGCCTTGCAAGCTGTTGAATGGTGTAATCCCAGCACAAGTTGCTATGTCTAACATAGCTGTTCGCTATCATCGCTTCCGCGATGGGCAGGTCTGAGGTCTGAGGCGTGTGTGTGAGAGCGAGTGTGTGTGTGTGTGTGTGTGTGTGTGTGTGTGTGTGTGTGTGTGTGTGTGCATGTGTGTGTGTCTGTGCGGTACCCCTGTGCACCCCGAGCATAATTGTATCTGTTGGTGAATACGTAACTCAATGTCTTCTCTCAGCTCAAGGCGCAAACGTCTTTAAAGAACAATGCATCACAAGCATCCACGTCCGTAGTCTGAAGATTGTTGTCTCAGCCGCAACTTACAAGAACATGTACTAGCAAGAGTACATGAAAACCAGAGTGTGCAGCTTAGATGGGTTGCTGTCACGGCGGAATTCCGTGATTACATCATTTTAGTGATGTAGTGCGTACAAGCAGGATTCAAGCAGGTCTCTTTCTGCACAACTGCAGCTCAGTTGTACGCACTACGCCATTTCCCGCCTCAGATTTGCGCCGAATATGATGTAATCACGGAATTCCGCCGTGACAGACACCCATAGCAGAAAAGGCCCCAAGCTGCACACTCTGGTTTTCATGTACTCTTGGTACTAGTAGCAGCGGAGTTGTATACACTAGCACATGGGCTGTCTTGACTCAAGAAAAAGGGGGGGGGGGGCGTCAACTGACAAACTGTGAACCTTTTCTTTATGACGCTGTTGCATGAAGTCCACAAACTTGTAAGTGTCTTGGCACAAGGCAGTCAAAGACGTGTACGCTAGTTAGAGTTAGAGTAAAGGGCATGTATATGACTGTTTTAACAGATTGTCCTAGCCAACCTCACCTTGAGAATCTTGCCAAAGCTGTGAATAAGCCGCTGAACATCATCCACTGTGCTGGGTATGAAAGATTCATGATACCGAATACCCTAACAAATAATGTAAGAACAGACATTTGAAACTCACTTTTAAAACGACAATAATGAATTTTGACCACAAGAAATCGTAGCTCTTCACCTTCGTGAACCAACACGTGTGGAGAAAAGCAGGAAGCCAAGTGTTCAAAAATAGATGTCCTTGACCGGCAAGTGCTTCCTAGAGTTGTTGGACTGTTCGTCTTAAGTGACACAAGCAACGACATTGATATTCACTAGTACATCAACAAAACAAAAGAAAATGGTTAAAAAAACAGGACATTTATATCTGATACCAGTTTTCTACCACTGCACACAGTGCATTTCTATTGATAATTTCACAAGTGGAATTGAAGCAAAGAGCCAACCAAAGGAGCCAGAGAGGACACCCACCCACCCAACCACACAAACGCACACAGTCACAGCGGCACTCTGGACAAGGAGGATTCTCAGCCTACCTCATCGCTTGTCCATGTTTTGAGTGCTTTGTGCAGAGCCTCCGCACCTTGATGTAGATGAGCCGGTACAACAACAGTGCTACCACGATTGGATTTTACTCGACCTGAAACAGGACACGGGGAAAAGCCAAGTTACACATTGGCACATGACATTAGCTGAACCGCTTACGTACTGCACTGCTTCAGAGTTGATCATGATCTCCGTTCCTAACCTGCTGGATTTGCATTTGACTATAGACTTGCTCTGTTGTAGACTTATCTAGCACACTCATACTCAAGCAGGGGCGTCGGACACGGTACGGTCACTACGGTATTGACCGTACCACTTTTGCCACAGGTACCCCGTGAATCAATAAAATACACTGATCTGGGATCTAAATTTCCAAAATTTTCGGCTCAGCCACCACTCCCCGACGAGTAAATTGCACTTCAGATGGCCGACCGTACCACACTAAAATACCTTCCGACGCCCCTGTCAAGAGTGCCCTCAACACGAGGGGTGGAAAAGAAGAGGATCAATGGGAAACCGTTTGAAGAAGAACACTAGCAACACTACAGCAATAGCAAGTATAGGTGTGAGGCACACGTGTCTTACGTTTCAGGTCCGCCAGGAGATGGACGGCTGCATACCAATGCAGAGTTTCAAACGCTGGAAGCAACAGGCGCGCCTGCATCTTGATACGTGTCTCCATACCATAGACCCTGGTGGGATTATGAAGAGGATCGGAACACACGGAATCCTTCATCACAGTCCAGCACTCCGAGGGGCGTCAATTTACAGCACACATACACAATGTACATGCACTGGGAAGGAAGATCAAAGTAGTAGTATGCCCCGGCAATTCAAGCTGACATCTGTCCACTTGGCTACTCACCAGAGCTGCAAAGGCATGTTGTAGCGATGCAGAAAGTTGCCACCAAACACCAGTGAGTCTGCTGGTGTTAACACAGCATGAATCCAACCTATACATCCCCATCACAGCACACAGGTACACACACACACAAACAGTCAAATCCAGTTTAACAGTAACTGTGTAAGTCCGCAAACTACAACACAATCTCTCCTTCCAGCAACTTCAATGTACGATGCCAGCAAGTATGCATAACTGGTCTGTTCTTCTTACTCCGATACTCGTATCGTTGTGCCCCTGCCTAGAGTGGCAAGCAATTTAAAAAAGAAGAAGAATCCAACCAAACATTGACGCTGCAATGTTTGTGACACTTACTGAGTACAGGTAATTCTACTTGAAAAAGTGCACAGAGTCCGGACAATACTGCTGCTTGCAGACAAAGAAATCAGCTTGCGGGCTCGAAAACTATGTAGTGAGTTGCGCAGTGGGTGTTTGAGCAAAGCTGGGTTACACAAGTGTAGGGGGTGCAGAAAGTGGCGCAATGTTTTTTTTACCAAGAGTACATAATCCCCCAAGAGTGTACTGTGGGTGCTTCGCAGATAGAATTTCAAGTTGATGTCATTTTTATGATGCAATGCGCACTGTACACGTCTTATCAGACGTATCCTGAACCTGTGGTGGACAAGGCACCATTTTATCCTCTATACTAGTGCAAAGAAAAACATGTAATGCGCGGACACCCCGTACAAATGTCGTAAATCACTGGTGCAAGGAGCATTGCATCATAAAAAACAATGATCCGGAAAACCCGCACATTAAAATATATTGACGTCAACATTAAAAAAAATTCTGTCGGGACAGCTGGGTATGCGGAAGTTGCACACTTTCGGGGCTTATGCACTCTTGGTTCTACTGACCAGCACTGTACAGTCAGGACAACGTATGGTTGTGTAAGGTAGCACCACAACTGGCAACACAAACAGTTCACCGCCACAACCTAGGAAAGTCTAACCTGTGGGTATGAAGAAGGTCTCTCCCGGCAAGACTCGGCAGCGATAGCATTTGTCCACCTGGTCTCCAAAGAACACTTCATTCTGTTTGGGTGATGAACTCCATTTCTCAAACAGGTCAAGGTTCTCCTTTGTTGGTCGAATCATGTAGAAGATCTTCTCACCCTGCAATCCAACATGCCAGCATAAGCAACTCTTTAGTGCAACATCAAATTTAATAGGACAAACTCTGCACGGAGTATGTAGAGAAACTCGTTTGTAGAACAAGGTACAGTCGTCCCTCTCGAATCCGGCACCTTTTGCAACGGCATTTTCTGCTGGATAAACAAGGGTGCTGGATTATCAAATCCTGCCCTCCAACCCGGCCCACCTATTAACATACATGTTTGTGTTGTACGTCAAAACGTAGGGATTTTCTGTGTCAATCCAAGTACTTTGTGAAATGATTGTCTATAACATACACCTGGGAATAATATCCTATGCACTGGCATAGGATATTCCCAAGTGTATGTTACATGTGTTGTGTATGTTTAGTATTGTTTACAATGCTCCCTGATAGCGATGCACAACTGCTGGATTAGAAAATCGAATTATGTACAGTTTGAGTGATTTTACTCATAAAAAGGACACACTTCAGGCTCATTACAAACATCTTGAAAGTTTTCGTCTTCACAAGTATACTTTCAAGCCTTCTCATCAGGTGAAATACAGGCAAGGGAAAAGGAACAGGAACAGTGGATTAAATACAGTAAGAAGGTGGTAAAACAGCGCAAAAAGAAAGAAAGAAAGAAAGAAGATAGCTAAAGTAAACAGCGAAAATTGCAATAATGACACAAAGGTGCAAATGCGAGAAAACTCAATAAGCGCGACATGTAGTGTGACAACAAGAGACAACCACTGGACATACATGTAACTAACGAGGTTTTGACGACCTACCTAACAGCCTAAGTGTGAATTTGATTTGTTTCTGCTTGCAAAGGTTGGGTTTCCTTGTGTGGATGTATACAGCTTCCAAAACATTCAGCAATCTAGCACTGCGTACACGTGACACAATCGAAAAACAATCATCCGAATACACAGCACGACAATCAGGATGCTCAAACAAATGACTAGCAATGGACGACTCATACTTATCAGAACTAACATCAGAACAATCAGCATGTGCGGTGGACACATCCGATTTCACATGGCTAGTCGAGTGGACCCTAGCCGTTGCCTCTGTCTGTGCTTTAGTCGCTGCCATCGCCGCCGTTGCCGATCTTGTTATTCTTCTGGTTGATGCGGTTCCTGTCACTGCCACGCACGTAGGTGTCTTGTCCGGTTGTTTTTCTGGTGGTCTAGTTAATTGTGAGGTGACGTTCCTTGGTGTTGATGCCGCTGCGTTGGACCATCTTGTACCAGGATGATTCTTTGCTGGACGTCCCCTCCGTGGTCGAGTGTGAAGACGAAAACTTTCAAGATGTTTGTAATGAGCCTGAAGTGTGTCCTTTTTATGAGTATTATCGCATTTTTGTCTCAGAGGAAACTGTTTGAGTGATTTGTTGCAGAAAATCGCTGCTGGAGGATTCAAGTGCCGGATTAAAGCGTAGAAAATGAACTGAAAAAATCGGTTTTGCGAGAAAGTGTGCTGGTTTGCAAGGGTGCTGGATAAACAAGTGCCGGATTAGAGAGGGACGACTGTATATTAACTCCGCATGGATGTGACAAGGACACTGTATGTTAAAGGGAAATCCTGATAATAATAGAATAGGGGTCAATCGAATGCCTCGGCAACGGGGACAACAGCACCTTGATCCAGAGCCCACCGGGGTTTGCTTTGCGCCGAGGGGATCTCGGATTTTGAGGATGTGTGTGTTGTCGATGACAGGACCAGTGTTATGCCTGTACACCATAGGCTAAGTCGTGAACAACATCACCCATTTCCTTTACCGACCTAGGCACTTGCTCTCTACTCACACTGCACGTGTCACACGACTAGCAGAGCACCAGAAGCAACACCTTTATGATTAACCAAATCGTCAATTTCCTTTCCCTAGTTGCATGTCTTTGAGCAAAAGTATTGGATTTTCCTTCAGCTGACTTTGGCCAGGAGATGGTATCCTTGTTCACAATGCAACTACTTACATCGAGCAGAATTCTTTTGAATCGGAGTTCAAGATGATGTAGCCTAATTTCCAGGCACTGTACTAGTGTTTGATATTAGGATCATTGTCCCAATTTCACACACACACACACACACGCGCACACACACACACACACACACACACACACACACACACACACACACACACACACACACACACACACACACACACACACATCAGCAGAGTATACGGCGTGTAACTTACCCAAAGAACGTGATACCAGACTGATGAACCGCCAAAGTCGATGTGAAAGTCGGTGTACGAGCCTTCCGTTCCCATCAGGACGTACTTCTGGATCTTGGGAAGTAACGATAGGGCAGCAGCATCACGTGGCCAGTGCAGGTCTAGCCAGTCAACCTGCCGTACCACTGATGGTGATTGAACGAGGTCGGAAAGTCTAGTCAAAACAAGAAAGGCAGAATGAGTGAGAGGGGGAACTTACAACAAGAGGCTAGCTAAGACAGATACAGACATGGTACGGGAAGAGAGTGGTGTCAGGGAAGTACACTCATTGGCCATCACATTGCACACATACACACACACACACACACACACACACACGTACACACATACATGCACACACATGCACACGTACACACGCACAGACATTGCACACGCACGCACACATACAAGCATACGAGTATACAGCATACATGTGACATTGGCCAAACATGCATGAATACAACATGAGTCATACTTTGAATCGGAGAACTCCAGACTGATTACGTTGAGGGTCCGTCGTCGCTTGGTGACAGGCTGAGAAAAATACTCAGACCACTCATGCATGCACATTTTGAAGTCTTCCTGGATGGCAACATCGATAGCATTGAGCTCGCGAAGCGGTCCTGCAAAAACAAAGCACAAACAATCAAACATGCATTATAGTATGTTCAGTGGCAGTGCCCTAGCTCAACAAACAACTCATATTTCAGCTGGAGAGAGAGAGAGAGAGAGAGAGAGAGAGAGAGAGAGAGAGAGAGAGAGCACAGAGAAAACACACAGAAAGGATAATCCTGAAGTGAAAGTCCTTGGTTCGAGTCACGACAGCCAGTTTTCTTCAACGCCCGTCAGCATTTACTGGGATGGAAGCCTGAAATACAAGTACCAGTACTAGTAGCTCAAATGTGCCAAGGGCAAAGGCCAATAGAACGGGAATGCCTTTTCCCAAGTGACCTGCGGAGGCTTTTCCAACAACCAGGCTTGACCTCAATCTCAATTTGCCATAAACCAGATCAGGGTACTGGTCACCTAGAGCAACTACAAGTACAACTACAAGTACAAGTACATGTAGTATATCTATCAGTACAGTTCCACACATGTAGTATATCTATGAGTACAGTTGCACACGACAGTTACTGTGAGAAGGGGTTTATTCAAAACTTTACCAGTGCAGTTGCACACACAGTTACTAGTACAACAGTGGACCAGGGTAAGTTTGTAGTTTGTTGCAACTCTTAGCTTCACGCTCACAATGTAATCACCTGGCAACATGGTAGGTAGCGTTGATTAGGTTGGTACCAGTATAATTATGTACGGTGGAGAAATGGGGTGCTAACAGTGTGGATGTTGAGGTGTCAGTGGTACTGGGCATACTATGATAGTGCTAAGCTTTGGGTGTTGGCTTGTCCTTGTACATTGCACTGAATAAGGACTGGGTACTACATGTATGTAGTTCTTGCTGGTGAGCTTACCAGGTATGATGGCGACAGCATATCACATTGTGGAGGACACGCTGTAGGGAACAGTGTCTGCCCTTTTCAGCCTGTACGGCTGTAGTCAAGAGTATAGTTGACTACGGCGTATCCTCCAACTTGTGATATGCTGTCACCATCATACCAAGTACACAGTAGTGTGTGTCCTCCAACTAACTTGTTACTTGTGATCATTATGCTGTCAAGTGTCATTGTCATACCCCAGGTATACATGTACTTATCCCATGGTACGAAACGATTTGGGCCATTTCAGCCAATCAGCGACCGTTCTGAGCGGGGAATATAGAGCGATATTCCCCGCTGGGGTCAAATATTCGACCCCAGCGGGGAATAGGGAGGTTTCGCTCTACGTAATTACGTATGAAAATCCGTATGTCGGACGCGCCAGGGAGCGAGGGCAACTTTCATACGTAAATCTCTCTACGGATTTCCGTAGGAAAGCTGTTTCCTACGTTGGGTCCTCCGTAGGACTTTTTGAAATATTTTTCGCATATTCCGGATTTGTCCATGGCAACGTTCAAGCCGCGCGAAACACAAGGTACACACACCGTACACCACGTGCAACATAAAAATGGAAAACGCGGTTTCTGTTCGTAGTGAATGCAGTGGGCGCATGCAGCCAACGCGTCTCCAAAGCAACAACGCATGTTTAACAGTCGTGGAGAAATCACGTAGAGCGGAACCCAACAGCTCTGATTTTTACGTATGAAAATTCCGTGCACTTCCTACGTTATTTTCATACGTAATTCCGTAGAGCGAAACCTCCCTAATATCGCTCTATATTCCCCGCTGGGGTCAATAATATTCCCCGCTGGGGTCACGAATATTCCCCGGGTCATACCAATAAGGGAGATTTTAGTGCTGGTCACGCTCTATTGGGACAGTACATGGGATAAATGGATTATACCATTCGTACTCTGTGTATACCGTGTCCCTTATATTTTCCCTCGTGCTAACGCACTCGTGAAAATATTCGGCGGTGTACCCCTCATACTCATGGGATAATCCATACATGTACATAGTAGTAACACAGCACAATACTTCGAAGCACTCCAGTAGCTCATTCAAAAAATGCACCATTTCACGGATTCTGCAAAGACAGTTTTCCTACTTCATTGTAGCTATAGCACTCAGAGACTAGCGGTGGCTTACCAACGCATTGCTCAACATCAGTGATGGTGAAATCAGGCGGTGGCACCTGTATTCCTAGACCTTTCTTGTCGCTGACTTTCATCGGCCAGGCGAATCCATGACGCTCCATATAGTCCTTGTTCATTTGCTCACCGCTCAGCTTTTCAACAATGCCATCACCACTAGAGGAAAAGGAGAAAGAAAACAGTCAGAGAGGAACAGAGAAGGAGGAGAAGAGGGGACAACTAAATATATCACAACTGCAAATACTCAAATACTCAACCAGTGAATACTGCAAATACTAGGAACGCTCATATGATATCACATTATCGGGGGAACAAACTTACTGGGGGAAGGACCGTGCTTGCAGCTGACGGATGAAAACCAGGCGATCCGTGTCACTTTGCTAGGTGCAAACAAGATCAAATTAATCAATACCAGAAAACGGAACATCAGTGTCCACCCAAAAATCAAACATGGCACAACATCATCTCCATTCAACAAAAAATCGTTCCCCAAGCCCCCCCCCCCCCCATCACCCCGTCTGTCTGTCTGTCTCTCTCCTTCTATTGATTCATTTACCTCACATTCTCTTACATGCCAATACACATACCCATGCATGCACATCAATACACATACCCATGCATGCACATCAATACACATATAAAACACCCAGAAGATCAGTATAACATACTGCAACACGACCGGCCTCCAAGTCTTGGTAGTTATGACGCTGTACATTCCTCCGGGGCTTGACTGCGTGAGGGCCAACAACGGAAGAGGTACGCACACATGCATGCGCACACACACACACACACAGACACAGACATGCCCATCGCGGAAGGGATGATAGCGAACAGCTATGTTAGGCTGCATTCGATTGTGGAAACTGGATCCCGATCCCCGCCGACCAGATCACTTCGATCGGACGGATACAATCAATCGAATGTGCACAACCGATAATCCGTTTCAAGGCCTTAGCAACCGCGTTGCTACAGCTCATCCCGTAGTATCTGTACGCATTATGGTGAACCCTTGACCTAGTGTACGCATATTGGGAGTTTTGAGTAGATACGAGTCGTACCATGGAAAATAATCCGTCGAATACGTCTCTGGGAGGTGGGTTGACTGGATCCGAATCCGTGCTCTCGGGATCCGGATTCGTACAATCGAACATGTACGAATTTGGCGAATCCGGGTCCGGGGCTCACGGATTCGTACAATCGAACATGCCCCTAGACATAGCAATTTGTGCTGGGATTACACCATTCAACAGCTTGCAAGGCTGGTGAATCGACCGCCAATAATTTTAGCCTGGTATCCACCACACAGCTGATTGAAGTGGCTTTTTCTGGCCAGTGAATCCCTATTTTTCTTTTTTCTTTTTTCCATTTATTTTATTTTTTTGACACACACGCCACACCACATACTCCGGCATACACTGGCTGTTGGTAACCACCCAGGAGAATGAAAGAAGAGCTAGGAGAATGAGAAAGAGAAGAAACACGTGTGCGACCATAATCGCCGGGAACAACCCTGCAATTTACACTATACACATGTCACTAACTGCAGAGTCAGACTGTATTGATGGTTACACTTCAACTCCCACCATAAGCCATACAGATGCCGTTTCCTTACCAATGTCCAAAGCACGTTGAGATAGATAGATAGATAGATAGATAGAGTGAGAGAGAGAGAGAGAGTGCGCGTGTGTGTTTGTGTAAGAGAGAGAGAGAGAGAGATAGAGAGAGAGAGAGAGAGAGAGAGAGAGAGAGAGAGAGAGAGAGAGAGAGAGAGAGAGTGCGTGTGTGTGTGTGCGAGAGAGAGAGAGAGAGAGAGAGAGAGAGAGAGAGAGAGAGAGAGAGAGAGAGAGAGAGAGAGAGAGAGAGAGAGAGAGAGAGAGAGAGAGAGAGAGAGAGAGAGAGAGAGAGAGAGAGAAGAGAGAGGTTGGCAGGAAGGTAGGGACGGAAAGAAACAGCGCCGACGACTAACTTTTCATGGGACCATGGGCAGCCGTACATCCTGGGCAGTGGTACTGGTCAATGTATGATGACTGCGCTTCAGACACACCCACACAGCTGGAGGGAAACAATACAGACACAAATGCACAATGCTCCAGCTCAACTTGAACGGTTTCAACAGCTTCATAAAGAATTCCCAGGAACAACAAAGGTAACAAACATGGGGAAGCGGAGTCTCAGCTTAGAAAGAAATGAGAACTAAATACGCACACACACACACACACATGCACACACACATGAGCCCACATACACGCGCGCGCGCACACACACACACACATACACACACACACACCACACACACACACCCTCAGACCTCAGACATGCCCATCGCGAGAGCGATGATACTTGATAGCGACATAGCAACTTTCTTGTGCTGGGATTACACCATTCAACAGCTTGCAAGGCTGATGAATTGACCGCCACTATTTTTAGCCTGGTATCCACCACACAGCTGTTTGAAGTGACTTTTTCTGGCCAGTGAATCCCTATTTTTCATGTTTCCATTTTTTTTCTTTTTCTTTTTTTTCTACACACACCACATACTCCGGCATACACTGGCTGTTGGTAACCACCCAGGAGAAAGAAAGAAAAGTCAGGAAGAGTCTGAATAAGAGAAGAAAGACGTGTGTGACCATAATCGTTGGGAATCGAACCCGCAACCTATCGATTGGAAATCGCTGCACATACCACTGCACCATATGGGACACACACCCGCACACACCCGCACACACACACCTCACCTCAGACCTCAGACATGCCCATCGCGGAAGCGATGATAGCGAACAGCTATGTTAGACATAGCAACTTGTGCTGGGATTACACCATTCAACAGCTTGCAAGGCTGACACACACACACACACACACACACACACACACACACACACACACACACATACACACATACACACATACACACACACATGAGCACACACACACAGTTCTGACCAGTGAAATTTGCCTACATGAATAAAATCGCAGCACCACTCACTGCACACAGCTCTAGCAGTGTGAACACTAGGCCGCACACTCAAGTGCACGGCTGCTTTATTCACGTACGGATAGCCGAGCTCTGGAAAGCTGGGGTTGGAAGCTAGGTTGCAAGGCTGAACCATGTTTCGTTTTGACACCACTCGGCCCTGGGCTGTAACTCCTTCGGGACCTGGGTGACTCCTATACACATTGTCCTCTAGCCCTCAACATCACCATGCTGTTTCACCAGCCTATGACACATGTACGTGAGAGTGTGTGGTGAAAGTGGGTAGTGAAAGTGGGTAGTGAGAGTGTGTGGTGAGAGTGTGCGGAGAGAGTCTGCATGGGAGAGAGGGAGGTAGTGTGTGTGTGTGTGTGTGTGTCGTGTGTGGGAGAGAGTGAGAGAGGGAGAGTGTGTGTGTGTGTGTGTGTATGTGTGTGTGTGTGTGTGTGTGAGAGAGAGAGAGAGAGAGAGAGAGAGAGAGAGAGAGAGAGAAAGAGAGAGAGGGAGAGAGTGTGTGTGTGCGCGTGCGTGCGTGCGTATGTGTGGTGTGAGAGAGGGAGAGAGAGAGAGAGAGTGTGTGTATGTGTGGTGTTTTTTGTTTTTTTTTGTTTTTTACAAGGACCGTGAGAGAGGGAGAGAGAGAGAGAGTGTGTGTGTGTGGGTGTGTGGGTGTGTTTGATCTCACGTCTTTGGGCCTCAATGATTATTACTGGTGATGTGAAGTCTCACTATGATATCTGGATGTTCATGTGTAACTAATTGTGTACATGTGTCGGTGCATGTTCATGTACGTTTATATAAGATTATACATGTTCTTTGAACAATGCTCTTGTGTGAGGTTCAGTGTTGTTTCTTGCACTTCGAAGTACTTCACAGTTGATTGGTGAGTGCTCCAATGAGGAACACACGCGTGTGGAGCATGCAAGCATGAGAGTGTTCGATATGGGATTTTCATGAAGGATTTTGAGAAGAAGTAGATGTGAGAACTTTATGGCCCTACAGATTGAAGTTGGTTGTTCCAACGAGGAACACACGCTTCTTGCCGAACTTGACACTTGACTGACTCACGGCTGCCATCCGGAGCACACGAGGAGCACGTCGCACCTTCCACTCGGCAAACCTGCAAGAAAGCACCACGCCCTGCTCAATACACAGTGTTTCGGGGAATTCACCCCTCATCAGTTGAGCTTGAGTAGGCTGAGGAAGATTGTGCCTGAAAAGCAACACTTATTATATTGCTCTCCAGGCCAAAACGTCACCAGAGATGCAAACTTACAGAGATGCTTTGTTTCCAGTGCGACAAACACCTCGTGAAACCCCAGGTAGCAGCGTGAGTCAGAGTCGGAGAACTTGCGGTTTGTAGCACATATTTTCATAGACTCCCTGTGAGCCCCAAGGACGAACATTCGGAGATTATAACATTGGAAATTGAAGTGAAAGACCACGTGGTGGTAGTGGTGGTGAAGGTGATCATTTTAAAGAGATTAATTGGCTGCAGTGGCGCGTCCGAATATTGAAGAAAACATTGTTACTATCTTTAGATAGATAGAAAGAAAGAAAGATAGATAGATACCAGTACACTTTACAATGAACTTCGAATTTTGCCTTGCCAACTTCAAATCATCAGCGGAAGTCCCACACATTTTCTGTGTATTACACACCGCTCAGTCAGAACTCTGGCGCAGCACAAAATTTGGCGGATTCAAGAAAACGTGCTCTACACAGATTCCTGCCGTATGTAGTGAGACGACACACACTTGAGAGGAATCAAAAGCGTTTTTGCTGTAACTCTGAGTTTCACGGTTTTGACCGATCATCAGACAGCAACTTGACTACAATTTCAGAAGATATGATTGATATAGGCTGCAAGCTTGGATCATAGCCCGAATGGATGATCCGGGCTGATAGTGTAATTATGAAAATGATTGCGTGAGTTGGTTGATGGGGTGCAACAATAGGCGCAAAAAAAGAATACACTTTAGGCCTAGGCTCATGCAACCACATGTTCTTCTGAGGGAAGCAAGAAGAACAATGGGGCGATTATGAGCAGCACCTCAACTGCGACTGCGAGTAGTGAAAAGGTTATGTGACGGCTGATGGTGAGAATTTTGAGAGGTAGTACTGTTTTTCATGCCTGCACTACAGTCCATTCAGAAAAGGATGGGCTCTGGCTCTGGTGAGCTCCCGTATTTGGCGATTTTTCGTGATTTCATTGTACACAGTGCAGTGCTGCGAAATTTGAACTTTGAAAAAGAGTCCAAAAAGCAGACCCTGTGATTTGAGGCGAGCGATCGCTCTCACGCGCCATCGCGCGCCTTATTTTCTTGGAAGGTGCACTTTTTGTCGCGCGCCTGAAACTATTTTTGGCCTGCATGCATGCGCATGTACGCTTTTCGGAGTGCAGCGCAACTCTACTATGAGTCTATGGTGTCAAGTGCACTCATCGATCCGTGCGCAAGAACTGTGCCCGCGGTGGAAATTCAGAAAGCAAACGGGGCGAAGCTCACCAAGGGCTGTGACTCATTGCATAAGGCAAGAGAATTCGTCCATTTGTTGTCTGCCACTATGCAGAAGAAGATCGCAAGTATCATCTCTTCATCAACTGCATTTTCTGTGTTGAGCGATGGATCGCAGGCCCGCAAAACCAGAAGCGAGAAGGAACTCGTGCTTGTTCGTGTTGCAAAGGAAGGCGAGCCGGTTTTCTTCACCCTAGCCCTGATGAATGTAGACGATTACGGCGATGCGACTGCGAACAATTTGAAGACAGCCATCGACGATTCATTTCGAGGTGAGTTGCACTAGTCACTGATGCATCCAGAATTTTTTCTCGAAAAAACTGATATCAATAATGTGCTGTGTTGTTGGAGTGAGAATTTTTGGATCACTCTCCTACAGCTCGCCTGACACAGGCGAGGAGAGCGATAGATCACTCGCCACCTATTTTCAAATCACAGGGTCTGCCAAAAAGGGTACCTGAACTGGGGTTCGAACTTCGAACCCCACAATGCACTGTTGCAGGCAGGGTCAAACGGCCTGGATTTTGATGGTTTTTTCCAATTCAATGCTTCTGGGGCAAAACCTGGCCGATATCCTATTCTTGTTATGGCTTGCTTTTTGGACAAATAGACTTCAGAAACATAATTGGAAGAGGATTCCATAGGGGATTGCAGAAAAAAATGCTAAAAAAACTCAAAGTTTGACCCATTTATGGCCAAAAGCTAGAAGTCCATCTTTTTCTGAATGGACTGTAGTCTGCATTAGTAGTAGTGAGTCTATGCGTGGACAGTATCTCTTGTCTTTGAAACAGTTTCTCGTGCAATTCAAATTCCCATGGAGCGTTTGTATGCGTCACTATACTGTGCAGTCAGAGAGTTGCCAGTTTTGTGAAAGCGTTTTCCTTTTGCAGTTCTAGCGCCATGGCCAAAATAGGATATGACGTCATGCTTATTGTGATTCTGCGTACAGTGTACTGTCTTTTGGATAATTAGAAGTCCATGGGACGACTGAAATAAAAGAAGTCCCTGTGGCGTACCCCAAGATGCAGATACCTTACGTATTACGCTAAGCATAGGTCCTGTGTGGCTGTAGGCGGATAGACCATACTGATCTAGATACGATTTGGTTTTCATTGGTAAGTATAGCACGGTACAATAAGTAGAAAGCATGAAACTTGACAAATGTCAATGCGTTTCATCCACAAGCGACAGCTGCCCACATTATCGGAAAAGCGTTTGCATAGTAACCACAACGAAGTGGATAAAGTATACTAGTACTATAGTACTCCAAGAAGCTGACGGCTATTTACGACAGTACGCCCCACGACAAACTAAGAATTCAAATAATTCTCAATTCTTTCTCAATCAGTATTACCTTCCATGGAACCAGTCTTCGCAGCGATCACATTGGATCATGAATACGCCGTCACTGTAAGGTGTTCGGCAAATGCAGTACAAGTCAGCACCACTGGTAGCCATCTTCGCTCTCACAAGCAAGAGCTTGCAAGGTAGGTGGTCAAATTGGGATTTCTTCTATTTTCAAGCCCAGATAGCGTATGACTTTGAGCAGCTGCAAGCGCAGAAATTCTGGAAAGACTTCATATACCTTCAAGCTAGGTCTGGCCTGCGGCCTGGTGCAGTGGTGGGTACAGATCCTGAAGCAATGGGAGGAAATGGAAGCTATCACATCTATCCCTTCAAAAGGCCAAAGTCAAAGACCGTTCTAGTATTTCTACCTTGTGCTCAAAATGAGATTGTGTTTCTTTTGACGTTTTGCCTTTTGGATCGTGATTTTGATTGACACGGCGTCATTATACATATCAGATCATGCATATGCACACAATTACACGTAGATCAACAAGCGTGGATATCTGTACGACGTGGGGCGTGAGCCCAGGCCAGGCCCACGCGCGCGCGTAGATCTACGCGTGTACCGCGGCGTACTGCCGCTGCGCCGTCGACGTGATCTGCATCTGGCAGGTGTCCGCGGTGATCGTGATGCGTGATCATGGTGATCGATAGCATTCAATATTTTAACCCTTTATTGGCCGGCCCATACATTGATCGAACACCGATGTTCGATGGGGTAGGTATTTTGAAATTATCGTAACTTGGTCAAATCTCGGTCTTTCGGAGAGATCGAAATATGTAGGTCGAAGAGAAAACTCTCAGCTGGCGCCTCGAACAATTTTCGAAGCGATACAAAGAGCGGTTCTTGAGTTATAGCACTCGGAATGTTGGTCCCGGGAAATTTGCGCTCAGAGTGCGATGCCTGGGTCAACGACCGGGATTTTCTCTGCTTACGTCACCTGTTGACAAGGCTACACTGATTCAACTTCAAAAGCTGGTTCCCGGGAGTCTCTACGAAAAACTTTGAGTTTGATACGAGCAAGGGGAGTGAAATGGCGGATAGAGATAGATCTTGAGCGTGAGCCCAGCGCTGGTGGGCCTTCGCTGGCTTGCAGAGCTGGGCCAGTGCATCCCGTGGAGTCGAGTGTACGCTCATTGCGCTCCTCTCACCAAGGCCTTTCCAGGATGCCCAAGATCGTGGAATTTGTCCAGTGCAAACTAAAGTTACGTCCAATTTAGGTACAGGTTTGGCGATTGCGTGGGCTTTTTTGTATTTTAATCGGCCAATAAAGGGTTAAAATGATGTAAGATAGAGTCAATAATGATAAAAATTAATAATGTAGAGCCGAAGGATTTATTGCAAAAACATGCTATAAATTATTTTATCACTCTCTTATTATTGACCCCCACAGAAACTTGTGATCTCTAAGCGGTCAAATATCAGCATATATTGACCGCTTATATTGACCACTTATTATTGACCACTTAGCCCGAGGACTTAGAACTTTTTCCTCAACTTAGAAAAAAATCAGAACTGAAAGAAGAAAAATCTGAAGCCAAATGCTGGGATTTGAACCCAAACTGTCAGATTCTCAGTCAAAGAACTTGGGGAACATACTACAAGAGACAACTGAAAACTTTGGTTTACACAGCAGTAATGTCCAATGTAAACGGCATATGTACATACTATTAATAGTATTATACTATTACAATAGTATTCCTTTCTTCCTATAACAAAGCAAAAACAGTTTTAGGTGTGCTATGTCGTGATAAATCTATTATTGCCCTCATAATCGGTCAATATATGAAATATAGACCTCGTAAAAGACCTCGGGGGACCTCGGTCTTTTACTCGTTCTATATTTCATATATTGACCTCTTTAATCGTGCAATAATAGATACTTATAGTTCCTTTCTTGGCCATGCGCCAGGGCCCAGGGGAACTGGATGGAATGGTACCTGGATCACGATCCCGTGGTCGCCATTGGTTCACCAACATCAAAGACTGGACCAATGAATCTTGCAATTCTCTCTCTCTCTCGTTGCTGCTGATCGTGATAGGTATAGCTAGGCAGCTTGTTTATCAGTGCAGTTTGTTTTTTCCTGTTCTTTTTGATGCTGCTGCCTTATGACACACACGGCGGCCCAACGACCAGAATGGTTATGGGTTATACATACATACATACATACATACACTACATACATGTACATACCAATTGTTAGATTGACAGGTTTATCTAATACTGGTTTACCAGTTTTGGATTATATCATGTACATACCACTGAGTTATAAAAACCGAGGTCCCCGAGGTTTTTATACTGGTATGTAATTGCAATAAATCCTGAGGCTACTACATTTATAAATTTTATACATAATTATGTTGACCTTCACTTCACATAGTGGAATTCAAGGCTAGTAGTACTCCGGTTTTGTTCCAGGAACATCCCTGGACGAAGCCAGAGCATCAAGAAAGACTCAAGAAAGAATTCTAATCAAAATATGAAGAGATGTGTGTTAACTTGAAAACTCCGCAAAATCGCACAGTATATTTTCAAGGCACCATACAGTCCATACTGTAAAAGTTTGCCCAATTACCCCCGCCCCCCCCCCCCCCAGGAATGTTTTTTCCCCAGGAATGCTCAGTACACATGTAGGAACTCCCCCCCCCTCCCCCCCCCCCCGACCGGGTGTAGAAAAAGTAAAACTGAACAATCCTCAGACCGAAGTGCAGTGCATGCTGCATGGAAAAGTGCAGTGCATGCTACATGGAAAAGTGCAGTGCATGCTACATGGAAAAGTGCAGTGGTGTTTAATAATAATAATAACTTTCAATGATTAGGATGACCCAAAGGCTGACCGCCTATCGTGGGGTCCGTCGCATTGAAGGATGACGGTACAAGAGAGTACAGATTGGGAGGGGGGTGACTATGATGACTCGAACAGGGTAACGGCATGCCAGCGTTTATTGAGTCAAAGCAAACTGATTTATTTGAATTTGATACTGTTCAGTGATGGTGTGGTCAATGAGTATTTTTAAAAGTTAGGCCAAACTAAAGAAGGTGTGTGGTTCGACTAACATGGACATTTTTTTTACGGGCGGGCGGGCGGATTTTTTTTTTTTTTAATATAATATATTATTTTTTAGTACATGTAAATACACTGTATACGCGTATCGAGTAGACTCTACTACCAGCACAAGGCAGCAGTCGTACCACTCACTGCACTGCACTGCAGTACAACTACAAGTCAAGTCCAAAAGGAGCCGCCTGCGTCCGCAGACTCACGCCACACAGCACGTAGACGTGGACGTGTTCAGTCCACGTACGTCAGTCACACGACAGCCCGCCGAAAAAAAGTTACGGTCGGGCTGAAATTGTACGGTCGGTCGGGTGAGTCGAACCACACACCTTCTTTAGTTTGGCCTTATCAAAGGTCTATATTATAAGCACACACAATACACGCTCACAGAATCAGTGAATCAATTCTGCCGTCGTGAGTCCCCTGATTCGGGACGGATACGAGAATATAATAGAGAGGTTCCGCATAACGTAATTACGTTAGTAAAAAACGTAGTCGATCTACGGAAAGTCTTACGTAAACTGCATGCGCATCTGTGTTCCGCCATACGGAGTTTTCAAATCACGTAGCTGCCCTTGGCAACTCCGAACGCGGCAGTGTACGACCAGATCGACCTGGGGAGAGAGTCATAAATTTGTACCCCAATCCACTTACGGACCAGCTACGTTATCAGAGCCCTATCTACGTACTCTACGTAGACAACTTTCCGTAAGTGGAGTGCAAACTCGCGAATTCACGGGTTTTCCCCGCCCACTAACGTAAAGTTGCTCAACTTTACGTAGTGCGGAACCTCTCAACTGATACCGTAAAAGTCCGTAAATAGAGAGGTTCTGCACAACGAAAGTTCGAACGAAGTTTCGCGACAGGCCTTGCGAAAGTGTGTACGAATTTTCGCACGAACTTTCTGTTCTGCACATTTTCGTAGTTTGCACGCGCCAAGTGCACGTACGACATGACCCAATCTCACGAAACTTCCTACGAAAGTTCATTTCGCGTTCCCTGCAAGTTTCGCGTCCAAAGTTGCGAAAGTTCGTGCGAAGTTTCTCACTTCGTGACGTAGAGCGAAAGTTCGTACACATTTTCGTTTTGCAGAACCTCTCTAATAAGTACGTATTTACTTTCGAATTTAGTGACCACACCCGTACTAACTTTCGGGCGGGTACTGACTTTCGGGAACGAACTAACTTTCGGACCCGACTTGTGTGTAGTGGAGAAGTCATTTTCATGTCGATGTACATGCTACGTGCTGCATGTGCGCACCGTACCGGTACTTATTTCGGGCAGTGTGTTTATCGGGCTTGACTTGACTTCAACAGACAGAGCCTAAAGAATGAAGGGGGTATTTCTTTCGGGCAGGTACTTATTTACGGACTTTTACGGTAATACGGTAATACTAATAATTATCATCATGCCCTTATTATCTCAGTCTTGACTCTTGTATACTAGGCTAAGTCTTATTATTATAGCATAGCGAAGTTATACTCTTGATGACATGATAATTATGACAAGTACTTGAAGTAGAGTCGACACGTAGACCTACGTAGCTCAACGACGTACAAGGGCGTAAAAAAGCCTTCCAGCGTGTAGGGTTCGAGGTGCGAATCCGTTCCTTTTTTCCCTCCGAGAATGTAATACCAAGACCCCTGCCCTGGCCGTGGGGTTCTGGACTCTTTGTAATACTGATGTCCCTAGATTGCAGTGGTGGGCAAGTTAACGGTTGTTCATTCACATCCATTCTCCTTTGTGTTGCCGGGGAGGCAGATGGCAATTCAGTGAAAAAAGGCAATTTTTCCACATTATATTTTGTGTGGTCATTTCTTAAAACATCATGTGTTTCACTGATAGAAAGAGACCCTACATATCTAGGATGGTCCAGCAAGACTGGATCAAGATCATGTTGATCCAAATACAAGCCATTCAAGCTTGCATAGCAACACTTGAACAGGTGTATCACCATGATCGCATATACGTACGTGGTCAACATCGGTTAGTGAAGTCAGTAACTGTTGCCAATGTTCGGCCATCGACAGGGTCAAAACACTGACATTCCTCCTTCCCAGGCGTCGCTTCTAGTATGTAGCTATCACATACTTCCTCCCCAGCTAAATGTGGTCACTGGAGGTTGAAACTTGTCAATTGAGTCCCCCCCCCCCGACCAGCGGCTATGGATCTTTTAAACTCTCTTTTACCGTAAACTTTTGAATCGCACACATGCAGACTGAAAGCTCTTCAACAAAGTGACAATGTCACTTTCTAAAGGAATATCAGTCTCAATTTTGGAGGCGAACTGAATGGTATCTTCTCGACAGCAGAGCGCAGCGACAGAGGCGAGAAGTATTTTCTCGTCACAGCGGTTTTTTCTTGTGTTTTTTTCTCACAAGTGAGCAGTCATCTGATCAATTATTTTACTCGTACATCTTCACATGTTCTCTAAACCGCTGCGCATGAGCACGACTGGCCAGTCGTCTTGAGGTACCCACCCTCCCTCCCTGCTTTTTGTACTTGTCAGATTAGCCACTTGGGGTTTTACACCCGGTTTTTTTCCTCAAAAAAATAATGCGTCCGTCGGCGCGAGGGTTTTTTCCCGGCTGGCTCGGCCCAGACGAATTAATCTGACGGTCCCAATACAAGTGGTGCTTCTGGTTTTCGGTCATTGCTCTCTCAGTTGCTGCCATTGCATTGCTTTCATAGAATATCCATGTGCTCTGTCCCTTCTTCCGCTATTCTACAATTCCGCATCCTTCCATGTAAAAGAACGTGGTGTCACACTTCTGGCCCTCCTTACCGCAATACAAATGTGCTGTTGTTTGGTGTGTAGCGAGTGTGGCTTATCGCTGTGCGAGAACAGCACATTGACAATGGCAAAAAGAAATCTCACGTGACTTTTTTGCTGGCGCTGGCAATGACATATTTTACCGATTTGTTAACTCGGAAATGACTCAATGTTTAAATTTTTTTAAAGAATCACCTCGTAGTGTATGCAGTTAGGTTGGTCTCAGTGGCATGCAAAGTTCCAAACAAGCCGAGGAAGACATGTCTACCAGTACAGCTGTACTTCAGCAGGGTGCAAAACCGCTTCATTACAGAAATACGATACAGTTCACTGACAGAGTGTGACAAAGACATTGCTTTTAAAATAAAAATTAAAAAACCCAGCACACAGTAGGTGGCCTCTGAGCTCTTGCCTGGTATATGAGCTATTGGATGGGATAAAATATATGGCGGTCAGCATTAAAAAAAAAGGTTAGAGAAAAAAGACGCGTGGCACTAACTAAACTTGTGGCCCTAAACCAATTGCAAACAAAGAGTAAAAAAAAACAAACAAAAGTTGACATATAGGCAACAAAAAAGAGCCTCCAGTGTGGAAAAAGACCGAAAAGCAAAGCAACAAAGGCATGGTGCAAGACGACAATCATGAAGCCAAATAACGAACGTATATATGAAGGAAAAACACAACAAGATGTCAGCAAGAACAAAAGAAATGAAGAACACGACTAGCAGGACCGAACGAGGAGAATATAGGAATGCCGCCAGACAGAGAACATGGAGCAATAAAAAGACAGGCAACCAGGGGTGATGGCGGAGGTCCGATTAAGAAAATAGGAATACATGTAACAACTCAAGTTTCAAGTGTATACCTCACTGGCAAGTGTATACCTCACTGGCAAGTGTATACCTCACTGGCAAGTGTATACCTCACTGGCAAGTGTATACCTCACTGGCAAGTGTATACCTCACTGGCAAGTGTATACCTCACTGGCAAGTGTATACCTCACTGGCAAGTGTATACCTCACTGGCAAGTGTATACCTCACTGGCAAGTGTATACCTCACTGGCAAGTGTATACCTCACTGGCAAGTGTATACCTCACTGGCAAGTGTATACCTCACTGGCAAGTGTATACCTCACTGGCAAGTGTATACCTCACTGGCAAGTGTATACCTCACTGGCAACGGACAAGACTAAAACACAACAGTACTCGTGGAAGGATCATCGAGTGGTCGCACTACCAACATAGTACGTGTGTTGATATTGTATTTGTTTCGTTTCGTACTGTTAATTTACAGTTCAAATTCTCCAGAGGTAAATTGATGCCTATCTTGGGAGTCTCTCCTAGCCTATACACGATGATAATGATGATGACGATACTGTGTGTGTGTGTGTGTGTGTGTGTGTGTGCGCGCGTGTGCGAAGGTTGGGTATGAGAGAGCAGTGTACTGCGTTCAGCCATCTTATTGCACAGGTCTGACAATTGTAGCTAAGTCATACTTAGTCAGTGTACCATGGTGTACAGAACGGCAGCATGTACTCCTGTGTACTTACACATTCAAGCCAGGTAAGGGGCCGGTGCATCAATGCTATCGTAAACGTGTCCGTACACCACATGCGAAGGCAACAAAGCCGCGGCTACTACTACCAGTGTTACAGAACCGTACCTGGTACTGCATTCATACGTACTCTCGCACATGTGTGCGCTTGCGTGTCACGTGACTGCATGTCACTATGGGATGCAGGTGCGAGTGGCACAAGGCTATTCACAGGGAGCTGAATCGGGCCCGATAGCATTGCCATGGTTCTATTTCCAGCCCTTAACTCACAACAGTAGCACAGTAGCTGATGCTGTTGTCACATAGTGGAATGTGCATCATGCTGTGCATCATGTCGCTTGGCAATATCATCTTGCCGACGACTTTCTCTTCACACTGGATGCATAAGATATTGGCTTCCAGTCACCAGTTGCTTTGGAAGCAGTATCTCGCACTAGTCTGCTCCCAGGAAAGCCAGGGCGCAGAGGCACAAGGTTTCTCTTCGGTTGCATTTTGGCAGCCGATGTGACCGATGCTGGTGGTCTGGGAGTGGACCAAGCCTGGACAGGCGCTGCTTGGCTAGGCGGTGCCACTGGGCAGGTTGATGGTACAGTATCATCCTCCTCCTCATCATCAATATCTCCATTCTTACCGCACGCGACTTCCGGCAGGTCTGTAGCCGGAGCATGATGGGGACTGGATGTCTCAGGACACTTGCCAACAGGAGCCCCTTCAACGACGGGCTGACGAACTGCCCCAGAGCCTTGATTAACCGTACTTGGAGTTTGTGGCCATGTGGCAACGTTACAGGCATCACGTGTGCCATTTTCTGGCTGGCGATAAGAAGACAATGCCAGTGTTGGGCTTTCAGATACTGGTGCCTGCAACGCAGTGGCATTACCAGTGGCACCACCACTGACCAAAGCTGCTGGTATTGGCGGTGTCGCTACCGCTGCTGCTGCTGCTGCTACGGCTGCAGGTAATGCTAGTGGTGGCGGTGACGATGCTGCTGCTGCTGCATTACCGACTCTAGTATGTAGATCTGCTAGGTTCTGCAACACGTTAGTCACCACCCTGTGCCCGGCCTGCAACGAGTTCATCGACTCTGCCCCGATGGCAATAGGATAGTCAGCGCCGTCA